CCCCCTAAACCCTAAACCCTAAACCCTAAACCCTAAACCCTAAACCCTAAACCCTAAACCCTAAACCCTAAACCCTAAACCCTAAACCCTAAACCCTAAACCCTAAACCCTAAACCCTAAACCCTAAACCCTAAACCCTAAACCCTAAACCCTAAACCCTCGGGTGCCTGACGTGCCTGTAGCGGCGGCTCAGGTGCCTGACAGGCCTGCAGCGACGGCTCGGTGGCCTGACGGACCTGCAGGGGCAGCTCGAGGGCGCACGAGGGCGCACGAGGGCGCACGAAGGCGCACAAGGAGAGAAAGGCGCACGAGGGCGCACGTAGGGTAGGGCGCACGAGGGCGCACGTAGGGTAGGGCGCACGAGAGCGCGTAGGCGCAAGAGGCGCACGGTAGGTAGGTAGGTAGGTAGCGGTGGGCCCTAAGAGCGGTCCTAGCGATGGACCTGCTCTGATACCATGTCAGAATAACTGAGCAGGAATGGGATGAACTAGCACAGAGTTTGGTACAAGTAGGAAACCCTAACTTTGAGTACCCCCTAAGGTGTAACCCACTACAGCCTACATAATATAAACATGCAATGTTTGACATGTTCGCGGGCCTGAAGGGCGTGTAGGGGCGGCGTGCGAGCCTTACGGGCCTCTAGAGGCAGCGCGCTGGCCTAGGGCAGCAGGAGGCAGCGCTAGGGCTGCTGGACGGCGCGCGTAGTGCAGCACGTCACAAGGCAAGGCAAGGCAGGCAGGTACGTGGGGTAGCGCGGTAACCGCAGCGGTAGGTGGGCCCGAAAAAAAACGGTCCTACGGACCTTAGTGCTCTGAAACCATGTTAGAATCTAGCAGCAGGAATGAATGCACTAGCAGGATGCAAGAGTACAAGTAGTAAACCCTAATTTGGGTTGTACCCCATATGGGCTACCCCACTACAGCCTACACAATAAGCAGCATATATGTTTGACACTTGTCTGGGCCTATTACCAAGCCAGCAAGGGCGTGGGAGGGTTGCGAGCATTATCAATCATCAGTGCTCGCGAATGAAGAGCGTTTGCTGCACTTCCTGCACATGTGCGGATCCTTCCGTGTTTTGGTCGCTCGTTCCGAGCATTTTTCTTCTGCCGGGTCATGCGGCTGCGCTTGCCTAGACCTATTACCAAAGCAGCAAGGGCGTGGGAGGGTTGCGAGCACCATCGGTCATCGGCGCTCGCGAATGAAGAGCGCACGCTGCACTTCCTGCACATGTGCGGATCCTTCCTCGTCATGGGGGTGGAAGCGCTCGTTACGAGCGTTTTTTCTTACGCCGTGTCACGTGGCTGCGCTTGTATGGGCCTCTTACCAATCCGAAAAGAGCGTTGGAGGGTTGCAAGCATCATCGGTCATCGGCGCTCGCGAATGAAGAGCGCCCGCTGCATTTCCTGCACACGTGCGGCAGGGTTCTCGTTATCAGACCAATTTGGTCTGATGGTCTGAGTTTAAGACTTGATTTTTTGTATTCATCTGCTTCCTAAGACTTTGTGTTTTTTCTCATCTGATCAGTAAGACAAGCGTTTCAGGTTCGTATGATTTTCCAGAGTAAGAGATCTTGACCCACTAGGCCATATGTCCAGTAGACGAGGATAGGACCACAGGTACAGCCATTTGCTGCCCTGTAACTGCACACGCATTCAATACGCGTGTCCAGTAGCAGCCTCGCTGTCATGTAACTGCGGCATATGCTGCCAAGAGTTTGTCGTGTGGCTGGCTGTCGGCACCGACGCCAGCCACATCCACGGCAACGCGTTGTCTCGTGCCAGCGCATTTGCATTGTGGTCGTAGTGCCCCCCGCTCCCAACACGCAGCGCCTTTCGGTTCTCAATGCACTGCACGGTGATGGGGTTGACTTTTGACTCTGCAGGATTACAGTAGGTTGACTTTTGACTGAATTTTTTTTTCGTCTTATGCATCAGACTAGAAAAATGTTTTCAGCTTATAATGCAGACCATGAAAATTTCGTCGTCCGAGCATAAGACGGGGGAAAATTTTTCCAGGCTATTGTCAGACAGCCCCAAAACCTAGCGAGAGCCCTGACGTGCGGATCCTTCCGCGTTTTGGCGGTGGCCGCGTTCGTTCCGAGCGTTTTGGTGCTGGAGGTGTTTGAGCTGGAGGTGCTGGAGCTGGAGTTACTAGAGCTGGAGGCTCTGGTACTGTGGGTACTGCATAGCGGCGATTGTTTTCTTTTTTTACCGCTGCCGCAGTCGTCACTACGATATCAAAAGCTGGCTAGGTGCTTCGTACCCGCCAATAATTCCTACCCACTAATAATCCTAGGCAAATTATGGCCCTACAATAATATATGGGGTGCTACAATATAATTTAACTGCATATAAAATTATTTTGTGATTGTTTTCTCAACACACCTGAACGTTATCCCATTGTTACACTGCATCACTACATTTAGCAGACTAGGATGCATACTTGGAAGAGAATTTACAGCACAATTTCTAGAACCATAATCTCGATACAGTACCTAATCCAATGTGTACAGTATTAGTTGTAGCACAGAAGTTTATTTCAACAGCACCCTCCTCTCTGTGCAGCTGCATCATTTCTTCCTCCTGCTCCTTGTGTGCCTCCAGTACCGTAACCCACCTTAATACCATACGTCTGTTTAACAAGAAAATGCAAACAGTGAGCAGTTGAATACCAGGTTAAGTTGTGCAAAAATATAAAACCAAACAAACAAACAAACCAGCAAACAAACAAACAAACAAACAAAGAACAGGAAAAAAAAATCACCTCATTTGAAACATCAAATACGCCTTCTTGAATCTTCTGGTAAATTTTTGCTGCGGTATTTATGAAGGCCTGTAATAGCATGCAAAGACAGACATCAACAAGACTGGCTCGTGAACAGAGCGATACGCTAGGAAACGGGACAGGTACAGCAATGGAAGTGGATACGTGACGAAAATACAGAAAAATGCGGAGGTAAAAAAACTCCGAAGGGACGTCGACATATGGGGAGGACGAGAGGCAGAAAACAGGAACAAGCCGTACCTCCTCCACGTTATGAGCAGTCTTTGCTGAAGTTTCCATAAACACAAGTCCATTCTCCTTCGCAAACTGTTCCCCTTCCTGGGTGCTGACTGCTCGACGATGTGCCAAATCACTCTTATTTCCGATGAGCATAATGGTCATATTCGAGTTAGCATGCTGCCGAGCATCTTCAAGCCAGCTCGTGAGATGGTTAAAAGTTTCTCTCCTGTGTTTAAAAAAAAAAGGGGGGGGGGGGGCGAAACATTCTATTGTGAGACGAACATCCCACGGAAGTCAACCCATGGCGGTAGGGCAGAAACTGAAAAGCAATACCTGGTGATATCGTATACAAGTAATGCTCCAGCTGCACCTCGGTAGTATGACCTTGTGATGGACCGAAACGACTCTTGTCCAGCCTGAACACGCGAGAAAGCACGCTCGTTAAGGACGGCATGGAAACCTTACATCCCAACAGCAAGAAAGGCACTCACAGTATCCCAGATCTGCAACTTAATTGGTTTTCCTTCAATAGTAATCATACGTGCGCCGAACTCCACCCCAATTGTCAAGTCATGTACGGGTTGAAACCTTTTGTCCGTGAATTGAAGCAGCAGACATGACTTTCCTACACCTGCCAATACGGAGAGACAAGAGAACAGGGGCGGGGAGAAAGGAGGCGAGAGAGGGGGGACGGAGAGGGGAGAAGGGAGGGCAGGCGGGGTCGGAGAGGGGTGAGTGGGTTGGGGGGAACCGACGTCTCTAATCAAGTCATGACCTCAACGGAAAATAATATGAACTAGGGATATGATCAACGAGGAAATACCTGTGTCCCCAATGATGATGTACTTGAACAAATACGCGTAGGACATCACGACACCGTGGCAAGCTGTCTCTCAAATAATCCGCAAAACTCGCACAACCGCCTCGAAAAAAACACGACTATGTTCGAACGCAGAACAACCCAGAAATTCGAAACCAAGGAGCATACGTGGAAAGATGTGCAAGCGCAGTGCTGTGAGGGTTAGGTTACGATGAAAGGGGATGGCATGGGAGTGGTTGACAGAAAGGCTCGTTTCAGCCAAGCCCACCCACAAACATGTGAAACTGTGGCACCTTCCCTGTGTCGCCTGCACTTTTCCCTCTGTTGCGAAGAATAGCGTAGTGTACTGCTATGTTGAATGCTTCATACCTAGCCAACAACAACAATTGATCTCAATTCTTCTCTCTTTAAAAGCACAACCTGATTTTGTCCCAAAAATGCACATGCTCACATAAAATATATGGCGTATAGTGCATGCATATGCACAATTCAAAACCTCATAAGACTAGTTCACAATGGGACTAGTCTGTATGAGTATCAAACGTTTGCTGCATGTAGTATGCAACGAGAGACAAAGGTTTCATATCAGTACAATCTAACGAGATTTCATATCAGTATATTCTAACTGGGACCAGATTGCTTTTCAACCTTGCAAATCAAATCTTGCCAAGAATTATAGGCTTTATAGGCTGGCTCTAAACGGGTCGCCTTTTGCGAGCCAGCCTACATAGCACCAAGCTAACACGATTAGAGTCTTCCTTAGCTTTCTTTACCGTCATCATGCCATCCTCCTTCCATTCCCCAAACCTCCCACCAACCCCGTCACACCCGCATCTCTCCCAGCCTAGCCGCATTGCCGCCCTCTTCGCGCTAGTCGCTCTCGCCTCTCTCCTCACCTGCATCTTCCTCTCCCTCCCACCCGCGGCCCCTCCGCCGCTCCCCCTCGTCCCCCTCACCGCCATCGCCGCTGCCGCCCACCCACATGCCGCCGTGACTGCCGCAGGAGGGAGAGGGGGAACAGGACGGCGGTTGCAGGGGCTGCGCGCGCCCCGTGACATCAAGCGCAAGTGGAATGGCGGAAGCTTCCTCGAGTTCTCTGCGGACGAGAGTGCGCGCATTAACGGACTGGGGGGAAGTGGGAGTGCGCGAGATGCGCGGGCGCAAAGGAAGTCGGGGGAAAAGGGAACGGAAAACACGGGGAACAGCAGATGGGCAGGCGTAAGCAGGCGGGGCGGAGGGATGGTGTGGCGGGTGGGATGGTGGGGAGGTGGGGGTGGATCCCACGGAAGCAAGTCCGACGCCGTTGGAGCGAGCGACGAGCGCGCACATGGCGGCGTGGCGGAGAGCGCGAGGGCGCTGGCAGTGACGGCGAGGGGCGGGCGCGGCGGGCTGCACAGCGAGGGCGGGAAGAGCCGTGGGGCGCGGGAGGCCACGGGGGGAGCGCAGGACGCGGTGGCGCCAGGGGGTGTGGCGCAGCAAGTGGAGGGGCGCGGAGGAGGGGGGGAAGGGGAGGCGACGGGGATGCGTGCGGTGGGGCGGCTGGCGGACATGGAGGTGCTGCCGCTGGGGCGGGGAATGGGGGGACGACGACAGGCAGTGGCAGGGGGAGATGAGGGGGGGGGTGCGTGTGAGCGGATGGCAGGGAGGGCAGGGAGGGCAGTGCAGAGGGTGGGCAGACGCGGGGCGCTGGTACCTGAGGAGGGCCGCGGGCCCGCCAACGCCACCGCGCCTGTGCGCAGGGGCGGGGAGAGCAGGGCGCGCGCAGCAGCGGAGGGGCGCGGGCAGTGGCGCGTGCGGCGCGTGGCGCTGCACCCGGCAGTGCGGCGCTCCACGGGGCTGCCCCTGCGCTGCCACCACTGGCGCAGCGACGCCGTCTTCCTCCTCTCCGCCGCCCTGCCCGCCCACGGCCTCAGCCCCCTCCTGCCCGTGCGCCCCCCGCCTCCCCCCTTGCTTGTCCCCTCCCCACCAGCTTCCCCTCGAAGCTTTCTCACATACTCCCCTCGCTGCTGTACATCTATCCCACTGCGTTCCCACGTATTCCGCTCTGTTTTCCTACTTACTCCCCTCTGTCTGCTTTCCCTCTTAGTCCACCTCTCTTCTACACCACTTGCTTCCCTCTCGGCTTTCTCACTTCGTCCGCCTTCATTCTTTCTTTCTTCCTCACGTTCTGCTCTCTCGCTTCCTCTGCTCGCTGCTCCCCGTGTGCATGCCTCGCTGCCATGCCGTGGTCAGGAGTTGGATGCGCGCCTGCAGTCCGTGGGGCTACAGTACACGCTTGCCCTCGTGCCGCGCAACGTCTCACATGCCCACGCCCTCAGGTCTGTCGCATGCCCGTGCTCTCAGGTCTGTCGCATGCCCGTGCTCTCAGGTGTGTCGCACGCCCACCCATACCTCACCCACCATCTTTTGCATTTCCCTTTCCCTTGCCCTTCCCACTCAATCGCGTTCCCACCCCGTCCGCTCTGCTTGTCGCTCCTGTCCTCTCCCCCACCGTACACCAAAGCTCGTCCTCTCCTGTTTGTCTACCAAAGCTCGTCCCGTAATCACCCGCTCCCCTTCTACCGCCCCCAGGTACGCTCCTCTGTACCGCGCAGCACCGCAGGGCGCGGGGCGAGCAGGGGCGGGGAGGCAGGACGTGCGGTACAGTGCGGCGCACGCGGAGGTGTGGGCGCGCGTGGTGGCGGCGCGGATGCCGTTCGCCCTGGTGCTGGAGGAGGACGCCCTCAACCGCAGCGAGGGCGTTGCCGCCTGGCAGGCGCGCTTCCACATGGTGACCTGGGGGGAAGGGAAGGGGTGCAGTGGGCCACGGGATGCGCTTCCTGCTGCCTTGCTCAACCTGATGCATGTTTTGCCTTTTCCCCTTGCTCGGCCACAGCGCACGTGCCCAACCCTGCCCTCACGCCCATATGCCTGCACCTCCCCTCCTCCCCCGCTTCCCCCCTCCCCCTTCCCCCCCCCCCCAGCTGCTGTGGGAGCTGAATCTGCTGATGCTGCAGCGCGGCGACCGCTTCTTCTTCCACGTGCTGCTGCTGGCGCGCCATGGCCTGGCGCCCTACGCGGAGCAGCAGCTGGCGCCGGGCATTGTGAGCGCGCAGCCCAGCGAAGCCATGCACGCCTACCTGCTCTCCTACGCCGGCGCCAAGCGCCTCCTCGCCCTCTCCCGCTTCCACTCGTACTCCCCCCGCCCCTGCCCCCGCCCCTGCTCTCCGCCCCCCTCCATGCCGCCCGCACTTTGCTTTTGCCAGCATCCAGCATGCATGCATGTGCCTCTTGAATCCCTGCATCACCTCCTTCTGTCTTCCTTCTCGCTCTCACCCCATGCTGCCCCCCTGTTGACCGTGCAGGCCACTGGCAGAGAGCACGGGAGCCATCCCGGGAATGACCATACTGGCAGCGGAGCCGCCTCTCTTCGCCACCACCATCTTCGCCTGCTCGCCCAAGCCCTGCCGCACGCCGCCCCCTGCGCTCTCCCTGCCCGCCTCCACGCGCCTCACCCCCGCCTGCCGCACCACCATCATGCTCGCCCTGCCTGCCCACCCCTCCATGCCTGGCGCTGCCCTGCACGCCCCCTGGCGCATGCACGACCCTGCCCCCGCCGGCCCACGCCCCTCCATCCCCTCCTCCTCGCCCGCCTTCTGCCCAGACCTCTCACCCGCGCAGTGCCTGCTTGCACACCATCTGCCGCGCCTGCTTCCCAACGTGCGTCCTCCTCCCCCGCTCCTCCTCCCCCCCACGCTGCCCCCCTCGCTGCCCCTCTGGCCGGCCTACGTGCTCTCGCTGCGCCGCTCCCCCCAGCGCCTGCAGCGCGTGCTGCCACTGCTGCAGCAGCACGGCTTCGGGGACGTGGTGGTGGCACACGGCGTGGACAAGGGCAGGGGGCACGGCGCGGGGGGAGGGGCGCAGGGCCGGGGGGAGGAGGCGGAGGCAGAGGCGGAGGGGAACCTGGGCGTGTTTGGGGGGCTGGTGGGGGCGGGGGCGGTGTCGGTGACGCGGCGCTCCATCAAGTGGCACAAGCTGGCCGAGCGACGCCGCGAGCGGCTCACGAGGGGGGAGGTGGCGTGCGCTCTCTCGCACTACCTCGTGTGGCTCGAGGTGCTGCGCAGGAAGCTTCCCTACGCCATCATACTGGAGGATGACGTCACCTTCACTACAAGCACTTTCCGGGCCGACTTTGAACGGAACATTGCCGAGGCCAATGAGCTGTTGACACGTCAGCACAGCCCGGAGTCACCACCAGATATCCTGTTTGTGGGGCACATGGGGGTGCTGGCAGGGCACTTCATGCCGCTGCTGTCCCCTCACATCGCATGGGACCCCCTCTCCTGGTGCTCCTTCGCCTACATCATCTCCCACCGCGGTGCAGAGCGCCTGGTGGCGGGCTTTAAGGTCGACGACCCACTTGACTCCCTCTGGTGGCGCCGCCCTAACCTCGCCTTCTGGGCCTTCCAACCCCCCCTCGCCTTCCACCTCTCCTCCCCCCGCCTCAACTCCTCCGTACCACTCTCTCCCCCATCCCCCCCCACACCTCCTCCTCCGTCTCATCCACCTCATCCTGCCTCAACGCACCGCACGGCACACAGCGGCAGCAGCAAGGAGGGGGAGAGCAGCAACAGGGCAGAGGTGGCAGGCAGCAGCAGGGCAGGGGAGGACATGCCTCTGCCAGTGCCCTTGTACCCCAGCGAGGTGCAGCAGGGGGGTGGCCAGTGGATGTGAAGCACCTACAATCTCCCATATGACTTGCCAGCCATTGCCTCTACAAGGCCATTGCAACTCAGGGCGCGTTCCTACACCTCCTGTCAGCCCCACCTCGTGTCACACTCTCGTTGTACAGGGCGTTTCACACATTTTGTCTGGTTCAGTTCGGTGCCAGGCGAGTCTGGCTCTAGCAGAGGGCTGTAGGAGCATGCCCTTGCACACTGCTTGCATGTGTTGAATTGGAAGGATTCGAACAGCAGCATCAATGTTTTGAAAGAATAACGACAATGAATACTTTTATCAATTTGCTGAGCAATGACATTTGGAGAGTAGTTCAAATCACTGTTGCGCCCGAGTTCATGGCACCTGCATCACCCCCGCCAGCAGCAGCATCCTCTTCAGCAGAGCGGGGTTGTGGGGTGTGTGCGCGCCCCCCCATGGCGCTGATGCGATGGCACAGGCGGCACGGCAGAGTGTCAAACCCCGTCTGCAACGCTCGCTGCAGACCCCCCAGCACTCCGCACCTGAAAGGTGAGGGGGGTGAGATGATGGGGAGTTGGGGGGCGGGGGTCGGGCAGCAATGAGTGGGGGCACGGCGCAAAGAGGGCCAGGAACGTGCAGAGGCACACACACATGAAGAGAGCACAGCAGTGCGGTGTGCAGCAGGGGCTCACCGGCGCCATGCGTGCAGGGAGAGGTACTCCGTGGTGTTGGTGCGCATGGCGTGCACGCGCTGCACTATGCTCTCCTGGCTCTCCACCCCGCCCTCCATGAACGACTCCGGTGGGGCAAACTCACGCACGTCTGCCGCCCCGTAGTATATCGGCACACTGCCTGCCGTGAGAGTGCGGGGGATGAGGTGGCACGGTGCGGCATGCTAAACGCTTCTGACTCCCGAAATCCTCTCACGTGCCATCGCCTCCCGGAAGAGGTGGGGATGGCGTGGCGTACGCACACACAAGGGCGTGTGCATGTGAGCAAGAACACATTCTGAGCTACACGTGTAGCCTGTCAAGGGGTGCATGGTGTGTGGGTGGGAAAGTTGAAGCGGGGTGGGGCGGCTACCTGCGAGGAGCGGCAGGAAGAACTTCTCAGTGACGTAGGAGGGGCGGGGGTGGCGTTCGATAGCGAGGGAGAAGAGGAAGTGCGACTGCACGCATGCCAGCTCGCCCCACCACCCCGCATACGGTCCCCCTCGCGCCCCTCCTCCCCCCCCTCCCCCAACTGCCTCGTCCACGCCCGCCATCTCCCGGTCCCTCGCCGTCCATCCTGCCCCCTCCTCTGCCCCCCCTGCACTCCCCTCTCCCTGTTTCTTCTCCCCCTGCCCCTCCTTCCCCTGCCCCTCCTTCCCCTCTACCTTCCCTTGCACTGCTGCACTCCCCCTTCCTCCCTCCCCCACAGCCGCTGTCCCCTTTGCAACAGCAGCACCCTGTGCGCGTGCAGCCTTGGGGGCACGCGAGTACTGGCAGTGGGGGAAGGCGCGGCGCAGGGAGCGGCGCAGCGGGAGGGGCGTCTGCAGGCCGAAGCGGTGTGTGAGGGGGTGCGCCAGTAGCAGCGGCGCTGCTGCCGCCCGCCATGGCGAATAGCGTGATGAGGCGTGGAAGATGGTAAGAGCCTGGGGGGGGAGGATGGGCAAGGGGTAAGGTGAGCGGACAGAGCGGGTGGAAGCAGGAAGGAGTGTAGATGAGTGTCCAAACCTGCTCTGCCTTGTATTCGGTATTGCTAGTAAAGTTAAGCAACGCGAGGAAGGAGCAAGACGAGCAGCAGGGCAGTGCAGGACCAGGAGCAGCAGGGCAGCAAGGCGGCAGGGCACTTACGGGGGACTTGGAGGCAGCGACGAGGGGGTTGTGGTCGGCCAGCAGCAGGTTGCTGGCATACGAGCACTGCACGTCCGCACCCGGGCCATACCCCACCGTCACATCCACTCCACTGCCCCCCTGCGCCCCCTCTTCCCCCTCTCCCCCCTCCCCCTCCGCTTCCATATCCACGTGCACGAGCAGCGGGTCGCCCTTGACCCGCACCCCCCTGGGCGCGCCCCCCTCGTAGAGCATGGCGTCTGGGCGCGCCGCCAGCACCTCACTGCGCGACAGCGTGCACGTGAGGCCGCACGGGCACGCGAAGAAGCCCTCCAGCCATGCGGGCAGCGACGCCGACGCCATGATCTGCACCGCGCCGCGTCAAAGTAATTGAGATTGCAAACTGAAGCTTGCGGTTGCGAGTGCGTTCAGTGCACAACCAGGAAACGGCAGAGGGCAGCAGTGGGAGAAGCAGGTTTGAAAGAGTGCAGGGGCATGTGGGACCGGGTGGGGCGCATGGAGGGTGGAGGGCGCACCTGCACGGTGACATGGGGCAGCTTCAGCAGTGAGCAGTCACTCGCCTCCTCGCCCTGAAAGCTGCTGCCACCACTGCTGCTGCTGTGGCCTGCACGGGCAGCACAGGAGAGTCAGAGACTGCACATGCCAAACCACCCTGCCACACTTCCCACGCAGCCTGCCACCCCTTCCCACACACCCTGCCACCTACCAGACCTGCGTGTTTGGCTCGGAATCGCTCGCAACCCACGACTCGGTCCCACTCCCTCCACGCCTCCTCCACTTGCCACGCTTCGCCCTCCGCGCCCTCCCCCTCCCACGCCCGCCTGCCCCAGCTCGCCCCCTCTGCTGCTCCTGCCGAGCTCTCTGGGGCAGCCGCCCCACCACCGCGCCCGCCCTTCCCCGCATTCTGGGCCGCCCCCCCGCCCGCCTCCCCTGCCTCGCCCGCGGTACCCTGCTCTGCGCCCCCCAGTCCCGCCTTTCCCCCTATCCCCTCTTCGGCCCTCTTGCCCTGCGCCTGCTCGGTCCAGTCTTCGTTTCCCCGCCGGCTGCTGCCCTCACCTCCCTCATCCTCCTCCTCACCGAACTCGCCACTCAGATCGCGCCACGTGTCCCTCTCCCACCCTTCGCCTGCCGCCCACTCCGCCACAGGCGACGGGGCGAGGGATTGCGAGGGGGGATCAGGCGCGGGCGATTGGGTGAGACGACGACGAGCGAGAGTGGGCGACAGCTGCGATGGCGAGGAGAGAGCAGGCGACGAGTGGCCTGCGACGGGTGCGACGGGAAGAAAGCGGGCGAGGCAGACGAGGCACAGCGCCCACAGGAGTGGCGCGCGGATAGGCGCGCGACGAAAGCGCGGGGCGGGCATGTGACATGGGTGGGGAAACGCGGCGACGTGCGGAGTGGTCATGTGAGTGACATCGGCGCTGCAGGCATGCGCAGGCGCGCGATGCGTAGTGGTGGTAGATGTATGGCGGCGAGGCGCGAAGGTGTGGTTTTGTGCAAGGACCTAGGGGGTGACAGGCGGAGGTTTTCTTGCAGTTGGGTGAGTGCGGGTGTGCTATTTCTTTTTACCTGTTTCAGGCATGCTGAAGTACCGTACATGCACGTTTCCTGATATCGTATATTGCTTTCAACATCACCATTAGATTCTTTTGGGCACAGCAGAGACAACATTCTGTGCATTGCCACAAGCATTGACATCTGTCAGGCAGCACAACAATTAGCCAGCCTAACAAGCACCGCACAGCACGGTACACCATTCCACTAACAGTCTGGCCCCGCTGCCCTCAACTTCCGCCGCCCCCTATGCCTGCATGAGACGAGGCAAGGCACACACAGCACGGTGAGACAGAAGCAGTGGTGGCAATCCATGGCACCACAGGCAGCGACAAGAGCCGCAATGGCTCGCACAGAACAAAAAGTGGACAGACGAGGACGGGTGTTGGGGGGGAAGGGGGGAGGGGGGGGACAGGGGGGAGCCGGGTGGAAGAGCAAGCAGGATTTTTGGGGAAGAAGAGGGCGGCAAGAAGGGGGGAGTGGTTGTGTGTGGTGGCAGGAGGTGGGCGTTGCACGGACCTGAGGGGTCTAGACGATGGAGTTGGCGGCGCTGGCGACACGAGGCCAGAGATCCGCGCACTCCTTGGCCACCGGACCCGTGATGGCCGACCCTGTCATGCACGCACCACCAATGACAGACAACGGCACGCACGCACACGCAAGACGAATAGACAGTCAGGGCGCGTTGCGTAAGACGAGCGAAGGCATGGTGGGTGCAAGCAATGAGTGGTGATGCAAGGGCATGGAACGCGCGCGGCACGAGGTCGTGACTCACCTTTCATTTCTCCTTTCGGGTTCACGATGACTCCCGCATTGTCTGCACCACACAACCACCGCACATCCACGCAGCAGCCACGTCAGCAACGACTCAGACAGACCGCGAGCATAGAGAACACGGAGGGCCACGAGCGCTGAAAATCCGAAAACCGACAGACGTACTGACAAGCTCTGGCTACTAACGGCACTAGCGCGCAGTGTCACGGAGCGGCAGAATCAGGGCCCAATCTACTTGCTTCCACCCAGCCCTGATTGACCCCAATTTGCCCTACTTTCCCCTACTTAGCCCTGCAGGAAACTAAGTGCCTGACCTTCAAAGTACATAAAGACGCCGTCCTTTCTGCGCCACGGCTTGCGCTGCCGCACGATTACCGCCGGTAGCACTGCGGTGAGGGACAAGGGGAGGGAGTGCGGGTGGAAGTTGAGGCAGCGGAACGACATCGATGAGCGCATGGCAGAACGAAGCACGCCGCCGGACAAAGCGGGCAGCGAGATCCGGTGCTTCCAGCGGCTGTCGAGCAAGCACGCGTCTAAACCCTAGGTTACGGCGAGTAGACGAGCGCATCTGCCCGCAATCTCCACTACACCTCAAACCCTAAAACAGCGCATCGCGCTCCCAGGCAGCCGTGGCGGCGGTAGCGGCGCTCACCCTTTTTACGGAGGTCGGGCTTGCCCTTCTTGACCGTGGCCATGACCATGTCGCCCACGGCGCCGGACGGCAGGCGATTGAGGCGGCCCTTGATGCCGCAGACGGACATGATGAAGAGGTTCTTGGCGCCCGTGTTGTCCGCGCAGTTGAGCACCGCGCCCACCGGCAGACCCAGCGTCACTCGAAACTTGGCTCCCGTCGTCGTTCCACCTGCCACGCAACATCCACACACCGCGCCGCTGCATTTCAGACTTCACGCGCGCAACGAATATACTAGGCTAGGACCCGAAGAGAACTCGTGCACAGCTAAAAATCTGAAGCTAAACGAATACAGGGTAGAACGCCAGAATCCTACAGCCGAGGCGACTTCTAAGAGAGACAGTTAAAAAGGAGGGACGACGATGACGGAACCATCAACGATAGGAGTGCTTGCCTCGTTTGGACGCCATGGCTGCGTGCTAACCACCTACGAAAGAGATCAGAAAAAATGAGAAGCAGCAGCTAAATAGGGCAGAGAGACCTGCTGAGAGGCGTTCGATCTACTAGCATCGACGATCATGGACCGTCGATGCTCAGGTGTGAGGGTTTGGCTCGTGCAGAGGTTTCGAGAATGGGAGAGGAGAGGTCCCGAAATCTACATTCATGAATCACAGTTACAATCTGTAAAAAGATTCTTCATTAATTTGGCACACTTGTAGAAGTGCTATTTAGGTAGAATTTCAAGTGCAACTTGCTTCAAAGATGGCATCTTGTCTTGTTTGTGGATGCATATCAGCTTCCCGTTTGCATCCTCCCTTAATACCTGCCACGGTCCTGGATATGCCCTGCACCAATCAAGATACAACAATTAGAATATACGGGGGGCAAGCCAATACATTCCTCACAATCTTTTGAAACATACCTAAACAGTTTGCCTCCAAACCTTCCTTTGAAGTTATGGATGTAATAAGCAGCTTCGAAGAGTGGGAGCAGGCTCTTATTGATTTTTGCCAGTTTTGGGTAGAAGAATGACGGGTAGTCTGCCAAACAAGGCAAACCAAAGGAAGAACAAAGCACGGTCCTTGAGATTAAATGCATATCAGATCATGACTTCAAGGTGACTGGCTTATGATGATGGACTTGACAAGGTAAGAATAATGCCACGGCACTCGTTGCCTTCCTCCATGCAACTCACATCCTGATCGGATCCGATCGAGCTCCCCATTGAAGACAATGATTGGCTGCCCGTTCTTGCTTGCCACGTCACGGTACAGATCATCAACTGCCAGCATTTCTGCACTCATGGTACGTGGGGGACACACCAGCAAGACATAAGACCAGCAGCAAGGAGTGAAAGGCTTCCTGGTATGAAAGGGGCACGGGGCCTGCTGTGAGCTCACGGTGCACAGCAGAGTGGCCTGTTTGTGTGAGCGGGCAGCACGCACCGTTGACGTTGAAGTAGGGGTAGGCGGCCACAAAGAGGCGGTCGGAGGTGGCCACGCGGTGGGCGAGGGGCAGCTTGCGCGAGAAGCCGATGTCCTCCAGCCCCGTGGGCTTGGTCAGACAGTCCAGCGGGAACGCCGTGCCCTCAAACACCTCCTGTGCCGCCGGCAGCTCGTTGGCATCCGGGAAGAACTGTGGCGCACGGCGCAGCGGATGGGGGGGGAAGGGGTAAGGGAGGCTATTAGCACGCAGGGGGACGGATGGGTTAGGGTCACAAGGGAGAGGGGAGGGGCAAGGAGAGGCAGGGAGGAGCCGCAGGAGCGGCATTGGGGCGACGTGACTCACAAGGCGCACGGAGGAGGGCGGGGGGCCTTGAGAGGCGAACATGAGGCAGTACTGGCGCAGCATTTGCATGCTGTTGGTCATCTCTATCCCCCCCTCCGCATCGCCTGCCATCCAACAGCGTGGGGCAAGTGCAAAGACGTGGGGAGGAGCACCGAGGAATGGGGAGGGGAGCACCGGGCAGAGGTGATCAACAGACAAGGCAACCATTGGAAACAGGATAGGGCAGTAGAGAACAACACGAGTTGCAATGTGTGGCATGATGGCATGTGCACTGTGCGGCATGATGGCATGTGCACTGTGCGGCATGATGGAATGTGCACTATGCGGCATGATGGCATGTGCACTGTGCAGCATGATGGCATGTGCACTGTGCGGCATGATGGCATGTGCACTGTGCAGCATGATGGCATGGAATGTGTGACATAACGGCACATTCAGTCCCGCAGCACACCTGGCACGGAGTCAAGGCTGGCGGTGGGGAACTCAACCTCCTGATGGCATCATGGCATCATGGCATCATGGCATCATGACAGGAAGCAAAGCGGCAGTGAAAGACGGATAGGGGGTTATGACTACATCATACCAACCAAGGAAGGCGTGGGGGGGGAGAGGGAAGGGGGGGTTGTTTTGGGAAATACACAACGAGACAGATGAGGCACCCTTAATGAGGTGGCAATCCGGTAGCGCGAAATAATTCCAGACGTAATGCCACGATAGGAGACAATGCGATGGTACAGGGCAATGCGGGAAGTGGTAATGCGATTGTACTGTGCGGAACCACTCTGTGCGTCTCACCAGCAGCGTGCGGCCGTCGGCGAGAGCTGCTTGGGTGGCTTGCTGTGCCTGCAGCATGGGAAACACACACGAATCAAAACTGCTGAGTTGGCATCATGGACAGCTAGGACTATCAACCAAATCGCCAACACAGTGGCATGCGCGCATGGATGGACGGGCATTGCAACGCTGCCTCCGCGCTAGCGCCCTTTGCGCGTGTTCCTTGCTGTGCGCGCTACCTGTCGGATGGCCTCGTCGTAGTCGCGCGGGAACGCCGCCAGCTCGCCGTCGCCTACCGCCGCCACCGTGAGGGCCGCCTTCGCCTTCACCGCGCGCTGGCGCCGACCGCGGGGGCGCAACGAGCATCCATGGTCGAAGGGGACGAGGGCGGCGCGCGCATGCAATGCTGCGCGCAGCGGGAAAAATGCGGGCGGGCGGCGGTCGCTAGCGAGGGGAGCGCAGGACTGAGCGCGCGCTGGAGCGGCGCTTGCGGGGGAAGCAGCCGCTGCAGGTACGAAGGGGCGGGCGACGGAGAGAGCGGAGAGTGGCATTGTGGCGGGCTTGGCTTGGGTTGGGTTGGGAGTGACGGGAGGCGTGTCCTTGAGATGATCTGGCACGGGGATTTCCAATATCCGCGATTGTAAGTCGAGAGTGATGGAGACAGATGGTTGAAGTCAGCCAAAAATAAAGAAGCTGTACAAGCACGTTATATATATAGCTAAGCTACCTAGTGCATAGCTAGCAATACTTTAACTACCACAGGACAGGACCTAATGAACCTTCCTATTCAACTAATCAATGACGCTCTCCCCCCAACCCCGCGACCACATCACATCATATCGAGCACACGCCTCAGCTGGTCCCTAACAATGGCCATGTCGGGGCGGTTATCACGCTCGTACACAATGGCGGAGCGGATGGTCGCCAGCACGATGGCACTGGCAGCAGGCTGCCACTGCCCCGCCAGCACTGGATCCAGCACCTGTGAGGGGTCCGCCTCGCGTGCCACGGCCACGGCCTTGCGCACGGCCTTGAAGCGCGGGCCCTGCGCTGATGCCCCCGACACAAGCTCGAGCAGGAAGATGCCGAATGCGTACGTGTCTGACAGGCGCGTCAACGTGCCTGGCAGGGGGCGCACACGGTGGGGGGTGGGTGGGGGGTTAAGAGGGAGGGGTGAAGCCTAGGCAAAACAGCACGGCACGTTGACGAGTGGTGCTATGGTGCATTGCTGCTGTGCACATGGCATGGTGCATTGCTGCTGAGCACATGGCATGGTGCATTGCTGCTGAGCACATGGCATGGTGCATTGCTGCTGAGCACATGGCATGGTGCATTGCTGCTGAGCACATGGCATGGTGCATTGCTGCTGAGCACATGGCATGGTGCATTGCTGCTGTGCACATGGCATGGTGCATTGCTGCTGTGCACATGGCATGGTGCATTGCTGCTGTGCACATGGCATGGTGCATTGCTGCTGAGCACATGGCATGGTGCATTGCTGCTGAGCACATGGCATGGTGCATTGGTGCTGTGCACATGGCATGGTGCATTGCTGCTGTGCACATGGCATGGTGCATTGCTGCTGTGCACATGGCATGGTGCAGCGGGGGGGGAGCGCGGAGGGCAGGTGGCGGACCGGAGTCGAAGTAGGCGGGGTCGATGTAGGACATGGAGGAGGCGCCCCTCATCTGCACGTGCATCTTCCAATCCGCCACCACCCGCGCCAACCCATAGTCCGCCACCACCGGCGTCCCGTCCTGCTCCGCCACACCACAGCACAAGGACGGACCGGGATGGTTGTAGGATGGTGGCAACCATAGAATTTATTTGGCATATTGTGACTCGTCTAGCATGATGCTACGAAAACAAAAAATACATTAATGTGGTACAGGGAGGGCGAAAGATGGAAGGACGATGCCGATGGGGAAACGAGGGAGGTACTTGGGGCATGGACGCGGGCAATGATAGTACATGCAATGCAATGATAGTACATGCAAGGCAATGATAGTACATGCAAGGCAATGATAGTACATGCAAGGCAATGATAGTACATGCAAGGCAATGATAGTACATGCAAGGCAATGATAGTACATGCAAGGCAATGATAGTACATGCAAGGCAATGATAGTACATGCAAGGCAATGATAGTACATGCAAGGCAATGATAGTACATGCAAGGCAATGATAGTACATGCAAGGCAATGATAGTACATGCAAGGCAATGATAGTACATGCAAGGCAATGATAGTACATGCAAGGCAATGATAGTACATGCAAGGCAATGATAGTACATGCAAGGCAATGATAGTACATGCAAGGCAATGATAGTACATGCAAGGCAATGATAGTACATGCAAGGCAATGATAGTACATGCAAGGCAATGATAGTACATGCAAGGCAATGATAGTACATGCAAGGCAATGATAGTACATGCAAGGCAATGATAGTACATGCAAGGCAATGATAGTACATGCAAGGCAATGATAGTACATGCAAGGCAATGATAGTACATGCAAGGCAATGATAGTACATGCAAGGCAATGATAGTACATGCAAGGCAATGATAGTACATGCAAGGCAATGATAGTACATGCAAGGCAATGATAGTACATGCAAGGCAATGATAGTACATGCAAGGCAATGATAGTACATGCAAGGCAATGATAGTACATGCAAGGCAATGATAGTACATGCAAGGCAATGATAGTACATGCAAGGCGCACAGCAGCTCACGGGTTGCAGGAGGTGACTCACGGGTTGCAGGAGCACGTTGGAGGCCTTAAAGTTGCGGTGCACGAGGTTGAGGCGGTGCAGCTGTGCCAGCACGTCGGCGCATGAGAAGGCCATCTGCACTCGCTCCCTCCACCCAAACTGCACCTCTCCCCTCGCCACTGCATGGTGCACGGATGCGGGGGGAAGGGGAGGGAGAGGGAGGAGGAGGTGAGGCTACTGCAAGGCAGACACTGGATTGGCGTGGCACAATATGTGCCATGCCATGCGCTGGCTTTGCAATGACCATGCATGAATGAGCTGCTGAGCACGTACCTCTGCCCATGAGCTGCGCACCTCTGCCCATGAGCTGCTCACCTCTGCCCATGAGCTGCTCACCTCTGCCCATGAGCTGCTCACCTCTGCCCATGAGCTGCTCACCTCTGCCCATGAGCTGCTCACCTCTGCCCATGAGCTGCTCACCTCTGCCCATGAGCTGCTCACCTCTGCCCATGAGCTGCTCACCTCTGCCCATGAGCTGCGCACCTCTGCCCATGAGCTGCTCACCTCTGCCCATGAGCTGCTCACCTCTGCCCATGAGCTGCTCACCTCTGCCCATGAGCTGCTCACCTCTGCCCATGAGCTGCTCACCTCTGCCCATGAGCTGCTCACCTCTGCCCATGAGCTGCTCACCTCTGCCCATGAGCTGCTCCACGGTGCCGCCTTCAATGAAGTCGCAGATGATGATGGGCGGCCGCTGCGCCACGTACCCATGCACGCGCAGCAGACTCGCATGCCGCCCCTCCTCCTCCACCAACGCGCACTCGTGCTGCCCATGTGCCCGTTACATGGGCGCGTGTTACATGCCATGTGTCACATGCCATGTGCCATGTGCCATGTGCCATGTGCCATGTGGCATGGGGAAGGGGCACGGAGCAACAGGGGATGCAAGTGAGCTGGCTGCACAAACGAAGGCCCACGCAGACAAGGCAAGGAGGGGGGGATAGGACAGACGACCACACACTGCATCCATGCTTGCTTCGCACCTCCCCTCCCCCTTGCCCCCCTCTTCCCCCCATCCACTCCTCCCCCCCTCTCCCTTCCCCCCCACTCACCGCGAAGGTCGCCAGCCCCCCCACGCCCGTGACGGGGTCGCCGTTCAGCACCTTCACCGCCACCGGGATCAGCGCGCGCGCGCCCACGCCTTCCGCGCCCTCCCCCTCTGCGCCTTCCCCCGGTGTGCGCGCGGCGTGCGCCCACATGAAGCCCTTGTACACGAACCCGAACGGGCCGCGCCCCGCGAGCGCCTTGAAGCCCTCCGTGGCGTGCAGCGCGTCCTCAAACGCGTACTCGCGCACCGCCCCCCGCCCGCGCTCCCCCTCTCCCGCCGCCCGCACCGTCGGGTACACGGGGTCTGGCGCGCGCGAACGCGGAAAGGGGGGAGCGGCAGCGGGGGTAGTGGGGGGAAAGGGGGAGGGAGTGAGGTCGTGATGGCGAGCGGAGAGCGAGGTGAATGGCATCAGACGAGCAGAGCAGCGTGCTGAAACGGTCTACATCGGTGCTTTCGGTGATAGTGCGATAGGTCGTCGCGAGGCGTTGCTAGTGAGAGCGTGATGGCGGCAGGGGAACGAGGGAGGCGTGCGGGACAGAGGGAAGGGCGCGCAAGAGAGGGCAAGGCTGGGGGCGGGGCAGAGCGGCGTACGCAGTTCACCGTCGCCCACTGGTCGTGAGAAGAGTCCGCCCATGACGCTGCGCGTCGCTTGACGTCGCACGGCGACGGCGACGCTGCGACCTGGCGACGGGCGCTCAGGATGGTCGCTGGCTGGCTCAACGGGCGGTGTCTGGCAGTCACGCGCCGGTGAGAACGGACGGCTAAGATGTGGTTATCTCAAGTGGCCGGAACTGGAGTGCCGTGAAGTTCTCAAGTTATGCAATCGACCATGGTTCATCGTGGCGTGACGGCCGCACGTTAATCTCTGCACACTCGACTCGCCGCATGAACCTCTGACTAGATCGAATCGGCTAACAAGGGGATTGATGTCGTGGAGTTAACGTGTGTGCGTCGCAGTCGCCCAAAGAATCTGAACTTGGACTTGAGCTGCTGGGAAATAGTTGTCACACTGGTGCCTCGGGATCAGGGGTCTCTTTTCGTTTTGAACCACTCTTCCAAATCAGGGTTCCCGCCGCCCGCCACCCGTCCAAGGCCGGGTGGCGCGCGGCAAAATCAGGGTAGTGGCAGGGTATTTTTCACCACACTTGATTTTTGGCAGGGTGTTTTTTACGACAACCCTGGTTTCGTTGAGAGTAGAGCTAGCTCGCCCAGCTCTCACCCGTGTGAGGGTTCGTGACTTAGGGCGTATTCCTGCACTTCGGGTCATCAGCACTTCGGGTCATCCAAATTGTGGGATCCAATCGGAAGTTCGGAATCAAGAGATTGGGGTGCATTTCGATTTTCCGATTGGATCCCACAATCTCGGAAGACCCGAAGTGCTGATGACCCGAAGTGCAGGAATACGCCTTTGCCACAATTCGAATTGTGACAAGTGCTGTGACTGCCACGCTCTGGATTGGCTTTCCAATGATCCCAGCTTGCATCGCACTCAAGTATCTCACGGGTCCTCGCTTCAACGCGTCGTGCGCTGCTGCCGTTGACCTCACCCAGCTGGATTGGCTGAGTACCCCCCATTCACGAAAGTCAAGTCAGACTCGCGAAACAGTGGCGATTGCCCGCGAGCCAGCGTGCTGCTGCGAAACAATGGGTTCAGTGTTGTTCACAAGAATCGGTCAGTCGGGGGGAAAAGTTAGTGTTTCGCGGGTGTCGCAAACAAATGCACTTCGTCTCGCCCAGCAACTGCCTGCGTCACCTCTGCGACCACCACGACCGTTTTGTTGAGGCTTTCACGGACACAGCACCAACATCAGTGGACTGCGGGACGCGGCTTAGGAGCGACGAATGGCTTCCACGAGGAGTCTTGAGAAGCCTGAGTGTCCTTTATGTATTGGTTCCGGTGACCGTTAGGCAGTTAACGATCGTCCCGATTCGCAGCAATAGGAGCGGCTGGACCAACGCTCGGCATTCCCAAGGACGTGCCCACAGATCGCGCGACTTGCTGACTCGCGCCGGCTGCTAACTTATTGCAACACGCGTCGCGCGCCCTAGACGAGTCGAGAGTAACTGTTGCGAAAAGGCCGCAGTCCAAACTCACATCTGTCCGACTCGCCTCTCGCTGCCCACTCCTCCCGTGCCGCGTGGCGCACTTTTCGTCCGCCACGTGGCGATGGGGTGCGCAGCGTCGCACGCAAGAGGTTCTGAAACACCACCGCCTCCGCGACTGGGATCATCGCGATCAGGTGACGCATGTGTTGGAGGCTCGCTGCAGTAGCAGGTCAGGTCTGCTGCAGCAGATGAGGTGCGCTGCAGCAGATGAGGTGCGCTGCAGCAGATGAGGTGCGCTGCAGCAGATGAGGTGCGCTGCAGCAGATGAGGTGCGCTGCAGCAGATGAGGTGCGCTGCAGTACCGATAGCGTCCAGCACCCACTCGTATTGCCAGTCACGTCACGCTGTCCACCCCCTCAAAACGCCTCCCTTCCCCTTCCCCCTTTGCGCGCCATCCTCTCTGAACCTCCCCCGTCCCCGCTGCACACCCTCTCCGACGCTCCGCCGCGCACCCCCTTTCGCCCCCCGTCCAGACGCGCGGTCGCCGTACCCGGTGCGCAAGTCCGCGGAGGCGGGCGGCGGAGTGTGCGAGTACAGCTACCAGGAGGTGCACGCCGCCACGGGCGGGTTCCAGCACGAGTTGGGGAGCGGCGGGTTCGGCGTGGTGTACCACGGGTACCTGGCGGAGCCGCACGGCGTGCCTGCTGGCGGCAAGGGCGCGGCCGTGTGGGCCGTGGCGGTGAAGCTGATGAGCGGCGAGCACATCGCCAACGGCATCGACAGCTTCATGGTGCGCCAAGCATGGGGGGCGGGGAGGGGGGGAGGGGGGGTGGTTTGAGAGGGTGGTGGGGGTGTCATGGGAAACAAGGGAAGGTGATTTGACTGCTATTCGCGAGCTACGTGCCTGCTAGCCGTCTATTTCCCAGCCAGACCCTGCTAAGTCCACTCTAATCTCTCCGTGCGACTCCACCCTGCCACCTTCTCTTGTGCACATTCTGGTGGCATGGTGGCATGGCGGCATGGTGGCATGGTGGCATGGTGGCATGGGGGGCATGGCATGGCGGCATGGGGGCATCGCATGGTGCATGGTGGCACGGGGACATGGGGCATGGCATGGTGCATGGGGGCATGGCATGGTGGCATGGCGGCATGGCAGACGGAAGTGGCGGTGATGGCGAGGGTGCACCATCCCAACATCCTACGGCTGGAGGGCTACGTGGTGGGTGCCACGCCCATCCTCATCTACGACTACATCCCCAATGGGGATGCCGCCTCCTACCTCGCCAAAGGTGCCTCCTACTACCTCGCCAAAGGTGCCTGCCTTCCACTCTCGCACTCCCTCCTCCGCTCTCTGCCATTCATCCATGCCACTTCCATTCATCCATGCCACTGCCATGCACTCAATGCTGCGTGCGCTTTGACCGGGTGAATGGATTGGCTTCCACGCCCACCCCATTCGCCATGCATGCCCTCGCCCCATGCGCCTCCTCTCCTCTCTTCTCTTCTCCCACTCCCCCACGGTGCAGCGAGGAGTGGTGAGGTGCAGTTTTCATGGAGGGACAGGTTGAGGGTAGCGCTGGGGTGTGCGGAGGCGCTGACAGCCATCCACGCCAACAACTTCGTGCATCGCGACTTCAAGGCGCCCAACGTGCTGCTGCGGGAGGTGAGTCCCTCACGTGCTGCTGCGGGAGGTGAGCCCCTCACGTGCTGCTGCGGGAGGTGAGCCCCTCACGTGCTGCTGCGGGAGGTGAGCCCCTCACGTGCTGCTGCGGGAGGTGAGCCCCTCACGTGCTGCTGCGGGAGGTGAGCCCCTCACGTGCTGCTGCGGGAGGTGAGCCCCTCACGTGCTGCTGCGGGAGGTGAGCCCCTCACGTGCTGCTGCGGGAGGTGAGCCCCTCACGTGCTGCTGCGGGAGGTGAGCCCCTCACGTGCTGCTGCGGGAGGTGAGCCCCTCACGTGCTGCTGCGGGAGGTGAGCCCCTCACGTGCTGCTGCGGGAGGTGAGCCCCTCACGTGCTGCTGCGGGAGGTGAGCCCCTCACGTGCTGCTGCGGGAGGTGAGCCCCTCACGTGCTGCTGCGGGAGGTGAGCCCCTCACGTGCTGCTGCGGGAGGTGAGCCCCTCACGTGCTGCTGCGGGAGGTGAGCCCCTCACGTGCTGCTGCGGGAGGTGAGCCCCTCACGTGCTGCTGCGGGAGGTGAGCCCCTCACGTGCTGCTACAGGAGGTGAGCCCCTCACGTGCTGCCAAGAGATGGGACGCCCCTCATGCATGCCCTGCAGAAACGACAGGAGACGCACTTCCACACGCACCTCTAACCCCTCTCACCCCTCTCACCCCTCTCACCCCTCTCACCCCTCTCACCCCACTGCCCTGCGCCCGCCCTGCACAGGACCTGACACCAGTGGTGGCGGACTTTGGGTTGGCGCGAGCGGTGGACGACTGGAAGACACACGTGGAGACACGCGTGATGGGGTCCGTGGGCTACATCGACCCCATCTACTTCGAATCAGGTCCGCTCACCCCCGCTCTCTCTGCCCTCAAACATTGCACTCAGTCCCTTGAGGATCAGATGACCAGCCAGTTGCAGCGGCATTTCTCAAGGTTGCTTCCTGATACGGTACACTTCCGTTGTGCTTTTGCCCTGCAGGCAACCTGAGTAAGAAGTCGGACACATATGCGTTTGGGATCTTCTTCCTGGAGCTCATCTCCGGCACATCTGCCCTTGATAGCAACTTCAAGGAGCTGCGGCGCCTGGTGAACGGGAATGACTACCCCGATGCCGCTCTTGTGATGGACCCGCACCTGGCGGGGCAATGGCAGCTGAAGCACGTGCTCGTGGCCTTCACACTCATCAAGTTTGCCATCTTCTATGACTGGGAAACTAGACCAGGGATGGACGTTCTGATAAGAAAGCTCAAGGATATTGTGTCTGAAGTTGAAGCAACATCTTGAGTTAGAAAAATGTGACAAGCTTAATCGGCTGTGTTTGTTCTGTTAATACGGTATAATTAGGAAGCTGCTGAGTCTGGTGGCTGAGGACCTGTAGGGCGGATGTGAAGCAGGTGCTGCTGGTGGCCTTCACCCTTCAAAAAAGTTGGCCATTTTCTTGGACTGGGACTGGTGCGAGCACAATGCGGGTCAAGCATGGATGTGCAGTAGGTTTAGTGAGTGCCGCTGCCACTGGGCAGAATGCACATTAGTAAGTTCTTTGGGAATATTGCTGCATCCTTGTACAGTATCATGGGTTATTTCTTTGGATCAGTCAAAATTCGACCTGAGAGTTACGAATGGGTTTAAGTTTGCTTTCGCGTGCGCCTGTATCGCGAATTTGGTTCGCGTTTCTGCAATAAATCACCGCTCCAGGCATTGACTCCTGCCCGCACTTGGCGGCGCTAGTCTCGCTCACTCGTTTTCCTCGACTGGCGAGATTTGCAATTTCGCACCCCATTTCACCCTCTTCCCATCCCCAACCCACCATCATTGCCCCGCGAACCACATGCAACACCCCCTTTGCTATCATGGCCTATTTCCCACCCATTCCCGTTTCTCCAGCCAGTTCTTCCACCCTTCCCTTGGCCCTTGCTTCGTCGTCCTGTTAGCGCCACGAATTGCCTGCACCATCCACTCCACCTTCCCAGCTTCGATAGCGAACATCGCTCTCCGCTGTAACTTCTGGCTGACACAGCGCCAGTTTTAAGACACAGCAGCCCGCTCGCCAGTGGCTAATTCGAAATTCTGCGGAGCATTAGAAAATCACACGAAGCATCTCGGCGCATCGCATCTCACTCACATGGCGTTCGACCAGCCGTGGGTACCCGAGGGCGCCTGGACCACGTCCGTGTTCGCGTGCTGCGACGACGTCCCCTCCTGTGAGCACGCCGCTCTCTCCGCACCCATACGCTCGCATCACTGCGCGTGGCCCACTTAGCCGAACCTTAACGCCCTCATTCTTCCCCGTTGCCGTGGTCCCGCGCGTGTGTGCGCAGTGTGCTGCGCGGTGTGGTGTCCGTGCGTCATGGTGGGGCGCAACGCCGAAATCGTCACCGACGGCTTCACAGGTGACCCCACCTCGCCCTCACACCATTCTGATGCGTCGCGCGCCAACTACTAGTCGCACAAGAGTGACCTCGCAGACGGCTTCGTCACTTAATCCATCCGATCTATCCCCCGATCGTCGTTCTTCGCGTCACGCAGACCCCTGCCGCGCGTGCGTCGGGTGGGCGCTCCTCCAGCTCGCCTGCAGCGGCGCCTTCTTCGCGCGAGGTCAGCCGCGCTGCCCTCTATGCCGTCATTCTCTCCCGCACGCTCTGCTCGCCGCTCCCTGTCAACTCTTTTCTATACGTTGTTTCGCCGTCTGATGTCGTGCTGTCTCCTTACATACTGCTCGTTTGTGTGCGCTGCCCCGCGCGCTGCAGATTTCCGCAAGCGGCTGCGCGAGAAGTACATGCTGCCGCAGCGGCCGTTCAGCGACTTGTGGATGCACTGCCTGTGTGCGTGCTGCGCCATCGCGCAGGAGCATCGCGAACTGCGCAACCGCGGATGGGACCCCGCGCTAGGTGCGTGCGTAGCATCGCATGATGTAGTGTAACAAGCACCCAGTGTTTTCTGCACTTATGATCTCCGAACCCACTTGCTCTCCACTTGATGTTCCCTTCGCCTCACCTCGTGCCCCCTCAGGCTATGCGGGCAACGTGCGCAAGTTCCAGGCGTGCTCTCCGCCCCCCCAGATGGAGATGCTCGCCGACCAGTAGTAGCTAGCCCTCCGCTGCCGCTGTACTCTACCTCTGCTCTCTTATCCTCCTCAGCCTCTAGAATAGAAGTTTCTTAGGTACCAAGCCATTTTGCATCATATCTTGATGTGCATATGGATGTATTTACATTTGACAAATTGCTACAACAGCTTGCCTTCGCAACAGAGGGTCCGGTCGTTGCTTCTAACGCTACCAGTACTGCCCCACGCTCACCATGACGGTCTACGCCTGAGACAACTAGCTACGCGGCTGTCAGCCACCAGTCAGCACGGGCACTGTCGTGCATGCTCGCCCACAAGGTGCCACCGCGCCCGCCGGGGGATCCCGGCGGCACTTCCAGCGGCGGATGCGGCAGCTCCGGCCCCTCCGGCACATGCGGCGGGCCTGGGATTTCCGGGATTTCCGGCACCACGTCAGGCGGCGTCGGCACCTCGGGAATCTCGGGGATTCGCTCCGGAGGGTTGGGAATCTCGGGGATTTCAGGAATAATGTCGGGCGGTGTGGGGGAGGGAACTTCGGGCGGGGGGAAGGGCGGAAGGTTTGGCGGAGGGGTTGGAGTTGGGGCTCCGGGGGGTGGGATGGGGACGGCTTCGGGAGGTGGCGAGGGCGGGGGGACTTCGGGGGGAGTGAGCGGGGGGACGTTCGGCATCGGGATGGGGGGCGCCCTCGGGACAATCTCGGGGCTTGCGGGCTGCCCTCCGCCACGACCCGGCACTTCCGGGGGGAAATCGGGACCTCCAAGGACGTGGAGGCCCGCGATGCGGCGCGCGCACTCCGGTACTGATGGGTCGCGCGAATACTGCAACGGCGGGGACTGTAAGAGGGGCGCATCCAGTGCGCATGCCCGTTTGCCGTGTGCTGACACTACTTGCACGCACGCGCTCAGACCTGGGGAGAAGTTACGCGCGATTGAAGCGATTGATGGTGGGTGCAAGTCTGCCATGTGACAGATGGGCCTGCCGAAGAAGAAAAGAAAATAAAATAAAAACAAGACACGTGAAGGAAGAATTCGGCAGGTTGATAGTGAATTCCAAAATTATTCTCGATTCAAAAGACTTAGGCACGCACCTCGCCAAGGAAGAGCGGATGCACTGCCGCGCCATGGATGAGCAGGGAAGCGCCATGGATGAGCAGGGAAGTGCCATGGAGTTCTGATGTGGGGCTAAAGACGTAGTAGCGTGAAACGGAGACAGGAGTAGTGGTGCTGTGGGTGGGACAATCGACTAATCCTTATAGGCGCAAATCTCTTGCTGGGGAGGAATTTCATGAGGGGTTGAGATGGCTCAACTGTTGTGCATGCCATCCGTGGGGCAGAAGAAATGCGTTGCGGATAAAGTGTACATCTCTACCATTCTGTACTGAAAAGAGTGCACAAACAACAGAGCATCTCACGACGCCGTGGAGCTGGCAAAACATATCAGAGCGAGGTTTCGATCCTCGGACCTGTGGGTTATGGGCCCACCACGCTTCCGCTGCGCCACTCTGATGTGCTAGCTGAAGGAAACAAAAAATTATGAAATCTTGGTTTTTCCTGCGCTAGCCATTCCAGCGTCATTTTTACACTGAAAAGGCATTTCGACTATGGCGGTGCGTGCAGACAGTTTCCGTCGTCGCGTCGCACACAATTCGGTCTTACCTTCGCTGTCCTCCCTCCATGCTCATTCCGCGCTCGCCCTCTCTCACCCTTCCCCGCGCAGGCCGCGAAGATCCCGGTGGAGCTGCAGCTGGCGGCGGACGAGGCGGCGTGGCTCGCCCAGATGGCCGCCACTCACGGGCTGCCCGACGCTGGTGCGTCGCCGCGCTGCCATGGGGAATTGCGCATGCATTGAGAGAGTGGAAGGGGCAGGATGGACGGAGGGATGGATGAGGGAGGAGGATGCAGCAGCGAGAGAGTGGAAGGGGTAGGATTGCTGCTGTTGCTTATTCTGGGTGACTGATTGCGCGTTCGCGAACTCAACGACAATCGCGCGCATGCGTTACCCTTACACCCCATCCTCCTCGTACCCGTCTCTCCCCCTACCCCTGACGTGCCGTGGCGCGCAGGCAAGGCGCTGCGCATCGTGCTGACGTACGCGAGGGACGAGAATCTGGGGGCTCTGGGCGGCAAGGAGGTACGGCCGCGGGGACATGCGCAGTGGAGCCAAGCCAAGCGCGCTGAGTCGCGCAGCGGGGATTCACACCGCTCGCTGTAGCGCGCAATTTGCCATGCCAGTCTGTGCGCTGCATCCCACTACTCGCCATGCCATGCCATGTCGTGCCATGCCACACCATGGCACGACTTTTCATGGGCTCGTGTGCAACGTATGGTGATGTGAATGTCATGGCAGGCCATCCAGTCTCCCTCTTCATCGCTCGCCACCCACTCATTCGAAATCGAGTCTTTCGTGAGTCACACCTGCCCTGCCCCCTTCCTGGCCCCTCCTCCCCATGCCTGCCGTCCCTGCCCACATCCCTCGTGCTGCAAAAGCTTGTTCTCGCATCACATGAACTGCGTCTGTGCTCTCTTGCACTGCCCTCGTCTGTTGCATGCGCCCATCCATGCCAAAGTACCGTTGCCTTTCCTCTTGCTTACAAGTCATGCCATCACCCCCACCATTGCCATCACCCCCCACCATTGCCATCACCCCCACCATTGCCATCACCCCCACCATTGCCATCACCCCCACCATTGCCATCACCCCCACCATTGCCATCACCCCCACCATTGCCATCACCCCCCCCCCCCCAATGGCCGTTCACGTCCGTCAGCATGAGGGCGTTTTGCGGAAGATTCAAGAAGCAAACAATTGCGACAGCGTTAGTGAGGTATGCTGCCACGTGTCATGATGTGCTGCCACGTGTCATGATGTGCTCGCACATGCCATGGTCAGCACTGACGTGCTGTTGTGCGACATCAAATGCCACAGCAGCCTGCACGGCACACTGTTGTGTCACTCTCTATCACCCACTCATCTCCACCCCCTCTCCACCACACCCCCCCTTCACGCGTCTCTCTCCGCCCTGTTGTGCCCATCCTCTCTCTCGTGCAGGCGGTGCGGGTGCTGCTGCACCACGTGCAGGCAGCGGTGTCAGAGGCAATCCTCTTTGGCCTCGTGCGCTGCAAGCGCCCCCTCAACTGCACCTCCTGCCCCGCCCATGCCGCCGCTGCCGCTGCCAAGGCTGCTCCCCCTGCTGCGCCTGCCGCTGCTGAGTAGCTGCTGCTAACAGGCAGGTCAAGGAGGCTCATTGCGTACTGCTGTAGGTCCAATGCTATGCCTGCAAGCTGCTGTCTGTAGGCTTGCATATTTGTTGGAGAGATGTGGCTTTCGGTGTTTACCTCTGTGTTTGAGGAAATGGTGGAAACGGGTTGCTCATTTTGAGTGATGTAGGTATGGTTGTGAGGCATGAGCGCTGGCATTAGTGAGCTCAGCAGGTCAAGCACAAGGCAACGCTGGTGTTCTACAGAGGGGCGGCATAGTGATGCTGTGCAGGAATGCCTTATAAGACGGGTTGTAGTGTCAACAAGACTAGGCAAGAATGGTGCATTGAATGAAACAGTTGGGTACAAGTAGCAAACCCACTACAGCCTACCAACATGTAAGACATTACAATTTAACACACCCCTATAGGCAAAGTGGGGGAGAACAAAGGGTCACAAGACCAGTCCAGCAAAGCAACGCAAGCCCAGGGTGGATCACAACGTCACCACACTCCGAGCACAAGCAAAGGCCACAAGGCCAGTTCACATGCAGTGCTAGATATAGTACAAGACAAGCAACACAGTGATCAAAACCTAGCAAGCAAGCAACAAGATATATATAAAGTACAGTACAAAGAAAGTCAAGCAGTAAGCAAATGAGGGAATGTGGACACAAGGCCTAAAGAAGTACAGTGCCGCTGATGATCACTAGGCGGGAGCGCCTTGGTGAAGATATCAGCAGTGTTGGCCTTCGAGTCCACGTACACAAGCCGAAGCTGACCGCGCTGCTGAAGCTCTCGAGCAAGAAAGTAGCGAAGAGCAATGTGCTTCGTCCTGTGCTCCAGTCTGTGCTCTTGACACAAGGCAAGGGCCGCCTTGTTGTCGCCGTACAGAACTGGAGGAGAACTAGGCCGCTCTCCCAAGTCAGTCAGCAGGTAGGTGAGCCAGCGTAACTCCTGTGCAGCCATGGCCGTGGCGTAGATCTCAGCCTCACAACTAGAGCTGAGAACAGAAGAAGAGCGGGTGGACCGCCACGAGACAGAACCAGAGCCAAGGCTGAAGGTGTAACCCTGCGACGACCGCTGCGTAGCCAGGTCGTCCACCCAAGAAGCGTCCGAGTGACCAGTGAGGACAACTCTGTCGCGTCCTCCAAGCACCAGCCCCATGCCTGATGTACTGCACAAGTAACGCAGCACCCTCTTAGCAGCCTCCCAGTGCTCTCGCCTGTGTCTCCCAGGCGCAACGTAACGAGCAAGGATGCTAAGAGGGTACGCGAGGTCAGGTCGCGTGCAAGTCATCAGGTACATGAGGCAGCCTACAAGCTCTGGGTACGAGCCACTCGGCTCTACGGACTCGTCCGAAGGTGGAGCTGAGAGCGAGTGGCTGGTAGCCAGAGGTGTGGCCTGTGGTGAGGAGAACTGGAAGCCAAAGCGCTGAAGGACCTGCTGCACCATGTGTGACTGAGTCAGGGTAATGGTGCGGCGTGCTCTGTCCCGGGTGATCTGCAAGCCAAGGTAGCTACGCAGCTCACCCAGGTCAGTGCACGTGTGTCTCTTCTGCAGCTCCGACTTCACACGAGCGAGTGCCTCAGTGTCAGCAGTAGCAAAGACCAAGTCGTCGACGTACACGAGGATGTAGAACGGCGGCAGCGACGTGTCTGTGCGCAGGAACAGTGACGGGTCAGCAGTGGAAGGAGCAAACCCAAGGGCCGCAAGTGTAGTCCTCAGTGTGTCGTGCCACTCGCGTGGCGCCTGGCGGAGACCGTAGACTGGCCGCCGGAGGCTCCACTGGGTACCAGGAGGAAACGACCCAGTAAAGCCAGGTGGGCGGCGCAACCAGATCTCCTCGTGCAGGCTGCCCTGCAAGAACGCTGTGCTGAAGTCAAGAGAGTGAAGCTCGTAGTCACGCTGAGCGGCAACGTGCAGCAGAACCCGAAGAGTAGTCATCTTCGGGGTGGGGGAGAAGGTCTGGAAGAAGTCAACCCCCTGACGCTGACTGAAGCCTCTAGCAACGTAACGAGCCTTGAAGACAGGTGGAGAACCTGGCGGCCGCTTCACCCTGAAAATCCACATGCCATCGACGATGTTCGCCCCAGGAGGGGGAACCTCGTCAACGTAGGTGCCTGTGGACTTCCAGGATGCCATCTCTGCGTCCATGGCTGCCTGCCACTGAGAGGAGTAGGGGCCCGAGATCGCCTCTGCGTAAGAGCGCGGAGTGGGGATGTCTAGTGCATCCGGGTCTCCCTCAGGGGCAAGCAGCCAGGCCACGAGATGAGGTACAGCAGCCGCAAGAGAGTCAAGGTCCTCCTGCCTGTCCTCAAGGATGTCCGTGCCAAGAGCACACTCACCCCCGACGGACGGAGGACAGACAGACTCAGACTCAGCAACAAGACTGGCGGCGTAGTCTAGACGACAGGCAGCAGCAAAGTCGACAAGCTCAGCGACCAGGGCAGACGCAGCAGCAGACTCAAAAGACGGGTCAGTGACAACAGTGGCGAGAAGACGGGTAACAGTAGGGTGGGCAGCACGAACACTGTCAGACTCAGGGTCGGGAACGTCAGGAAGAGAAGACGCAGGAGGAGACGGTAGGGGGACACGCTGTGGACCAGTGGAAGGACGAAGGGCCATAATGTGCGTGCCAGGAACAGGAGGAGGACGCGGACGCGCGACACGACGACCAGTGGGACCAGTGCGAGCAGTGCGAGCAGCGCGAACAGGCGAGGCAGGACGAGACACAGGCTCACGACGCTCCGTAAGCGAGTCCGGCTGTGCAGTGTAAGGCACAGGAGCAGGGAGGGGGGAGCCAGGCTGGAGGGGAAGGCCAGTGGAAGAAGGGAGGGAAAGAACCTGGCGAAGCACCGTGTCAGGCGGTGGCAAAGCCGACGGCGACGGTGGAGCGAAGAACAGTCGCGACGGCGGAGCTCCGCCAGCACCTCCAGCACCCGCAGCACCAGAAGCACCAGTACCAGCACCCCCCGCCGCAGCACCCCCAGAGCCGGCGACGTCAGCACCAGAGGCCCCAGCAGCGGCAGACCTCCCCTCGCCAGCACCTCCAGAACCAGCAGGACCAACACCTCCAGGACCGTCAGCTCCAGTGTCGTCAGCTCCAGCAGCTCCAGCACCTACAGGAAGAGCACCCCCAGAGCCGGCAGCTCCAACTCCGCTAGGACCGTCAGCTCCAGAGGCCCCAGCTCCAGCAGCTCCAGCCTCAGTGCTCCCAGCCCCGGCAGCTCCAGTACCCCCAGGACGAGCACCTCCAGGACGAGCAGCTCCAGAACCTCCAACTCCAGCGGGACCACGAGGAAGGCGAAAGCGCTGGACGTACCAGTCACGAAGCTGCTGCTGTGTGAGAGGCTCCCGGAGAGACGGCTCAGCACCCCGAACCGGAGCACCCCCAGACGTAGCAACCCCAGGCTCCGCAGGCTCAGTCGCAGCACCCCCAGGCTCAGTACCCTCAGGCGCAGCACCCCCAGGCTCAGTAACCCCAGACTCGGCACCCCCAGGCTCAGTACACCCAGGCTCCGTACACGCACGCTCAGCACCCCCAGTCGCAGCACCCCCAGGCTCAGCACCCCCAGGCTCCGTACTCTCAGGCACCGTACCCTCAGCTCCAGCACCCTCAGTCCCAGCACCCGCAGCCCCAGCACCCCCAGGCCCAGCACCCCCAGGCTCAGCACCCCCAGGCTCAGCACTCCCAGCAGCACCACCCGCAGCAGCACCTGAGTCACCTGTGACCTCGACAGGCTCAGCGACGGGAGGAGGGTCTACCTGAGAGACACCTGAAGGAGCAGGACCCTGAGGGGGAAGGGGGTCTACCGGAGGGGGACCAGGAGCGAGGAAAAGCGGCGGGGGAGGGAGAGGGGCAGTGCGGTAGGGGAAGAGACGGTAGAAAGGGACCGACTCGTCAAAGGTGACGTCCTGAGAGGCGAAGACCCGGCGCGAGGTGGGGTGGTAAAACTGCCAGCCAGGCGCGTCAGGGACAAAGCCAAGGAAGACACAGGGGACAGCGCGGGCGGAGAGCTTGTCCGCGGTGGTATCGCGGACAAAGGCACGAGAACCCCAGACCCGGAAACGCGACGCATCGCCAACCTCCCCCGTCCACAGCAGTGTGGGCGAGGTCTCCGGCAAGGAGACACGGGGCCAGAGGTTGAGCTGATGCGCGGCGTACCGGACCGCAAACGGCCACAGAAAATGGGGGGCAGCCGCATGGACCATGGAGGTACGAGCGACCTCCATGACCAAGCCAATGCGGCACTCAGCAATCCCATTCTGCTGCGGAGAGGCCGGAAGCGTGAACGACTGGGTGATGCCGCGCTCCGCACAGTAGGCTGCCAAGAGGTCGGAGGAAAACTCACCACCTCTGTCAGAGTGCAGACGCAGGACGGGAAACTCTGTCCCGAACCGCCGGCGGAGCTGGAGACGAGCAGCGCGGATCCAGGGGATCAAAACAGTAGGGACCTCACCCTTGGTGCGCAAGGGGAAGACCGTGGTGTAACGCGTGTAGTCGTCGACGACCAGCAGGAAGTACCGCTCGTGGTCCTGTCCACGGACGCGGGCTGGGCCCCACACGTCCAGGTGGAGAGTCTGCAAGGGAGCCTCTGTGGGAGGGAACGAGGAGGAGTGAGGAGCGGCGCGCTACCGCCCCTCGACACAGGGAAGACAGGGAGGAGCAGGCGAGGGTGGGAGGGGAGGGAGAACTCTGGGAAGACCAGAGACAAGGACACGACGGTGCATGCTGCGAAGGCGCTGCACCGAGGGGTGACCAAGGCGGTGGTGCCAAAGAAGGGTCTCGTGCGACAAGGCGCGACACAAGCAGGGGGCCGACAGCTGACCTGACGCAGACGCAGACGCAGCTACCTGAGGGGACTCAGTGGTCAGGGTGTACAGGCTCGAGCCAGGCGCACGGGTGAAAGTGGCCAGGTGTCGGCCCGTCCGAGCACACGTACAGTGAGTCACCCGCTGACGCGCAGGAGTGAACTGGTCAACCCCCCCATCCTGGAGGTCAGCTCCACTCACCAGGTTCGTAGAGAACGAGGGGAGGTAGAGACCTGACAGCAAGCCAGACGGGGCGGCTGGACACGGCAGAACCGTGGAGTAGTGGGCAAGGACTGGACCCCCAGAGGGGTCGGCCAGGGAGACTGCAACCGGCCGACGAAGCGGCGTAAGTGTGGTGCAGTCGCGAAAGAAGGAGCGGGAAGCTCCTGAGTCAAGGGTGAAGGTGTGCAGGGTCGCAGCAGGCGAAGAACCAGAGAGGGCAGACTCACCAGGACCTGGAGCAGCAGCCTCACCAGCACCTAGAGCTGGAGACGCAGTAGCACCTAGAGCAGCAGCCTCACCAGCACCTAGAGCAGGAGACGCAGTAGCACCTAGAGCAGCAGCCTCACCAGTACCTAGAGCAGCAGGCGCGATACCTGGGTCAGGCGGCGCACACAGGTAACAGGCACGGTCAGCACTAGTAGGCAATGCATACATGGCAGTGAGAATAGCATCATAGTCAAGAGCAAATATATCTACTCTCTGCCTAAGTAGCTCCACCCAGTCGGGGAGCTCAGCTCCGTCGCCAAACTCGGTGCGCCAGGCGTCGCTCAGACGGGCGAAGCAGCGGGACTGCGTGTGACTAGGTGTCCCGCAAGGCTGACCAGTCCGAGCACCAGTGCGAATGACGTAAGAGCAGCGAACAGAACTGAGAGACCCTCTACTCTGAGCGTACCACTCACGAAGCTGCTGGGGCGTGCGAGACTCGCGTGGACGACAGTGTAGCTGCATCTGGCCACCGCCAGTAGCAGCAGCAGCAGTAGTGGCAGCAGTAGCAGCGCGGCCACCCCTACAACCCCAACTAGCGGACCACCCACGCAGCTGCTGGGGCGTGAGGGACTCACGCGGACGTCGCTGGGGCTGCATCTGGCGTCGGCCAGTAGCAGCAGGTCAGGCAGGCAGGCAGGCCGGCGGCGCGGCAGCGCGCTAGCAAGGCAGGGGCTCACCAGTAGCAGGAAGAGCAGGCTCTCACCGGGCGAGCAGGGCCGGTGCTCGGCGGACGGCGGCAGGGTCAGCGTACGACGGCGGCGACAGCAGGGCCGTGGCAGCGGCTACAGTGAAGGGCCGGATCGAGTCAGCGGCAGGGCAGGGCCGGGTCGTGGCAGCGGCAGGGTGGCGCGAGCCGCTGCCGGGGGCCGTGCACTGGCGGGTAGGGCGCGGCGCGGGCCGCGCGGACGGCGCGCAGCGCGCTGCGGGCCGCGGACGCGCCGCGCGGGCTTGGGGCGAGCTGCGCGGGGCAGCGGCGGGCCGCGCGCGCGTCGCGCGGGCTCGGGACGGGCTGCGCGGGGCAGCTGCGGGCCGCGCGCGCGTCGAGCGTGCTCGGGACGGGCTGCGCGGCAGGCAGCGCGACGGCGGGCAGCGCGGCGGGCAGTGCGACGGGCGGGCAGCGCGGCGGGCAGCGCGGCGTGTAGCACGACGGGCGGGCAGCGCGGCGAGCGGGCAGCGCAGCGGGCGGGCAGCGCGGCGTGCAGCGCGACGGGCGGGCAGCGCGGCGAGCGGGCAGCGCAGCGGGCTGCGCGACTGGCGAGAGACGCGGCAGGCAGCGCGACGGTGGGCAGCGCGGCGGGCAGCGCGGCGGGCGGGCAGCGCGGGCGCACGAGGGCGCTAACGAGGGGCGCACGAGGGCGCTAACTGGGGCGCGCGAGGGCGCAGCGAGGGCGCGCGAGGGCGCTAACGAGGGCGCGCGAGGGCGCTAACGAGGGCGCACGAGGGCGCAGCTAGGCTAGGGCACGGGGTAGCGTGGTAACCGCATGCGAGCGGTGGTGGGCCCTAAAAAAAAACGGTCGGTAGGTCCTAGGGACCTCCTGCTCTGAATACCATGTCAACAAGACTAGGCAAGAATGGTGCATTGAATGAAACAGTTGGGTACAAGTAGCAAACCCTAGTTGGGGTTGTACCCCATATTGGCTACCCCACTACAGCCTACCAACATGTAAGACATTACAATTTAACATGTAGCAGTGCGCAATGCTGGTTTAGTGTGAACCCCACCCCAGAGTGCCGCGTACACAAGTACGGTAACAATGAAAGGCTCCTGCTACCTACCATGCATGCCTAAACCTGCTCCTCACCTCCCATGAACAGCACATCCATCCCAATGTGTGATTAATGTGGATTTATTGCTGGGAAAACCGCACAACAGTGCTTATGTTGAGCGCCTAGCTTCTAGACCTACAACACTGCTCCTGACTGTTGAATTGAAAGTGAATTGACGGACCAAGCAACTGTACTAGTCAAGTTGGGCCAAACCAGCTGTCTCATAAATCTACCGTATATGAACGGTTGTCGCAATCATCCCACCTCCCACCACCCAGCACCCCCCGTCAGCCATCAGCCGTCACGCCCCACTGCAGGGCGCTCCCACTCGCCCTCTGCCTCACCCCTGCGCTGCACTGCACTGCCACCCGCAAGCGGCAGGTCTTGTCTGAAAGAATCAAATCCCAAGCCGCCCAGCACCGGCACCCCTCCGCTCCTCCCAGCTGCAAACCGCTGCCTTTTCTCCTCCATACTCACAACGCTCCCTCCCTCACCCCCACTCTTACTCCCACCCTCTGTGCCTGTGCCTGTAATAGTGCTGTCACCTGACTCTGCACCACCGTCGCCCCTTCTCTCCCCACCCTCCCCTCCTTCATATCGTCCCACTGCCCCCACTGCTTTAACATCAGCCCCCCCAGCAGCACCACCCACCACCTCAGATCGATCGTCCTTTTCCGGCAGTGACGAGTGGCCGGCGCTGCTGTCGGGCGGCGGGAACTGGGCGGCAACACCACAGAGCTGTGCGAGGTGGCGGACGGCGGAGTAGATGGAAGGATGGGATGGGTGGGTTGTGGGCGGCAGCGGTGGATGGCAGTGGGGATGGAAGGCCGGGTGGGCGGCGAAGGAGACGTGCAGTGAGAGCACTGCGCGTGCAAAGATGAACCTGTGGTGGGGGATGTGGGGGGAGGGAGAACGGGACAGGGGGCAGAAAGGGAGAGAGTGGGGGAGGGGCAGGTTGGAGCATCGAGGCATGATGCAATGGCATGATGCAATGGCATGATGCAATGGCATGATGCAATGGCATGAACGCACAAGCTATCAGCAGGGCGTGATGGCAGTGTGGCGAGGGAGGGCATGGGCGTGGCAGGGGGGGAGTGGGAGTGAGAGGGGCGTTGGCACGCACCTGAGGAGGAAGAGGCGCAGGAAGGGGTCGAGCAGCAGACGCGCCCAGGCCAGGGGCAGTGTTGGGCAGGCAGCGAGCGATGAGCCCCACTGCGATAGCTGCATGGCTAGCTGCCTCTCCCACCCCATGTACTGCTCCTGTAGCGGGGAGGAGGTCGGGGGGGAGGAGGGAGAAGGGTGAGTGGAGAAAGAGGGGGAAGGGAGGAGGAGATGAGGCAAGGCAATGGAGGTTGGTTGGAAGCGGCAGTGCTCACAAGCAACACCTTGGGAATATGCTGGGAATTTCGGCAGCAGGATTACCTTGGGAATGTCGGGCAGGGGCACGGCAGTGAGGCGGCAGAAGGCCTGCAGAGGGGCGGTGAGGAAGAGCGTGAAGAGATTGCCGCCCGCCACGTGCGTGGCTGTGGCGAGCGACAGGGCAGGCGGTGCAGTGGAGGAGGTGGAGGAGGAGAGGGTTTCAGATGCGGGGGCAGTGGAGGGGGCAGTGGAGGGGGCAGTGGAGGGGTTGGAAGCAGCAGCAGTATTGACAACAGCAGGAGGCTCTGGTGCCACGTCAGCAGCAGATGAGGTAGGTTGAGTGGAGAGAGAGGCGGCGCCATCGGCACTGGCGGTGGCAGTGGTAGTGGTGGCAGTGGTAGTGGTGGCAGTGGTAGTGGTGACAGGTTGGGACGGGCGGGGAGCGGTGCTGATGTCAGGCTGCAGGCGCGGCGACAGCAGCATGGCACACGGCTCTCCTCTCTCCCTGCCGCTCAGCCACTGATGGGGAGATGGGGGGGGGCGAGGAAGAGGACGGGGATGAGGAAATGGGGCTAGGGAGGAGGAAGGGCACAGGAACACTGCAGCACCACATGCATGGCTATTGTCACACTCACCTGGAAGGCAGCGCTACTGTCACACTGACCTGGAAGGCAGCGCTATTGTCACTATCCACTATGAGCACGAGTGGGCGGCGGGTGAAGGGCAGGATATCAGCCGGCAGCAGACAGCACATGCTGGCCGCCTCGCCCTCCCCCCTCATCCTCACCCACACTCCCCCTCCCGCCACGCCCCCTTCCCCCTCCCCCCTGTGTGCCTGCTCACTCTTATGCGCCCTGCCTCCCCCTTGAGACTCAACTGCCCCACTGCACGCACTACTGCCCGCCCTGCCCTCGGCTTTGCCACCAGCGCCTCCCTCTGCTGCCTCTGCCGTCGCTGCTGCTGCAGCAGGGGCGCCAGCCACGGCAGCTGCCCCTGGCGCCACGGCAGCACCGCTGGCAGCTGCAGTGGGAGCAGCAGGAGGCTGCGAGGAGGAGGCGAGGGTGGGGGCGGCAGTGGGGGCGAGGGAGCCGGCAGCGGAGAGGTAGAGCAGCAGGGCGGCATCAGCAGGCAACTCCTCCACTGCTGTTGCCAGCACCATCAGCAGGTGCGGCACGGACGGGCGGTGCAGCACGTACTTATGCGGGTTGGGCGGCAGGCTCGGATCCACCACGTTCTCCTCCGCGCCGCCCACCAGGCGCGGCCCCTCGCCGCCCCCGCCGCCCGCGCCACCCGTGGCAGTGAAGCCCTGTGTGGCGACGCCCCCTTGCTTGGAGGGGAGGAAGAAGCCACTGGGCAGCCACTCGACGGCCTGCAGCATGCGGAAAGCGTCTAGAGTCACCTCGCTCAACTTCACCTGCCATGTGGGGGGGGGGAGAGGGGGGGGGAAGATGCGCAGAAGGGGGGGATGCAGGCGGAATAGGGACAGGAGGAGGGAGGGCAGGTGGACGAACGCCCAGTTTAATAGCGCTGACCTTCGTGTGCGTGCGTTTGGGAGGATGTGGGGATGATGGCACGTGGATACAGACTAACGGCACGCGGACGAGGGGCAGGGAGCGGTGGGGGATGAGTGAGGTGAGGGTGAGGGTGAGGAGGGGCGGTGAGGCATGGGCGCAGAGAAGGATGGGAGACAGCGGAAGCAAGGGGCAGGCAGTGCAGCACAGGAGGAAGGAAAGCACAGCCCAGCGCCATGCTGGCCAGTCACCTCCCACACACACTTTGGTGCCTCCCCCCTCTTCACCCCCTCCCCTCCTTCCCGCTGCACTGCGCTATCCTACCCTCTCTCCTCCATACCCCCCCTCTTGTGCGCACCTCCAGCGGGTAGAAGCTGGTGAGAACGACCTCCTGCAGGGAGAGCGCGCGGGGGGCGGCGGGCAGCATGAGGGCGGCGACGGGGGGCAGGGCGCCGGGGGGCGGGTCGAGCAGCACGCTGTAGCGCAGCGGTCGTGGGCAGTCTGAGGGCCAGTCGGCTCTCAGGAAGCGCACCGCCTCGTGCACCACGCCCTTCCACTCCGCTGCATCCCCTGCCTGGGGGGGCAGGGCGGGCAGGTGGCGGTGAAGGGGGAAAAGGACGGGCCAAGGGGTAGTGGAGGGACTGGAAGGGTCATGGCATGGCATGGCATGGCATGGCATGGCATGGCATGGCATGGCATGGCATGGGGAAAGAATGAGGAATGAATGCGAGCAGCGCGCAGGGAGGAGAGAGGGGGCAATGGCACCTGGAAGGAGCGCGAGTAGTCATCAACGGCCATGCGCAGCTGCCAGAGCAGGTGAGGCAACGGGCATGGTTACCGCATGGTTACCGCATGATTACCGTGCACAGAGAGGCGAGGGGGGACACCTGGAAGGAGCGCGAGTAGTCATCGACGGCCATGCGCAGCTGCCACAGCAGGTGGCGCAGCATGTCCCTCCGCCCCAGCAGCACACACACCACCGTGAACCGCGCCAGCCACCGCAGCTGCTTGTGCGCCACCGCCGCCTCACTGCGCGCCGCCTCTCTGAAGTACTCGCGCCTGACAAGAGGCGGAAACAGGCAGGGGGGACAGGGGGGGGAGAAAAAGTCAGGGGCGGGAGCAGGCAGGCGCGCGGGAGAGAGCAGTGGGATGGAGGCATGCGGCTGATTGGGCAGACAAGGTAGCAATGCGGGGCACGGGGAGAGGGGATTATGAATGTGGGGGGATAGGGAAGGAGGAAGGAGGGGGGACCAAGCATTATCGCGAATGGCATCGTCATAGTCACACCTGTGAATGGCATCGTAGAATATGAACGCCTCGAGCAGGTAGCTGGCGTCGCCCGTGCGCAGATAGTAGTTGTAATACAGCTGCCCTATGCGCGACGCGATCTCGCCGATCTCCCACCGCCTGCCCGCCAATCACGGCGCAATTAACGAAAGAGGGGGAATGCAGATGAGAAGGGACGGATTTTGACACGGAAATGAGGATTATCGCAAGAATGGACGGAAAGCGGAATCGCGACGGCGGGCGGCGCAGCGCGACACGTACTTGAGGCCCATCTCGACGAGGCGCGCGCGGTGCTCTTGCTGGAAGCGCCAGAGGCGCGAGTAGACGCTGAAGGCCTTGTGGAAGTGCGCCTCCCACCGCTGCCGCCCGTACAACGGTAGCTCGCGCAACCGCGCGAACTTCCCGTACGCCTTCTCAAGCAGCGCGCGGTACTGCTCCGCCACCGCCGCGCTCGATGCGCCTGCGCTCGTTACAGCCGCGCTCGTTACAGGCGCGCTCGTTGCAGGCGCGCTTGCTGCAGGGCCAGTGGCGGCGGCGGAAGAGGAATGCGGCATGGCAGCGGAGGGAGCGGGCGCAGAAGGAGCTTCTAAGGGAGCGGGGCGCGCGGGGGGGTCGGTGCTTGGAGCGAAAGGGAATTCGGTGGAGTCTGGGGCATGTGCGATTGGAGCATCGTCATCGGGCTTGGCAGGATTTGGCGGCGACGAATGCGGCATGGCAGCAAGTGGTGAGATGTCGTGCGGTGTGGTGTTGGCGCGAGGTGTGGTGTGGTGTTGATTCAGGGACCCACGAGAAGGATGCTGGGAGGCGCGCTCGACAGAAGTTGGTTTGCAAACAGACTCCAGGTGGTGTGTTGTGCAAACGAACAGCATAATAATAAAAGGTTGCTTATGATACATGGGGAGCTTACGGTACTGTCCTAGCCATCTTAAAAGGCAACACTCAATTCAATCCGAGGCCATAAATTACAGAAGCACCGCAAGGGGCACAAGTGAGCACTCAATCCCCGCAAATGCCTCAGCGAAGGTCAGTGTTGGGCGAGGAAATCTGGAGACTGCTGGCACTGGGCAGTGAGCATCCAGAGAGAGAGAGAGAGAGAGAGCTTGGATTGGAAGGAAGGAAGGCGGATAAGTAGTGCGGTGAAGGGCGGATGAGGGAGAAAAGGCAGATAAAGATGGAATGGGGTGCTGCCATGGCCGCCAGATCAAACAAAACAAAACAATGGCTGCAACAACGGAAATTCCCGCTGCGATTGTGTGTGTGAGAGAGTGTCAGCTGCATTCCAGGCGGCACCACGGATCATGCCGTATCCATGTGCTAACTATACCATGCCTATTATTGATCACTATGGCTATCTCGTGCATGGCGCGGGACGGCGCCTCAGATCTCGATGGTGGTTGGCGCAACCTTGCCCGACTCCACCCGCTGAAGAGAACCCACCCGCGCGCTCGCCCCCTCTGCGCCTGCGCTCTTGCTGCTGCGCACGGCGCAATGTCCGCGGGTCCTCCGCGGGCTGCCGCGCTCCCCCAGGTACGCCCTTCCCCAGGGCGAGCTCGCCCATTTCGACTCCGCCGTGCGCGGCTGGTACCCGTCGAAGCTCAGGCACCGCGGAACGCCCGTCGGCCCTTGCTGACGGATCGCCGGCTCCGCTGCCGCGTTGCCGTCAAAAGGGCCGCGGAGGAAGTCGGCTGCCGGCCACGGAGACTGTGAGTCGCCGGGGGACCGCTGCTCTGCAGCATTTCCCGCATCCAGCGGCAGGACTGACGGCAGTGAGTCCATCGTCGCTGCGCGCTCCGTGGAAGCTCGGCGCAAACCGCGTCCTCTGGAGGCGGGGGCTCCGTTCGGACGCTCCGCGTCGTCCTCCTTTGGGCTGCGCCGCGGGGCCGCCCATGGCGGTGTCTGCCGGTGGAAACGGATAAGAGGCGGGACGAGCGTGAGTGAGAGACAGGGAAGTGAGTAGGCCGATGAGACACGCTGATCACGATATGAAATGAGATGAGACGATACGAGTTGAGCCAAGACGCGGTGGGGCGAGACGCGAGGAGACGAAACAAGCGGAGACACGGCATACCTGGAGCGGAGTTGGAGGTTTGTGTGATAGTGGACCCGCCATAGTGGCGAATCGCCTCACGGTTCACAGGGAGGGTGGCGCCGCGAGAGAGCTCTTAGGTAAGCAGGATGTAGGTTGGCCGACAAAAACGTAGAGAGAACCCTAGAAAGGCCGTGAATATGACGTGCTGGCTGTGTGCGGACTTGGAAGGGTATTGTAGCGTGGTAGTGGTGTGGTGCACACAGGGCGAGGTGAGGGAAGAGCAATGGAGGAGGTTGTGTCGTCGTCGCCCGCCTCACTGGATGCCGCGTGAATCCGGCGACAACGCCTCGCCTTGATGCCACCCCACGCCAAGCCAGTCCCCGCCTCACAACCAGCAGCAATTGAATCTGTCGTACAGATCGGCGTTGTTTACCCGAAAATGGTGCTGGTTTTCGGGGCTACCCATTTGAGGCTTCCGGAACTGTAGATGTAGAAAAGGCTGCGAAACGCCTGCATGTCTTGAATGGGAGATGCTTTTTCTAGCCACAGTGACTCTTTCAATCTGTCGGGTAGATCTGTTCTCGGGGAGGCGAAACAAATGAACTGTAACGGAACTGACCCTGGGTGGAGCCTGGATGGTCTCCGACCCGAAGCGATGGAACTTATGAGGCTTCTGTCGCAGTCGCAGACCCACTCAGCGACGGAGAAAAGGTCCCCAAGCGATCCACCAAAGCACGAACGAATGGCGGATCCAACATGCTTGGTCCCCCTCGTCTACTGCTTTGTCGTTTCCCACATCACGCGCTGCAGGAAAGGACTCCAGGCAATGTGAGGTGGTCGAGCGAGAGGAGAATTGTGTACATGTACAAGCTATTCCTAAGGCAGGAAAAATCTCTCTGCTTTGATTCAACTGACAGACAAAACTTAGTTTGCCATCTCTTACGGCTTTTTCCAGTTTGTTCCTGCTAGATGTCAAATACGAACCTTATGACATGACATCAACCACTTAATTTTGTACAGATTGCCATGACAGAGCAAGGGAACAAAATTTCTTTCAATCCAAATCATTCGAACGTCAAGTGCTGCGCATTAACAAGCGAAGCATATGCACCACCCTGTGCCACCAGCTGGGTGTGAGTCCCCCTCTCTACGAGCCTGCCAGCCGCCATCACCACGATCTGATCTGCCGCCTGCACTGTGCTCAGCCGATGCGCTATCACCAGTGTCGTGCGGCCCTGGGAAACGGGGTAAAGGGGAAGAGAGCATGTGTGAGATGCATGGTAACGGAACTTGCACATCCAGGCCACTGAACAACAAGTATATGCGCCATGGCTCCCAAACTTGTTACATCCCTTGCCTTGCCCCACCATCACCTAATCCTCCCTCCCCTCACCTGCATGAGCCCCTCCAGTGCCTGCTGCACGAGTCGCTCCGACACGCTGTCGAGTGCACTGGTGGCCTCGTCCAGAATCAGAATCGGCGCATCCTTCAGTATCGCCCGCGCTATTGCCAGCCGCTGCCAGAGGGAAGAGAGGAAGGAGGGGTTGGGGGAAAAGGAGAGGTGGGATGGGCGGAGTGTGTTTGAGTGGAGCACGAGTGAAGGATATACTGCGCACAGCAGCATAGACGAGCAGATTCGTGCACGAGGAAATACATGCCATGCGGTTGCTGGGTGCATGGCATACGGCAGGCACCATAATGCTCCCAGGGGTACAAGCACAAGGAAGGCAAGGAAGCCAAACATGCCCCTGCTGCAAAGACACAGTGACACAGTGACACAGTGACCCAGTGACGGCGCCTCACCTGTCTCTGCCCCCCACTGAGCAACCCTCCTCTCTCCCCCACCATCGTGTCATAGCCCTGCCATAGCAGCGAGAAAGGGAGAGAGAGGGGGATGAAGAAAAGAGAGGGACGGGGAGAATGGTTGGCAAAGAGGGGGATGGATTGGTGCAAGGGGCACAGATGGACACGGGTTAATATGGTGGATGATGGGGAGGAATGAAACGAGGCAGCGAAGCATGTGCACAAGCGGCATGTGCATGTGTGGGCATGGAAGGTATCGTATGCCATGGCATGGGAAGGCCTGGGATGGCACGGCATTGTAATGGGCTGCCACAGCATGGCATGGACACGCATGGTATGGCAAGAGCATGGCGCACCTGGGGCAGCTTCATGATGAACTCATGCGCGTTGGCAGCCTTGGCAGCCCTGATGACGTCAGCGTCTGCCACGTCAGCATCAGGGAGGCCATAGGCAATGTTGTCGCGCACGGACATGGCAAAGAGCACGGGCTCCTGGCTGACGAGGGAGACAGCGCGTGTCCACTGCGTGCGGTCGAACGATGCTATGTCCACGCCCGCCAGTGACACCGTTCCTGCCACCGGCTGATGGACCCGCCGTGCACACACACATGCAGGGGCGGTGAGCAGACGAGGGATGAGAGTGCGTGTGGAGAGGGGAGGCAATGCAAGGGAACAGAATGGGTCTTTCTTTGTACATAATGCAGAACAGCACCAAAGCTATGGCCATCTGTTCATGTGCATGAAGAACCGTGGCCCATGGAACCGCATCACACCGCACCGTACCTCATAGAACCTGGAGAGCAGCTGCACGACGGTGGACTTGCCCGCACCGCTGCCGCCCACAAGTGCTGTGACAGTGCCACGTGGCAGCACGAGATTGATGCCCTTTATTACCTCCACTGCGGCCCTTTGCGGATATGCAAAGTGCACATCTGCAGACCACGGCAGGGGAAAGGGGGAAAATTTGGGAGGAAGGGGGGAGGGGGGAGGGTGGATGGGGAGAAGGGAAAGGGGGAGGGGAAAGGAAACACAGGAATGGGAGGACACGGGGGGTGGGAAGAGGGGAAAAAGGAAGGGGAACGGGGTTAGAGAAGCGGCGATGGGAGTGCGTGCAGGAAGGTGTGGAAGGATGATGATCAGGTGAAGGTGATAGTGTCATGCACAGCACAGCCCGCATGACATACCTCTGAACTCAATGTCACCCGTCCACGCCAGCTCACACGCTGACAACCCCCTCTCACCCCCCACCACCGCACCATACCCTCTCTGCACCGCCTTCAGCCCCTCCCTTTCCTCTGCTTTCCCCACCACCCCCACGACAGCCGGCTCTGGGCAAGGTGTGGAGGCAGGGAGCGGCACGGAGAGGTCTGGGAGCGGTTCGGGGATGGAGAGGTTAGGTTCGGGGGGCGAGGCGGAGAGGAGGGCGTTGATGCGCGCCACTGCCGAGAGGGCGTTCTGTATGTCCGCCATGGTGTTCACCAGCCCCTGGATCTGTAATGACCAGGGGGGGGGGGAGGAGGGGGAGGGGGGAAGGAGATGGGTGAGTTTAGGCGTGCATGGTGGAAAGGCAAGGCCGCATGTTGCAGCAAGGGCGTTGTGCACGTCCGCCATGGTGTTCTCCTCACCAGGTCTGGATCTGCAGCGCGGGAAGGGGGTGGGAGGAAGAGGGGATGATGGCATGGTGGTGTGGTGCAAGCAGACGCATGCAGGCATGCACACTACCGGCATGGTGAGTAACGGGCAGAATGGCCGGTAGTGTGTTCTGCAGCGCCTGACACTGCATGGAGTGAGTGGAGAGGGAGGCACCGGAGGATGCTGCCATGCATGGTGCCATGGCATGGCATGGCATGGCATGGCATGGGTGCAGACATACGGGCATGGATGAGGGTCCATAGGGGGGAAGAGCGGCATGAAGGAGAGGCAAGCAGTGGAGCACACAGGCGGACATTCACGCAGAGAGGAGGCGTTGCAGGGAGCAGTGCGGGCAGGCAGTGCGGGCAGGCAGTGCAGGCAGGCAGTGCCTTGCTGACGACACGGTGGGAAGAGGTTGAGGCGCACACACAGATGGGATGCACGGGGAGGACGCAGGGGCGGTGAGAGGAGCGGAAGGGAGGAAAGGGAAGCGAGGGGGAGGGGAGCGGAGTGGAGGGGAGGGCAGGGGAGGGGCTTACTGCGAAGGTGAGGAGGAAGGTGTAGCCGACGAACGCCAGTACCGTGCCCGCTGGCATCACGCCCTGTGGCATGAGGTATGGGGTGCATGGCATGGGATGGTATGGGGTGCATGGCATGGGATGGTATGGGGTGCATGGCATGGGATGGTATGGGGTGCATGGCATGGGAAGGGATGCATGTGATGGGTGGGTTGGGTTGCATGGGATGGCATGGGTGCATGGCATGGCATGGATGCATGGCATGGCACTGAAGGTGGTGCATGGGATGGGGCATAGGAAGAAGGGATGATGTGGTATGATTCGACGGGAATGGATAGAGTGGTGAAGTGCGGTGCTACAGAGCAACGACCAGCACACACGCTTCGCCTCGCCCTCACTCGCACAATGCTGCTCCACACACAACGCACCCTCCCTCCGTCCCTCGTCCCCCACTGTTTGCACCTTCCCAATCCCCAAACCCCTCTCTTCACTCAGCACCCATAACATGAACCTCCCCTCCCTCTCCCCCGTCCCCCTTCCCCCTTTCTCCCCTTTGCTCTGAGTGGCGCGCACCATTTGGACTTTGTGGCCGCCCAGGATGTAGACACACATGAGGGAGATGTATACGCAGCCACGTGTCAGCGCCTCATTGGTCGACTTGAGCACGCTCAGCCGCGTCCCCGTCTCCCGCGCCTCCGCCACGTGGCCTGCAAACCGCGCCAGCTGCCGCGCCTCGCCTCCAAACGACCGCACCTGGGGGAGAAAGAAAAGAGAAGAGCGAGGGGTTTTGGGGGGTTGGAAGGGGGAGGAGTGGGGGGCCGGGGGTAATAGAGAGGGGAGGGAAGGGTAGGAGTTGGCATGGATAAGCCGATGGATGTAATGCACGTGCTGGGTTGTGTCAGCTAGCACCTGATTGAAACCCATCTGCTGCTATACATGCCATGCCATGCCATGCGGCACCTCAATCATTGCCTCGAGAAACTGGCAGCAGCGAGCAAGTGGGTCACGGCGCTCACGGTGCGGATGGCTTGGAAGGTCTCAGCGGCGGAGTCGGTGATGCGCGCCTGGGTGGCGCTGCTGCGCACGAAGACGGGCAGCGTGCCGCGCTTGTAGATGCCCGCGATCAGCGAGATGCCCACGGCTAGCAGCGAGAACACCGGCGCCAGGTCCGGCGCGATGAAGAATAGGATCACCAGCGTCGACCCCACCTGCCAGGTGTCGCGTATGGGACGTGGGGGTACTGATGTTGGCGCGTGGCAGAGACGAGAGGGGAAGCATGGGGGTGCGCGTGTGGTGAGAGATGGCAGTGACTGAGCTGGGGGAGCCATCGCTCGCTTTCTGCGCATCTCTCTGCGCTCTCGCTTCCGCTGCGCTCTAGTTTCTCTGCGCGTTCCTCTTTACCCGCGCTCTTCTCACCTCGCAAATGGAGCGCAGGCCACGGTCGCGCGTGACGTTGTCGGTGACGGCCTTGTCCATGAACGCCAGCTCCGACGACAGCACGCCGCTCAGCGCCGCCACCTTGTGCGCGTCGTAAAACGCCACCTGCGCCACCGCGCGGCGCGCGGGGAGGATTGAAGGGGGGGGGAGGGGAGCGGAGGGGATGTGGCAGGAGGGATTGATGAGAATGACGCGACAATGAAAGAAGGATAGAAGCTTTCAACTTTCCGTTTTCTGGAGATGTTTTCGTGGCGACTGCGCCCTTGGTGAGCGCGGCGCACTTTAAGCTGTTTAGATTTGTAGTGTACCTTCTGCAGCAGCAGGCGGCGGAAGACGCGGACACGGACGGCGGCCATTACGGCCTCCCACACGGCGGACAGCGACGACACGAACAGCAGCGTCGCCGCCAGCTCCAACACGTAGATCGACGCGATCGGTAGCAGCAGCTGCGCCAGCGGCACAGGCACGGGCGACACGAGCGCCTGCACGAAGTTACCGTTGATGCGCGGCAGCACGACGTTGCACGTCGTCCCCGCGATGAGACCCACGGCCAGTCCGACAAGGCGCAGTTTGTGCCGCAGCACCAGGCCAACCACGAGCTGCCACGTAATCACTGGCGACGCCGCCTGCTGTTCTTTCCGCGGCTCCTCTGCGCGCGAATCGCGCAAATTTTCCTCCGCGGGCTCTTTCTCTTCGCTGCTAAACTCCTGCGCACTACAGTACCCGTCCTCCGCCTCCCCCTCGCACTCCTCTTCCTTCGCCACGACTACCGACGCGGCTCCATTTCCTTCGGCAGCGGCTTGAAAGGCAAGCCGCCATGGTCTTAAACTGGCACGGAATTGTGGGTAAGGAGATCGAGAGCTCGAATCGCGGCCTAAACAAGCACGTTGTCGTGGCCTCGCGGAAATCGAGTGTCTTTGCCTATGCGATGCAAAGGAACCCGTTACGGGGTTGTCCGTTACTAAGCTATGGTGTACACTTGCTCGTTTCGAATCAGCGCTACGACAGGAGCTCAGCGCCGATGCAAGAACCGGCCGGGCAACAGCGCTGGTGACAGCCATGACCCGAATCGTCCCAGCTTCGCTAAGGTTAGTACTCTTCTGCAGCGCCAAAGCCAAGAAAAGGACCGCCTTTCCTGTCACCCGGTTCAAGATACGCCTGGCGAATAAACGAGTACTTCCCTCGTAATAATCTCTACTGCTACGTCAGGGGCCGCGAGGAAAAGCCACTCGAGTGAAATGCGGCAGCAAAACTCAGTTCGACTGGACGATAAGGACCTTATGGCCTGCGGAAAAGGTTTCCTCCTAATCGCGTGCTAGAAGCAAATGCTTGATGTAAATGGTGGTGCGTGCTCCGTGCACGGTGCACAGCGCGTGCTCTCCTCTTCTCTATAAATGTTCTTCCCAGTGGTCCCTCTTGCAACTGAGGCGCGCGGGAAGAGCTGGACTGGAGGTTCCTTTGAGCAGGTTCGGGCAGGCCGGGCACAGCTCCCTGAATCTTGATTGGACCTTCAGCGCCTCTTCGCCAGGGAGCGGACACGAAGGAAGCAGCGAATGCTTCGGATTGGTGGAGCATTTGCGATTTGGTGCATGTAGCGGAAGGGGATGGCGGTGGTGGGGCAGACAGAGAGAGCAGGAAGTGACGTGGGCGATCCGAGGTCGACAGCGTGGTGCGGCCAGAAGCCTTGTGGGGCTGGTACACACGATGTCCGTTTGACTAACCCAAGGTTGCCTTGTGAAGGGGGCGCTTAAGTGATTCATGCATTTCGTGGAGGTTTCGTCAATTCGCGTCGGGCAAAAAGGGCTTATAGCAAAATTTTGTAACTCACCGTTGACTGTTTGACTTCGGTCTCTTCTGTTTCTGTGGTTCGTATTGGTTGACGTGCTTGTAACGTGGGTGCAACTGCCCGGGAAAAAACCTTCGTGTGCAAGGTTTCTGGAACGTGCGAGGCAATTTCGCGTGCAGGGGTTGGGCATCTTGTGTATGGGTTTGGTGGCTTGTGACGTGGCGCACAAGCACCTGCTCATCCACTGGTGGTACGCGAATGCAGAAGGTTGGGGATAGCGAAACCGACTTCGATAAGTTTGCGAAATCACTTAGCGAAAGCACAAGGCTCATAAAAATATGATTCGAAATGGCGGAAATGCTTCAACGTTACCACAGACCCTACATCTCAAAAGACGAACAGGCATTCTCAAGGCCAAACATACCAACCAATCGTCCCCTGCGCAAAGCACCAACATTTTGTCAGAATAAGATCTAATTTCTCTGGTCTCATCACCGTCTCATAGGTATTCGACGAATGCTCTCGTCTCCGCTAAGCTTATTGCCACGCGACGTCGCCCTAACCTCGCATTGGTTGCCCTCAGTCGCCTTCATGCCAGTTCAGACGCGATCGTCCCTTCGCCGAGCCTCGCCTGAATCCCCGGAACCACCATGCATCCCGTCGCAAAAACAGCCTGTTGCCACGCATCCAGCCACCAACACGGACACATCACTCGTTCTGCGCGCTTCACTCGATGCATTTCGTCTCACATTGCCTCCCGCTTCCCGTAAATCGCGCTCGTCGATGCCACAGCCAACTTGCTCCGCTCGCAGCGCCTCCAGCAGCGCACGCGGGAGCTCCGCCCGGCCACTGACTCCGATTAGCGACATCGAGGATCTCGGGGAAGAGGTGCCACGTGGCGTCATGGGAGAAACACGTGACAGGGAGGGTGGGGAGCCGGAGGCGGAGGAAGAGTCGGAGCAGGCGAGTAGCGAGGGGGGGGAGTCTGACGAGTGCGAGGAGGGCGTGAAGGACAAGGCAGCGACGCGACGGCGGAGATCAGCCGCGGGTACCGCGTCCCGGAGGAGCGGGACAGCGAAGAGATTAAAGGCGGAGGCAGAGAGGGGGAGCGGGAGTAAGGCATCCAAGGAGGAGTTGGAGATTAAGTACGGGTTCAGCGACGAGGAGATCGTCGCGGCGCGATCCGCATTGATGGAATGGTACGACGCGAATAAACGTGAGCTGCCGTGGCGAGCGGCCGCAGGGAGCGACAAAGCGGAGCAGATGGAGGAGGGGCGCAACGACGGCAGGGAGGCACAGGAGGCGCAAGGGGAGGAAAGGGGGGAGCGGGAGGAGCGGGAGGAGCGGGAGGAGCGGGAGGAGCGGAGGGCGTACGGCGTGTGGGTGAGCGAGGTGATGCTGCAGCAGACGCGCGTGAGCGTGGTGGAGCCCTACTTCCGCCGCTGGATGGCGCGCTGGCCCTCCCTCCCCCTCCTCGCTGCAGCCTCCCTCGAGGTCCGTCCCCCTCCCCCCTGCCGCGCTTCCTTCCCCCGCGCTCCATCCGCCTCGTTCTCAGTCCTGTCTGACGGTGTCGCCTGCTGTCTGCGCCTCTCTCACACCTCATGCCGCCAGCCATGCCACATGCGCCCCACGCCCTTGCTGTGTGCTCATCCGTTGTCGTCGCTCTCCTCTCCCCACCATCCGAGCAGGAGGTGAACAGCATGTGGGCCGGGCTGGGCTACTACCGCCGCGCCAAGTACCTGCTGCAGGTTCCCTCCCCACTTGCCCATGCATCACGTCACACGCGCCATGCACTGCCCTGCATAGCCGCGCACATCCCTGAACCCATCCTGTTTGTTCCCTCCGTGCCATGGCGCTGGGCTACAAGCGCCTGCACATCCCTCGCTGCACTCCCCCTTCGTTTCCCCACACTCCTTGTGTCTCTCGCCCCTCTCACGCTTCCTCCTCCTGTTCTCTCTGTCGCCCTCCAACACAGCAGCAACAGCATCGCAGCTGCAGCAGCAGCCGTGAGCTCATCCCCCATCGTCTCTCTCTCTCCTCTCCCACTCGTCCCCCGGACGCTCCCCATGGGCCCCTGGCAGGGGGCGCGGCACATAGAGCAGCGGCACGGGGGGCGCATGCCGCGCACAGCCAGGGAGCTGCAGGCCGTGCCGGGCATCGGCCCCTACACCGCCGCTGCTGTCGCCTCCATCGCCTTCCGCCAGGTCTGCTGACTTGCCAGCGGTCAGGGGGCAGGGGGGATTGGGCAGAGGGCTGGGGGGGATGGGCGGGATGGGAAAGCAGGGAGGGAAAGGGTTGTGGGGCATTTGGGAGTGCAGCAGTGCTAACATTGTGTTGTGTTGTGTTGTGTCCCAAGGGCGCTGTTGGATCCCATCCCAGTGATGAAAGCCGCGAGACACATGGGCACAGCATGTTCAAGCATGCCTGTGGCCGGGTGGAGGTTGTGGGGTCAGGGACAGTAATGGCAGCGGGTGAGCTCCCGTATCTGCACCACCATCTCATCTCGTGCATCCCCTCCTCACACCCGCTCTGCTCTTCCCCACCCCTCCCTCACGTGCCAGCATGCAACCACTCGTCCCTCCCCACTCCCCCCTCTCCCCAGCCAGTGGCAGTGGTGGATGGCAATGTGACGCGCATCATATCACACCTGAGAGCCGTGCCACTACCCATGCACAACACTGCCGCCACCCCCCTCTTCTCCTCCCTCGCATGTCTGCATGCATCCACCTTTCTCTTCCCCCCCCCCCCCCCCCTCTCCCCAGCCAGTGGCAGCGGTGGATGGCAATGTGATGCGCATCATGGCGCGCCTCAGAGCTGTGCCGCTGCCCATGCATGAGAGCGCCGCCACCTCGCTCTTCTCCCACCTCGCCTCCCAACTGCTGCACCGCGCCCGCCCTGGGGACTTCAACCAGGTGGGCGCACTTGGTGGGTTGGGTGGGGTGGGATGCTGTTGAGGCGGGAGTCTCTATCTACCACTACACACTGTCGCTCCAATTTCACCCCAAGCTGTGCCTCACCATGCTCACACTGCCCTGTATGTCACAACCCATTCCTTCGCCCTGCACTCACCCACTTAACCCCTCCCACACTCACCCATTCACCCACTCACGCGTCCAGTCCTTGTCCCACCCCCCCAGGCGCTGATGGACCTGGGCTCCCTTGTGTGCTCCCCCTCCTCCCCCTCCTGCTCCGCCTGCCCCCTCTCGCCCCACTGCCGCGCCCTCTCACTGCAGCAGCAGGGGGCACGCAGAGGGGAGGGGGGCGAGGGCAGAGAGGGCGAGGGGGCAGTGAGAGTGACGGACTTCCCTGTGCGCAAGGCCAAGGCACCACCCAGGGAGGAGTGGGTGGCCGTGTGTGTCGTGGAGAGGAGGGGTGCGGGGGCGCCAGCACCGGCAGCATCGCAAGCATCAGAGGTATCAGCAGGTGCCTCGGCCAGGAAAGGCAGGGGCGCACACAGCAGCACCAGCAGCAACCAATCTAGGATTGAGGAACCTTGTCAGTTCCTTGTGGTGCAGCGGCCACCTACCGGACTGCTGGCAGGGCTGTGGGAGTTCCCCTCTCTGGTTGTGGCCTCGGGCACAGGGAAGCCATCAGACGTGCAAAGGAGGCGAGCTGTCAAGCAGCTGCTGGACCAAATGCTTCCCTTTGTGACTATAGAGGGGTCTGGACAGCTCAGCTCGGAGGGGAGAACGCTGCAGGAGGGGAAGAATGAGGTGGCAGGGAGCAAGTGGCGTGTGATAGAGAAGCAGGATGTGGGCGAGACGTTGCATGTCTTCTCCCACATACACCAGCATATGCTAATCGAGAAAATTGTGATTGTAGAAGGAGAGAAGGCAGGAGATCCGGTAGTCTGGGAGTGCAACACAGGAAACGCAGTGGCCAGATCGAGAGGGAAGCTAGCTGGTTGCCTGGAGAATAATGAGGATGCCTGCTTACTACCAGTCCATCAGCAATGGTGCTGGCGCAGTGAGACGGAAATTGAAAAAATGGGTCTGTCGAGTGGTGTCAGAAAGGTGAGTTTGTCCTTTTCACCACTTCACCTTGTTACACAACAGCCAACCTCAAGTGTTTATTTTTCTCCCATGTTAACTTCTCTTTGTGAAGGTGTGGGATGTGCTTCAAGCTTACACGCTATGAGCCGAGCCATTGCGTCTTCTAACACGGTTGTTTAGAACGAGACGCTTCCAATAAACGGGCTCATCATTTCGGGCAGTTTCGAGTGGTTCTGGTTGTGGTCCACGTGTATGACTGATATCAACCATGGAATTCAGCAAGTTGTGGATATTTTTATTAATGATGTGCAATTCACACGATCCGCTTCAACCAATCACGGAAGAACGGGAAATCCTCTCGACAACCGTGGACGATAGCAAATTTGTCTCTTTGTCGTGTGGTACAGATGCGAATGCTGCCAGCTGGCGAGCAGTTTGGGTCCCTTTCGGCCAAAACACCCTTGCTCTGTGAAACAAAAAACTGTCGAGCCAAACATGATCAGGGACATGATCACATCACACCCAGCAACAAATTCTGTTTGGACAGACCCCTCCTACAGAACAGAATTTGTTTGATAGAGTTTTCATGGGTGCTGGTTCAAAAGAAATGCCGTGGTTTGCCTTGTTCCTCGCTTTACTGTACCCGAGAGCAAAGCAGATATTCATTCATCGTACATTTTCAAGCGCTGCCTGCCGCACCGCACCCTTGCCTGCCATTCCTACCCTGCCAGTTTCCCCCCTAGCCGCATCCCCGCCATTCATCGCACGCACGCCTTCATCCCCCCATCCCCTCACAGAAATCCGCCATCCAGTTGGGAGTGAGGGTGACTGAATGGCGTGCTTGGTTGGCTGTCCAGCTGCCCTTTCCGTTTTTCTCTGCCATCGTACCCCACCGCTTCTCATCTTTCTGAAGATCTATCCAAACTCTGTCGTGACGTGAAGCAACCGCACCGCATCACAGCCTCAATCACAAGCTTCCCCAAACTGATCCAGTCCAGCGTACAAGCCCCCCTCCACCATTAGCAGGTTACTTTTCTTCCTCGCCTCGCCACTATCCACTCCATTCGATTCCCTCGTCGTCCCTCCCCTCTGTGTGCTCCCAGCACACCAAGGAGCAGTGTGACTGGCTCCTGCCAAGCCGCGTCCTCTCCTTTCCACTCGCGTCGGCTGTCCGCGTCGATTACCAGTCATTCGCCGTTATTCGCGCACTCCGCCATGGCGCCCAGTTTCGGCCGACCCTGGTTCGCCATTTTCAACACGAATCCCGTGCAGGTCAAGGAAGAGAAGCCGCCCATGCCGCCGTCGATTGACTTTCAGCCGTCGATTCGCGTGAGTCAATTCGGCGGGAAGAGCCAGCGGCAGCTCGCAGGCGTCTCCAGCAGCCCGCTCGTGCAGGACCACGTCGCCGCCGTCGCAATGCGCGCCCGCCTCGAGATGCGCAAGGGATTGCCGCAGAGCACCGTGCGCCTTCTCGATCCACCGACGATGTCGCTGTCAAGCGCCGCCCCCCGAACCAGTCTTCCGCCGGCGGCTTCCGCCACACTAACCCCCCCGCTCAGCGCCAACACTGAAGCCGCTTCCGGAAGATCGAGCGCCACCAGTCAAAATTCTTCCGCCGTCCCGCCGGAACCTGTTGGGATGAGAAAACATCCTTCCGCCTACCCTCCGCCGCTAACAATCCCCCCGCTCGCGCCAAGCCCCTCCGCACCCATCACCCCCCACGGCACGTCCGCCATGCAGCCGCCCCACACGCCTGGATTGACGACAGCAGCTCGGGCAACCGCAATCGCGCCAATGACGGCGGAATCAGATCTGGTGGCGGCGCCGCTTAAGGTGGCGGCGCAGTGGAGCCGAGAGGAGTGGCTGCTTGTGGTGCGCGCTGTGGAAGCCGGCGCGACAAGGTGCCTGAACTGCCCGAAGCAGTCCGATTCCATGGCCGCCGCAACACACGGCGCCATCCATCTCATCCAAAGCCTTAAAACGACAACTGCCGCGTCGACGCCAGGGGTGAATCCGACAACGAAACCAGGCTCGGCGAAAGGCTCGGGGTCCGGTCTGGAGCAGTTCTCAAGCCCTGCCGCTCCCCCGGCAGGCGTGCCGAAAGTGGAAATCCCTGCGTCACCTTCGCAGCGCAATCTGTTTCACACCACGTCATCAGGGTCATCTGATGACACCACATTCGTCGATGATTCCGCCACGCTGGCGAGCCGCACCTCCACTGGCTCCGCGTCGACTTCCGACGACGACTACACCGTCAGCGCCGCGACGCGATACGGCAGCTACAGCAGTTTCAACAACAGCGGCAACAAGAGCGCAGCGAGCGCTCAAGCGCCTTCCACGTTCATGCTTCCGAGCCCCTCCGGTTGCCCTCGCACGCCTTTCTCGCATCTCATGCCACCGCCGCCGGCGAACCAGCAAGCCGTCACTTCCCGCGGCTTGCCGGCTGGCAGCATGATCTTGCCCAGCCGAGCCGACGCGTCGGAGGAGCTCCCCGCGTGTCCGTTCCTCGGCCACTCCGCGCGCTACAGCAGCTACGAGACAAAAGACGCCAGCCGCGGTACCGAGCCTCCCTCCCCGGCGGCAGTCGCGCGAACGATGCCGTTCGGCGCCATGCCGACACGCCGCAGCGCCGACGCGTCTCTCCCAGTGCGATCCGCGACGGCGGGCTCGGTAAGCGCAGCCGGGGCGAGCGGGAGCCGCAGCATGGGGATGAGCGCGAGCGGCGTGCAGGTGGACGCGATGAATCGCAAACTGCTGACGGTGATCACCAAGACGCATGAAATCTTCTCGCGCGACCTCACTCCCAACGGCTCGCAGGTCGCCGATTACCTGCTCTCGCAGCTGCTCGAGCTGACGCAGTCCGAGTCGGGCTTCATCGCGAGCGCGCTGAAGCGCGCCGATGGGTCGCTGTACCTCAAGACGCACTCCATCACCAACCTCGCGTGGAACCGCGAGCTGCGCGCGTGGTACGCGGAGAACGCGCCGAAAGGGCTCGTGTTCGGCAATCTCAAGACCATCTTCGGCCGCGTCGTGACGTCCGCTGATGTTGTTATCAGCAACGACGTGCCCAACGATCCGCGCGCGTCGGGACAAGGCGTGCCGCCCGGGCACCCAGTGATGCGGAGCTTCCTGGGCGTGCCCTTGTTTTCCGGGCCGGATCTGGTGGGCATTTACGCGGTGTCGAACCGCGAGGGGGGCTATAACGAGGGGCTGCTGATGAGCATCCAGCCCGTGACTAAGACGGTGGCGCAGGTGGTGGTGGGCGTGCAGCAGCGGCGCAAGAAGTGGGAGGCGGAGGAGCGACTCAACGACATGCTCGAGGTGAGGGCTCCTCGGATGCGCTGTGCGCGCATGGGGGGGAGGGGTGGGGGAAGGTGGAGGGAGGAGGGTGGGTGGGATGGGAGGAGGATTATCCCTACTGTGGTCAGCTCGTTTCTAGCCAAAGCTTTGATATCCCCATTCCCCTACAACCTGTTCCACGCGCTTTCCATATCCTTGCAGCATCAGCCACTCAATTTTAATCCCCTTCTTTTCCCCGTTCCCCCTACCCCCCACCCTCGCCCGTGCAACAACCTACCAGGCAACGCAGCATGCAATGGTGGCGGTGTCAGCGGACGGCAAGCTCACGTGCGCCAACCGGGCGGCACGCACGCTCTTTGCACTCGAGAGCAGCAGTGAGGGCGACGGCGATGGGACAGGTGGCAAGCTGCCATCGGGGCTGAAGCTGGCGGACGTGCTGGTCAGCATAGATGGCGATGAGGGCTACATGCAGCACGGTGAGCTCACATAGGCTGCTTGTCCTTCCAGCTGCACCCAACCTTCTTGCCCCAACCTTCTTGCCCCTTCACTGCGCGGCCCCCTCTGCCCCTCCGCTCTGCGTTACTATCACCCTCCCACTGTGCTTCTTGTCGGTGAACTCTCTTCTATTTCTCAATCCGTTGGCCAAACACTCTGCTTCACCGCGCTGCACCACTTTCGTTCCATCCACCCCATGCCATCAACTGCAGGCCTGGATGCCTTCGCCGAGGAGTCGCTTTATGAGTGGCCGGCACAAGGGCGGCAACAACGGCAACACGACGAAGAAGCAGCAGGCAGCATGGCCTTGAGAATCACTGTGGCGCGAGGCTCCTCCAGTGATGTGAAATTCGTGGTCACTGCAAGGGAGGCTGCTGCGGGGCATGCAAAGCACGCAGCAGAGGAGGCTGATGGTGGTAGAAGCGGTTTTGAGCATGGCCATGAGGGGAATGAGGTAAAGCATGTGAATGGGGACCAGCAGCACTGTGAGCTAGTGCTATCAAACGAGGATGGCACCCTCACAATTCTGGCCTGAGGAAACACTCAGGATACTTTTGGTGTTATGTGCCCACGTTTTTAGTTTACATTAATAACTTTAAGGTGGATGGAGATACGCCAGATAAGGTGTTGAAGGAAAATCAGATTACTAGGTGATATGAACAGATTGACTCCAATAAAAGTGTGCTTTTTCTGCACAACTTTGAAAGTGTGTAAGTTGACGAAGCCAATACCGGGTCCGAGGGTTCGGCATAACACCCTTCCCTTGACGCACTGTGATTGTATTGGTGTTGTGACTCATGTCAGCGTTTCGAGGCTCAACTGCAATCACCACAAACCGAATCCCGACCCTAATACGAGCGTGATACTGACGAAGATGGTCGATTCGCCCAAGCCAAGCTAACATGGCATCGCGTTTGGGTTCCAATAGCGCGAGGAAATAGGGGCTTCTTTAGCCAATGAGAACTCGCGAAGCCTTTCAAGATAGGGGCTCGCCTGCGTTTGGGTTCGTTTCGAGGCGCAAATGTCCATTTGCCCACGGTGGCACTTTCACGAGCTGCCCAGTCGTGAGTCGATTGCCTGGAGGCGCGACGAGAACATAGAATCAACCAATCAGAGTCATTGATGCCGTCCTAACCGAAGCGCTAGGGCGCTGCTGTGCCCCTAACGCGCTGCTCGGCCCTTCCAGCCCCAAATTCAGCCCCCCCATTCAAATTCACCATTGTGTCCATTTCTTGTCAGGCGTAGTTCTCCGAGCTAAGCTGAGCAGTTGGCATGCTAGCTTGGAGCGATCAGCAGTTGCTTCCCTCGTCATCCATTGCCACCTTTCTCTGAGCTTAGTTATCTCTACTCTCCATTGGCTCATCGGACCATGTCTTACTCCATGGCTCGACTATCTGTCGCTCTGTTTGCCACCGCCATTCTCGCATGCGTCTCCGCTACAGTGGTTGGCGGCGAACGCGAAATTGAGACCCTCACATCAGAAGTACGACTTGCGTCGGAGGATCCACGGTATTACGAGGAAAGAATCGCTGTTGCATCTGCGGACCTGATCGCCCGTCGAAAGCTGAAGTGAGTTTCGCTCGCCCATCTTCGTGTCAAACCCCATCACACCCCGTTCTTCCTCAGTTTTTGGCTCGTATTTGCCGTACGCAAGATTTTTGGTCACATTCATATACTTTCAACCTGGCAGGTCGTCCAAGAGCAGCAAGAGCGACAAGAGCAGCAAAAGCGACAAGAGCAGCAAAAGCGACAAGAGCGACAAGAGCAGCAAAAGCGACAAGAGCGACAAGAAGAGCAAAAGCAGCAAGAGCGTCAAGAGCGATGAGAGCAGCAAGAGCGGGAAGAGCAGCGGAAAGTCTAGCAGCGGGAGCGGAAAGCCTCGAAACTGCAAGAAGTGCCGCTTGGGTGTGACGGCAGCGGCAGGGGCGGAAAAGCGCAAGTCGGGCGTGTGGACGACGAATCCCGTGGACAAGTGCTGGTGGTCCTTGGACTGGAAGACCAACCGCCAGGAGCTCGGCAATTGCGCGCCGGGTTTCGCCAAGGGCACGACGGGCGGAAAGGGCGGAAAGCTGTACATCGTGACGACGGAGGCGGACGACCCTGTGAGCCCAAAGGAGGGCATGCTGCGACACGCCATCATCCAGGTGCGACGCCATGCGACGCCGTGCGACACCTTTCTCCCATCTGATGCTTGGCCGTCAGCAGTGCAGCGTCGATTGCCCGACTACCGTTTCTCTACTCGACGCTCTCCTTTCCCGTCCTTTCCTCTAACTCCCATCTTTTTCTCTCCCCCTCACGCTTCATTTTCCCGCGGCCGTGCGCGCAGGAGGAGCCGCTGTGGATCGTGTTTGAGCGCGACATGGTGTTCGACAAGCTCAAGGCGGAGATGATGGTCGCCAGCGATAAGACCATCGACGCGCGCGGCCGCGCCGTCGTCATTGAGAACGGCCCGTGCGTCCGCGTGGAGCGGGCCAACAACGTCATCATCGAGTCTGTCATCTTCCGCAACTGCACCATGCGCAGGTACGCGCTCGCAAGTCTAAGTACGCGATAGTAGTTCACTCGCAGCAAGCACCTCACATTCTGTCACCTCTCCGCTTCGGTGAACCTTGCGCTATGCTGCCAGCACCCACCCCGTTGCAGTTCCGAACTCCCGCGCACTCACCTCCCGCTTTCCCACCCGTTCCCGCACGCGCTCCCTGCAGCGGCACGATCAAGGTGCGGTCTGCGAGGGGCGTGGAGGTGAAGGATTGGCGCGACGGAAACGCGGTGGAGGTCTGGGGGTCTACCAAGGTTTGGATCGACCACTGCGGCTTCGAAAAGGCGCTCGACACGCAGGTCAACATCGTTGTCGGCTCGACGAGCGTGGCGGTTACCAACAACTATTTCGTGAACCAGGACGAGGTGATTCTCATGAGCAACGACGACTCGGCGACGGAAGACGCTAACATGCGCGTCACGGTCGGGCTCAACGTGTTTGGACCCAACTGCAACCAGCGCATGCCGCGGTAAGTGCCCGTCCCACGCGCTAAACACCCTTTTCTCTTCGTTTCTTTTTTTTTTTCTCGTTGCTTCAGCATACATTTACCGACACGGCAAGACGTGGTGAGTGGGTCTTCTTAACTGGTCCTTTTTCTTTTCCCTCTTCCGCCAACAGCGGCCGGCACGGGCAGTTCCACGTGGTGAACAACTACTATCCGAACGGCTGGGGTATCTACGCCATCGGCGGCTCCGCTAACGCACGCTTCCGCAGCGAGGCGAACTATTTCGTCGCGGGGGATGTGAAGGAGGTGACGAAGCGGCAGGACACGCACGGGTGGGAGGCGAAGCAGATTAGCGACAAGTCGTGGACCAAGATCAAGGTGTCGAGTGCGGGCTGGCAGAACTGGCCGTGGCAGTCCATCGGAGACCACTTCGAGAACGGCGCCTTCTTTACCGAGTCCGGCAGCAATGTCTTCGAGCCGCCCTACGTCTTTAATGCCGTCCCCGCTAAGGACGTCCCCAAGGCCACCGACAGAGCCGGGCCGCTGTTCCGGCGGTATCAGAAGCAGGTGTGACGTGGACATGGATGTTGCAGGGCCCGTACGTGAATGTTGGGGGGCCAGGGAGAACTGGAATAAAGCGCTGTTACTTTTGTCGAGTTGAGTTGCAAGAGGAGCCATGCCTTGGCTGGCTGTGGTGGAGCCGAGGGCTCCGATACAACACCACGGAGATGCAGCCTACACAGTTTCATCGGTTGCGGCGCTATTACTCGCAGGAGAAGTCAATTAATGGCTTGGTTGCTTTGGGATTAGGATCTTGGCGGTTGCTCGTACCAACTGCCATTAGAGCGTTGTTACTTCATGAACCTGGTGACTAGACAAGGCGCTTGGCGGTTTGCTTATGCAGCTAGATGCCAATAGTGGTTGCAAGAGATTCTGGGTGTGATTCTTCCATTTCTTGTGCTATATTACATGAGGAATGAAGAACCTACGTGCACTGCACGATATTTACTCTGATAGGACATTACTGTAACATGCTCACATGCCCCAACACTCCATGGTAATGCATGTGCATCCAACCTTTGCAGTGAGAAGCGACTTCTAATTGACCACTATTTCAGTTCACAACATCACTATATATGTTGCTCGGTAGCATTCCTTGCCCCGTCCTCAACACCAGCACCAACTCAGCAACGTGCCTTTCACAGCTGTAGGCTCTGCAGTGCCACCTTGGCAGCCAGTGCCGCCCGGCTCTGTTCCGCATACTGCCGAGCCAGTGCCGCCCGCTTGATGGTGTCTGTCTCTTCCATGGCTGCCAGTCGCTTCTGCAGCAGCCCATGCAGCTCCGCTGCTGACGCTCCTGCAGGGGGAGGGGGTGTGATGGTGGGGGAGGGGTTGCAGCAAGGAATGAGGGCTCCAGTAGGACAGCAACAGGCATTCACAGGGACTGGGGGGCATGCATGTTAGCATCCGTGGTTGGTGTGAGAGGTGGAGCATACAAGACAGGAAGGACCGGTATGGCATGGTGTGGCACGGCACAGCATGGCATGGCATGGCATGGCATTGCATGGCATGGCATGGCATGGTATGGTATGGTATGGTATGGTATGGTATGGTATGGTATGGTATGGTATGGTATGGCATGGCATGGCATGGCATGGCATGGCATGGCATGGCATGGCATGGCATGGCATGGTATGGTATGGTATGGTATGGTATGGTATGGTATGGTATGGTATGGTATGGTATGGTATGGTATGGCATGGCAGGCGGGTGTTACCTGCGACTGGTTGCAGAGCAGCAAAGGTGACGAGCTCCTCATACGATGGCAGGTACGCCCGGTACGGAGGCACCTCGGGAGCTTTCACCGAACCAGCACCCTCCAACGTCCCCCTGCTCTCCCTGCCCTCCCCACCGCCACCTGCCTTCTCACTCTCGCCCCCACCCTCACTGCTGCTGCTACTGTCACTGCTGCTGCTGCTGCTGCTGCTGTTGCTTCTGCTGCTGCTGCTGCGAGCAGCCTTGCCAAAGTCAGGGTCCAGGGGCACAGAGGCGGGATCAACGGCCACCGTGCTCTGGATGGCCGGCGTCGGCAGCCCCTGGAAGCCCAGAAACCGGGCAGCAGACTCCAGCTGTTCGGGCGGCAACTGATCCGGCTCCACGCCATTGTCATCCGGCAGAATGGACCATGCTGATGGCGATGCTGATGGCGATGCCGCTGTGCTTCCGCTGCCACTGCTGCTGCCCTTTGCATCGCCTGCATCTGCACCTACCATTGTGCCTGCGCCTGTGCGCAGAGCATCAGCAACTGTCTGAGTCGACGCGGCAGTGGGCTGTTGGGCTGCCGCGGTGGCGGCGGTGGCAGGGGCGCCGGGTGCTGTCGGTGCTGCTGGTGGCGCAGTAGCACTAGCGGCAGCAGCAGAGGCGGCAGTGACGGTGTCCACCCAGCGAAGAGCCCTCTCCAGCGGCGTCTGTAGGGGCACGTCTGTGGTGGTCTGCACGCAGGGGGGAGGGATGGAGGGGTGGAGGGGTGGAGGGGTGGAGGGGTGGAGGGGTGGAAGGGAGAGATGGAGGGCGAGGTTATGCAGTGCTTCATCACTGTGCATGCCTTGTCCGTGAACCCCAATCTGGTGTCAAAGAGAACTCGATCCTCCTCGTGCATCCACCCTGCCATGCGCCCTACCTTGATCTTTATCTGCAGCTCCTGCACGTCCCTAAGCACCGCTCTCAACTCCTCCACGGCCTTCTTCACCTCCTCACGTGTGCCACCTGCCCCTGCTCCCTCTAGCTGGTCGTCAGTGACAATAACGACCTGGCCGCGCAGGAAGGGCTCCACTTGCGTGAGCTGCTGCAGGCGAATGCGCCCCACTCCCCTCACCGCCACCAGCGCCCCCACCTGCAGCTTGCGCACCTGCAGGGAGGGTGAGGGGACAGGGCGGGGACAAAGCAGCATAGGAAGGAAGAATGGCATCGTTAGAAGAGGGCGGTTGTGTGGGTCACTGAGCGGGAGGGAGCAGAGTAGGCGGAAGCAAGAGGCAGGTAGTAGGAGGTGGGAAGCAGGAAGCGGGTGGCAGAGGAGGGAGGCAGGAAGGGAGAGCGCACGCTTTCAACGTAGGAGAGGCAGCCGTAGGAGGCGACGAAGGTCATGCCCTGGCCGTCCTCTGACCGCATGGGCTCCAACACCACGTGCCCCAACAGGCCGTTGCTGCGTGTCAGCACCTGTGGGAGGGTGTGCATGGGGTGCATGGGGTGCATGGGGTGCATGGGGTGCATGGGGTGCGAGGGGTGCATGGGTATGCAATGCATGTGATACAATACGGTTCAGCCAATGACTGGCAACATGATGCAATACGTCAGTTTGGTAAAAGGCTCTGGTACGAGCTGTCGTTGGGAGTTGTCGTTGGGTACGAGGAGCTCTTAAAAGCGCCGCTCACTAGCCCACCCCCGTTACACGCATGACTCTCCCATGGCCCTCCCCAGTGGCCCCCGTAAAGCCCTCCCCAATGCACCCAGCGCAGTGCCCCCCGGCAGATGCATTGAGGTGATTTTCTAGGCGCCTCATATATCACCTAGTGCCCCTCGGCAGGTGCAACGCACCTCCTCCAGCAGCGCGAGGTAGCGCGCCTCGTACAGATGCAGTGTCTTGGACGACCCGGGCAGGAACACCTGCCGCCATGCACGCACACACACGCAGGGGAAGGGGACAAACGAGAAGGGGACACACGCGGAGGGGACACACGCGGAGGGGACACACGCGGAGGGGACACACGCGGAGGGGACACACGCGGAGGGGACAAACGCGGAGGGGACACGCGCGGAGGGGACACGCGCGGAGGGGACACGCGCGGAGGGGACACACGCGGAGGGGACACGCGCGGAGGGGACACACGCGGAGGGGACACGCGCGGAGGGGACACACGCGGAGGGGACACGCGCGGAGGGGAGGGGACACACGCGGAGGGGACACACGCGGAGGGGACCATGTGGGTGGATGGTGAAGCTCTGTAGGTGCGTGGCTTGATTCGCCTTATAACCCCCTTGCCTCTCTGTTTGACCCCGTTGCCAAGCCCGTTGACCCTCTTGACTAATCTGATGATTCCCTTGATTCGCCAACCCCGTTGACTCTGCTGTTGACCCCGTTGACTCTACTGTTGACCCCGTTGACTCGCCTGTTGACCCCGTTGACTCGCCTGTTGACCCCATTGACTCACCTCGGCGGGGTTGAAGGGCAAGCAAGGCAGCTCCATCACAATCCCCGCCTCGCTGCTGACGTCAGCACCGTCTCTGCTGCCTGCGTGTGCGCATGTGGCAAGGCGGGGGTAACAAGGGCATGGTCGCATGTGTGAGAGCGATGCATTGACTCGCAGCTGGTCGGAGTGAGAAATGTGTGGAGGGAGGCCAGAATCCAGCGCACGGAGAGTGGTGTCCGGGATTGAGGGGAGCGGAGCGACGTCACGTGAACGGAATGCCAGCAGGAAGCACCTTACTCGGCTTAACGGAGAAGTCGCTATCGCGTTGGTCGGCAGCCATCACGGAGGCTCGCCGGGCTCGTCGGAATCGACTTGGCTGATGTTGACGTGTCAACCGATGCATTGGCAATCGCGAAAATGAGATATGAGCGCGGCATTGGAGCGATGCGCAGGGGGAAGAGAGGCGGGAGAACGCGGCTTGCGGCGAAATTATCCGGCATCTGCTCTGAAAGGGATCCGCGAGAGAGCCGCCATTTTGCCGGCGTCCAGGCAGTGACGATGCTGGCGACAGGCACAAGGGTGGAGTGTGGACGGTGCTGCAACGAATGAGGTCCATGGGGATCGCGATCGCGATGGCCTTATATTCCGCGTGCCACGCAAATGACGCTTCCAAAGAGGATCTACGAACGGACTAGACTAAACAGACCAGACAACGATGCCCGAATGAAGGATGCTATCATGTATGCACGCTTTTGAGAACTTCTGAGGATTACCGAAAGCGAGCTGTGAGGGGAGAGATGGAGAGAGAATTTCAGAAGCAACTGGTGAGGAAACAGGCGTGCCTGACTGACTTGACTACACAGTTTTGGCGGGAAAGCTCCCGTTGCTCTCGTGGCTGCTTCTGGATGAATGAAGGATTACACCTATTGGCTGCACGGGAAGAGCGTTCGTGTATCCTCGTCGTAATCAAACAACAGAGCAACTCGATACAAGAATTATCCTTACTCTGCCAAGCCTAGACAAGCAAGTTGCAACTTGCAAGCATTACTGTAGAAGAAAATCAGACATAACTACAGCTCATCCTTCCTCTCATCCACACCCTCTTCCTCCGCATTGGCAATCTCCTCCGCCTCCGCCAATTCTTCCGCAGACGGGGGAGAAGCAGCAGCCATCTTGGATCCCTTGTGTTTCCTGACAAAGGCAAGGAGACTGGCCTTGGAGTTGTCGCCAGCGTATGGCACGGCAACACCAGCGGATGTATAGAGGTAGATGGTGGGCAGTGCCTTCACATCAAACTTATCCGATGGAATGTCGTTGGCGGAGAAATCCTGCAAGCATGGGGCACGCCAGATGTGCAGAGAAGACAGCGCGCTTAGGCATCGTGCCCCTTGGGATGCAGTGCCATGCCAATCCAGATGCTTGTATTCAACGGTGCATTGTGCACATACATGCATGCGTGCAAACACCCAGTCACCATCGTAGTACTCTCACTGCACGCAAGCACACCATGCGACGCCACTGACCATCTTGGCAACAACAACGTCCCTCTGGCCAGAGAGGCTCTCTGCAACGTCCTTGAGCACAGGGTCCAGGTCAGCACACGCCGTGCACCAGGGGGCGTGGAACTCCAGCAGCACTGGAGTTGGAGGGATGGCAGGGAGAGGAAGGGAACAAGGTGAGAGACACGAAGGTGAGGAGGAGAAGGGGTGCCGTGCAGAGTCCTTGCGCAGCAGGGGGCCCTGAAGAAAGCAGCAAGTGCATGCGTGTGGATGGACATCCAGCTCTGATTATTGGTGTCCATCAGAGCTGTTAACGCAGAGACAGTAGCTGATGCTGATGCTGATGCTGATGCTGATGCGCTGATGCTGATGCGCTAATGCTAATGCTGATGCTGATGTGCTGATGCTGATGCTAATGCTGATGCTGATGCTGATGCTGCTGATGCTGATGCTGATGCTGATGCTGATGTGCTGATGCTGATGCTGATGCTGATACTGATGCTGATGCTGATGCTGATGCTGATGCTGATGCTGATGCTGATGCTGATCCTGATGCTGATGCTGATGTGCTGATGCTGATGCTGATGCTGCTGCTGATGCTGATGCTGGTCCGCTCATGCTGATGCTGATGCGCTGATGCTGATGCTGATGCTGATGTGCTGATGCTGATGTGCTGATGCTGATGCTGATGCTGATGCTGATGCTGATGCTGATGCGCTGATGCTGATGCTGATGCTGATGCTGATGTGCTGATGCTGATGTGCTGATGCTGATGCTGATGCTGATGCTGATGTGCTGATGCTGATGCTGATGCTGATGCTGATGCGCTGATGCTGATGCTGATGCGCTGATGCTGATGCTGATGTGCTGATGCTGATGCTGATGCTGATGATGCTGATGTGCTAATGCTGATGCTGATGCTGATGCTGATGCGCTGATGCTGATGCTGATGCTGATGTGCTGATGCTGATGCTGATGCTGATACTGATGCTGATGCTGATGCTGATGCTGATGCTGATGCTGATGCGCTGATGCTGATGCTGATGCTGATGCTGATGCTGATGCTGATGCGCTGATGCTGATGCGCTGATGCTGATGCTGATGCTGATGCTGATGCTGGTCCGCTCATGCTGATGCTGATGCGCTGATGCTGATGCTGATGCTGATGTGCTGATGCTGATGCTGATGCTGATGCTGGTGCTGATGCTGATGCTGATGCTGCTGATGCTGATGCTGATGCTGATGCAGATGCTGATGCTGATGCTGATGCTGATGCTGATGCTGGTGCTGATGCTGATGCTGATGCGCTGATGCTGATGCGCTGATGCTGATGCTGATGCTGATGTGCTGATGCTGATGCTGATGCTGATCCTGATGCTGATGCGCTGATGCTGATGCTGATGCTGATGCTGATGCTGGTGCTGATGCTGATGCTGATGATGCTGATGTGCTGATGCTGATGCTGATGCTGATGTGCTGATGCTGATGCTGATGCTGATGCTCATGCTGATGCTGATGCTGATGTGCTGATGCTGATGCTGATGCTGATGCTGATGCTGATGCTGATGTGCTGATGCTGATGCTGATGCTGACGCTGATGCTGATGCTGATGCGCTGATGCTGATGCTGATGCGCTGATGCTGATGCGCTGATGCTGATGCGCTGATGCTGATGCGCTGATGCTGATGCTGATGCGCTGATGCTGATGCTGATGCTGATGCTGATGCTCTTATGCTGATGCTGATGCTGATGCTGATGCTGATGCTGATGCTGATCCTGATGCTGATGCTGATGCTGATGCTGATGCTGGTGCTTATGCTGATGCTGGTGCTGATGCTGATGCTGATGCTGATGCTGATGTGCTGGCAGGAAGGGAGAGAGGCAGAGAGGGAACAAGGCAGAAACCCGAAGCAAAACAGCACATGGACAACATCATAGCAGCGAAAGAACGTGGGCAGCTGTATCGGTGGGAGCACGCAGGCAGCAGCATAGCAGCAAGAGCAAGCGGATGAGAGCAGGGAGCAGGTTGGGGGCACCATTCTTGCGGGAGTTGAGCACGGTGTCCTTGAAGCTGTTGGCCACCACCTTCTTCACCGCCCCTGAGTCCCCCTGCGCCACCGCCTCACTCTTCAGCACCCTCTCTGCCCTCCCCGCCTGCTCTTAGGCGGACATGGGGGCACAGGGTAAGGGAGGCAAGGAGAGAGGGGGAACGCGGAGATTAGGTGGGTTGGAACAAGGGTAGGTGGAGGCACACAGCGAGGGTGAGTTGTATGAGGTACGCTGTGTCAAGGAGGCACAAGTGCGACGGGCAGCCGTGGGACGGGCAGCCGTGGGACGGGCGGATTTCAAAGACGGCAGAACGAGGGGGATCTGTGGAAGGGAGAAGCCGGGGGAGGGCGGACCTGGAAGTCAGCGAGGAAGGGGGCGATGTCAGAGGGGGCGATGTGGGTGCGGATGAACTTGGCATCATAGCGCGGATCGTGAATGACCATGGCTGGCGTGTCACTCACTGCCAGCCCAAAGTACTGCCAAGGAAGCACAAGGGGCCGAGAGGTTTTGGGGCAGCGGGAAGGGTTTCATTGGAAAGAGCTGGGGGGGATATCAATGAGGAGGTCAAAGTGTTGCTAACTGCGAGCTGCGAGCTGAGAGCTGAGAGCTGAGAGCTGAGAGAAAACAAATACCACTTGAAAGTATACTTGTAAAAACCAACCCGTGTGTACTAGTGTGGGTTTGGTGTGAGTGAGTGACGTCATGGCATGGCAGTCCCTCCGTCCATCCCTCACCCGCACCTTGAGAGCATGCTCATTGGCCGCAGCCTCCCCAATGACGAGGCGGATGCTGTCGGGCTGCTCCTGTGCCGCCTCCACGTACCGACTGCGGAACTCAGGTGCGTCTGGCAGGCTGTAAGTCAGGAATAGCAGCGACTGCAGGAAGGGGGTGCGAGCGATGGTAGCAAAGCACACAGAGATTCAGTCCTTCAGTTGTGGTGCTGGAAGGGAGAGAGGGTGGGCAGCAGAGTGGGAAGCACGGTAAAAGGAGCAGCACAGGCAACAGCAAAAGCAGCAGCAGCAAAAGAAAGGGAAAGCCTGACGGATGAGGAAGGAAAGAGGCAGAGGGAGCACCTTGTTTATGGGAGCCTGGAAGACGCGGGCGAGGTAGGGGCGGTCCTTGGGGTCCTGGCTGAACTCCACCACTCGGGGCACCGCATGCCGCTCTATGAAGGACTTGAGCGCTGCTGGTGACAACTCCTGCTCGTGAAAGTGGGGGGCAGCGACAGTAGGCCGGGGAGGAAGCGGCAGGCAGGTAAGGAGCAGCGAATCTCTTGGAGTTGAAAGTCTTCATCTCCATCCAGGAAGACACCTCCCACTTACTACCCCAAATGGCCCACCTGGGTGTCGGAGTACCCCTCGTCAAACTGCTTCAGCAGGCGCACAGCGGGTGCCTGGAGCTCAGGCCCTTTAGCGGGCAGCAGCGAGGCGTCGGTGGTGTGCTTGAAGACAAAGTCCGTGCGCAGCTCCCTGGCCACTGACAGGTACGACTCAAACTCGGGGGATGATAGCGTTGAAAACAGCCCCACCTGACAGGAGGGGTGGGAGTGGGAGGGGGAGTGGGGCAGGTGGGGAGGTGCAAATTTGTGTGGGGGAGAGAGGGTTTGGAAGGGGAGGGAGGGGTGGAGTGAGGGCGGAGGATAAGGGGTTTAGGAAGATGGTTGGAAAGGATAAAAGGGTGCCACTCACCACAATGACGCTGTCGTCCTCCATGGCGCGCTTGAGGTCGGACTCTGACCGCACCTTGGTGCTCGCTGGTGAAGCAGGGTGCACACAAGAGGTGCAGCAAGTACGTGACACATGGCGCATAGTCAGCAACTCACCACAACAACACTGTCGTCCTCCATGGCGCGCTTGAGGTCGGACCCTGACCGCACCTTGGTGCTCGCCGGCCCCGCCTGCTTCTTCAGATACGCCACCAGCCCCGCTGCCTCCCTCGGCCCCTTGTACGTCAGGGGGGACGCGTAGTCCCTGAGAGGAGGGGGGAGAAAGGGGAAGAGGTGGGGTGGAGAGCGGTAGGGTGGATGGGTTAAAGTGTGCTTTGGGACACGTGAGCATGGTGGTAAGTGAGGTGGGTGGAGTATGCGGAGAGGAGAGGAGAAGGAGGGACGAAGAAGTGAGAGGATGATGGACATGAAGGACCTCACATTCGTCCGTCCATTTGCTTGAAGCGCTCATGAGAACAGACTTCGTATCAAAGCAGGCGCCATCCCATGGCAGAGCAGGCACGGCACGGAGCCAAATAACAAGGAAGCAGGTCGCAGGCGACTCACGTGCGGAAGATCTTGATGGTGGGGAAGCCCGCCACGCCGTACTTCCTGGCGATGGCCTTGTGCTTCTTCTCATCGCCGTTGATGCGCGCCAACACTATCTCCGACCCCTCCTCCGCCAGCATCTCCGCTGCCTTCAAGTACTGCAGCGCACAGCACAGCACAGCACAGCACAGCACAGCACAGCACAGCACATAGAGAATGACGAGCACATGCCACGTGGAAAATGTGACGTGTGGGCGCGCATAGTCATGTGCAATGCGGTGGCGGGAGGCTACGTCGGACGTGCTAGTCCTAGAGGGAGGCTGGTGACGAGTCGAGGTGCAACCATGGTAGTGCGTGCAAGTTATTGATAACAGTTCATAGCACTATGCCTTAAAGCAGATTGCAGTAAGCTCAGCAGCCGTGAAGCACATGTGCCGTGATGACACTGTTGTCGCATTCCCTCGGTCTCTCTCCGTCCTCTCTCCACCTCTGTCTCGCGTAGCATACTATCCCCTCTCCCTCTCTCCTCCACATCTCCCTCACCCACCTACCTCCGGCTCTAGTCGCTTGCAGTGACCGCACCTGCCGACACAAGAACACGAGGCGGTGGGGAATGCGGGAAGAGGACGAGGATTATTTTGGGTCAGGTAAGCGGCAATGGAAAAAAATGGTCAACGGAGGTAAGAACAGTGCAGCGATGCAGAGAGCGCTCGATGGTGCCACGAAACTCCGGAAGTGGCAGTAGGTCGAATGCCACTGCGGAATGCAGTGCGGGAACGATGTGCGCATTGCGTATCGACGGGAGAGTGGGCACAAGCGAGCGACCACCGAGCATCGGAAGAGAGCGAACGCGTCCGAGTGTGATCGCGCAAGAGAGTTAAAGCGCGTACCAGGGAGCGTAGAACATAACGGCGATGAAATCGTGGTCCTTAACCTCCGACTCGAAATTCGTGAAGTCGAGCGTCAGCACCTTGCCGTCGTCCGCTGCAGCGCACGACACGCCGACTACCGCTAGAACCGCGAGCATCGCCAGCGCAGCGCGCTTGCCAGCCATGGCGAGAAATGCAGTCCGCTCTAGAACCTTTGCGTAGGATAACTCTGAGAATGCGTGGAACATAGGGATGGTATTACGAACTCCGTGACATTGGAGACTAGCAGACTCGTCTTGACAGTCAAGACGGAATGGTGACATTGGCAGAGCTCCAGACGACACAGGATCATCGCAAGGTCTCCAGCGAACATTCGCGAACACGAAAGCAGTCGCGGATTGACCATTCCATTGGCGACCCTCACAACAAAAGCTACAAAAAAAGGCATAACCATTGTACAATTACAAACCACTACGATCGGCTACAGCTAATATGGATATGCTACGGCAAACCTCTACCAAAACCCTAGGCCCTAATTTGAGCCAGATGTAAGGCAACCACCTCCTACAGCCCTACACATGTAACATGCACCTGCACTTATTATGCACTTTATAATTTCACATAATATGCGTAATGGGTTCTGCTAAGCGGACTGAAGGGCCTGCTGCAAGACAGCTTGCTGCTCCGGGGGCAAAGCCCCAATGATCTCCGCTGGTAGACTGCGTAGCAGCGTCACGGCTCGCTTGTTTGTCTCCTCTGTAGCCAGATCCGTGCCCGCCTTGAGCACCTGCGGGAAACAGATTCAAAGTGAGGCATGAGAGGCGTTCGTGTTCAGAAGCAATTGTGATTGAGGACCTGAACTGAACGTATGGCTTGTGTAGCAAATACCAGGCTCGGCACAGCAGAGCAGCGAGGACATAGCGGTGAGTGCATAGGCATGCAGTGGTCGCGTGCATGCACATACCTCCAGCAGCACTCCAACAATGTGGGGCAGATTCTGGTTGTTGGGGCCAAGAATACGAGCGTCCGACCTGAACAGTGTAGGAATGGAAGGAGAGGGAGGAGGGGAGGGCGGGGGGAGGATGCAGAGTGTCATCCAAAAAAAAAAGGGGGGGGGGGGGGGGGGGGGGGGGGGGGGGGGGGGGGGGGGGGAAAGAGTTATAAAAAGGGAAGAAAAAAAAAAGACCACGGAAATTCTAACATGGATCGTGGATGGGTGAGGGAGTGCAAGCATGGGCAGCAGCAACGCACCTCTCGAGCAGGCCGCAGAGCTGGGCGTGTGCGACCTTGGCCTCGGCACGGTCCTCGCGGATGGGCAGGTAGGCGAGCCACACGGAGAGCACGTGCGCCGAGTCAAAGGGCGCGTGCGCTTGGTGCTCACACAGCCGCCCCAGCGCTGATATGGCGTTGTCTGTGGCTGACACGCTCAGCTCAGTCTTGCTGTCCGCACTGCTCACCACCTGCCCCAGCCGTGCCACCGTGTCTGTGCGTGCACGGGAGACATTGGAGGAGATGGGATGGCGTGCACACCAAGAGGCAAGAAGAAGATGCTGAGTTGGTGGGGAAGGCCTAAATGGCAGGGAATGCGGATGATGGGGGCTTGAGAGTGGAGGTGGAGGAATGGAGAGTGGGATTGAGGGAAGCAGAGAGGTGTGAGCCGGGAGGGAGAGGGAGAGGGAGAGGGAGAGGGAGAGGGAGAGGGAGAGGGAGTGCACCTGGCACGTATGGTGTGAAGGCAGCGCCTCCGTGTTGTGCACAGATGCCGATGCCATATGCTGCTGACTGCAGTCACACACATGGGCGCAGGGGGGACAGGAGAGGGGGAGAGAATGGGCAGGTGCGGATCGGCATGAGGAAAAGGAGGCAGCAGCTGTAGAAAGGCGTGAGCGTCATCTGGCTGGCAGGGTCTTGGAGACGGATTGATGAGTGGAGCAGTGCAATCACCAACAGGGATGCCAGGAGGAAAAACAAGTCACGAGGCAGAGTATGGTAGGCGTGGGAGGAAGCAGAGGGGCGGGCGTTACCTGTCGGATCTCGGGCAAGGGGTCGAGGACTGCTTCCAAGATGTGCGGCAGGAAGGCCGGGAAGTAGCTGGTGGGGCGAGAGGGCGATCGGCAAGTAGAGAGTGAAAGGTGGAGTGAGGGACTTGTGCTGGTGAGAGGGGGGAAGCAGGTGATGCATGTGGACACGCGCATGGACAGAGGAACAGACATCAGCTGTTAGAAACAGGAATCAGGTGCCGTGAGCGTGGGGCACATTCCACACACAAACCACCAGGCCCGGCAACGTGGCAGAGCATGAGAAGAGCAGGGGGAGCGAGCAGAGGAGCGCACCTGGCAGCAGCGTCGCCCATGTTCTCCGCCAGGTCGTCAAAGATGCATATGCCCACCCTCCTCTCCGTGGATGGCCGACTCTTGTCCTGCATGGGAAGGGACAAGAGGAAGGAGCAGAGCAATGCAGTGTTAGGATTGTTCGCTGAATCAAGGGTGGGATTTTTGGCAAGCATGGGAGCGCGTGAGGGAAGAAAGGAAGCGTGTGAGGCTACAGCTGGGAACATGAAGTTGCATGAGAGCAGATTCGTTTCTGAATTGTTCGGATGGCACTGACCATCATCTGCAGCACGAAGGGAGCGAGGTCATCAGCGAAGGGCTTGAAACTGCCCTTGAACACGCGCACCAACTCTCCTATGCAGTCGCCCACCTGCCACCACCGCACAGCACAACAATGGGAAAAACAACAGACATTGACGTTGTCAGATTCTCCAAGCCTCGGCTGATCCAAAACGATGTCACCCCTCTTCCTCCCATCTTCGCTCCTTACTCCACCCATTTGCGAACAAATCCCCTTCCTCCACTTCCGTCTCCCATTTGACCCTGAGTACCACCTTGGCCTCCATCATTTTCCTGATTCGACCCTATCTGCATGCACTCTAGTGCCTCTCTCCCCCCTTGTCCATCTCGCCTCCATGTCCTTTCCCCCCTTACACCCCCTTCCCTCCCTATCCTTTTACCCCTCATCCTCACACTCCAGACACTACCCCTCTAACTTCCGTATCCCATGTCTCTCCCTCTACTTCGGTCTCCCTCTCCCACCTCCTTTGTCTCCTTCTCCCTTTTGTAGCCCAGTGAGTCCCATTCACCCGCTTCCCCCCCTCTTTCCGCACCCCAACAGCGCCACAGCTCTCACCTGATCGAGCACCTCGTCCTCCTGCTCGTTCTCCTCCTGCAGCAGCTCGCTCTCCTCCTCATCAAAGTCCTCTGTCTGTGTGCGCTCCAGCCGCTCCTTGCGCCGCCCCCGGCTGCCTTCCACCACCGCCTTCAGCTGCGCCACCACCTGCGCCACCTGCTCCGCACTCAGCTCCGCTCCCCCCAGCTGCCGCGCAGAGGAGACGAGGAGACGAGGAGACGGGGAGAGGAGGAGGAAAAGGTGAGGAGAAATAAGAGTTAGACATTTGATGAGTTGAATGACAGCCCTGTGAAATGTGAAAGATACAGTATGTTGGAGACACCTGATTCCATCTTAAAAACTCCTGATTTCATGCTGAAAAGCCCTGACCTCAAGTTCTTGATCTCATGATGTTGGGAAATCCTGGCTCACCTGAATGCATTCTTGCAGGGACTCGAGCATGACGACAATCATCTCCACCTCAGGCTCCTGGCAAGGGGTGGGTGAGCAAAAAGCATGCAGCAGTGAGGAAGGTGGACGTAAACCATGGTTCAACAAAAATGTTGCAGTGTGGAAAACAGCGCGGCAGAATCAACCCTCTACCCCCACCAGGCAGCATCTGCACCAGATAGCACCCACCTTGGTAAGAACTTCCACCAGAGGAGGAACAAGGAAGTCAACCATCTGCTTGAGGTAGCGCTTCTCGCCCTCTGCTGTTGCTGTCACTGCCGGCGCCACGCCCTTCTCCACTGCCAGCTTGCCGTCCAACAGCAGCTCCGGGATGGCTGTGAGGACGGGGAGAGGTGTGGAGAGGTGTGGGGAGAGGTGTACAGAAAGGTGGAGAGTGGTGAGGAGAGCAACCATGACCTGAGACATGCAAAGCGCCACGCCCTTCTCCACTGCCAGCTTGCCGTCCAGCAGCAGCTCCGGTATGACTGTCAGCATGGGGAGAGGTGTGGCGGTGGGGATAGGTGTGGTGCGGATAGGTGGGGAGAGGATGGGGAGGAACTGGAGTGGAGAAAGAATCAAGGGGCAACTGAGAAAGCACCCGAGGAACCGAGCACACTAAAGGTGGAGCGAGAGGGAGCGCGGGCGAGCAAGGGGCTTACACTGAGCGGCAGCCTTGCGGACTTCCTCGTGGAAGTAGAACTTGAGCAAGGGCACCATCAGCTGCGCCACCTGTGGGCAGGCGTGGCACCGCATGGCATGGCATGGCATGGCATGGCATGGCATGGCACAGGGGCGACGAGGCACATGGGCACGCTCACAGGTACACACACAGCACACATAAGGGAGGGGCGGGGGTGGGCAAATGAGCTTGATGTGACGCATGTGGTGGGGTGAACCCCTTGAGGGACACTGTAAGCGGTTGAGTTGGTGGAAGATACTGGATTTTGCCTGTGCATGGGAGTGAATTCACTTCTTCGTTTCATTGTTTCATCAACGAGGCTGCTACCTTCCCTCCCCCCAAACCCCCCTGCCATGCATGCGGCCGTTTCCCCTGTGTCCTTACCTGGTCGATCCAGGGGAAGAAGCCCTCCTTGAGCTCGTCGGCATAGCAGCAGAGCATGTTGCACGCCGTGGCCTTCTCCTCCAGCATGCTCGTGCGGATGCCGATCTTCTTGTCGCCGATCGTTATCGTCTCCACACTGTTGCAACACAGAGAGCACATGTGGGGGGGGATGAGGGCGCCAAGTGGGGGGGGGGGTTGGACAGATGGTGAGGGGCATGCTCGCGCGGATGCCGATCTTCTTGTCACCTATCGTTATCGACTCCACACTGTGGCGACGCATGGCGCGCAGGCGACATGCGGGCCCACGGGGGAGGGGTTGGGGGGAAGATACCGTGAGTGGCATGCACACAGAAAGCACGATACACCATAGGCACTGCACAACACATACCCTAGCTATGATGGCGCACACATGGCTACAGTGGTGGCGACATTACCAGCCTGTGCAGGGACGCTTTAATGAATGACATGAGAGCCAAGACAGCAAGGATGACGATTCAGGAGATGCACAGCATGGTAAGGTAGAACATGGAGACGACCATGACATGTTCTCCGTAACCATGTTGCGCATCTCCTGAATTGCATGCCTGCTATCTTGATGTCACTCACAGAAATATACCTTCACAGGCTGGTAATGTCACCACCACTGTAACCATCGTCGTTGGCAGTGTCATGATGAATATCCGAGATGGTGACGGCGGGCATGAGCGAGGCGAGACAAGTTCTCAGTCGAATCAGAAGCCACCACACACCAGCCAGCCAGTCACCCACACGCCAGGCACCCACCTGTCATCATCGTCATCATCATTGGCTGTATCATCATCTATGTCGGAGATGGTGACGTCAGGCTTGAGCGAGGCCGAGTGCAGCAGCGGCGGCATGACCACGTGCATGAACGGCAGGAACTCCGCCCCCAGACACTTGCACAGCCGCGCCCACGCCTGCACGCGCGGAGGGAGGGGGTGGGGAAGGAGGGAAGGGAATGGAGGACGGAGGGCGGAATTGTGTATGGGGGGAAAGCGTGAGAGGGGGGAGGGAGCGGGTAGGGAGGGAGAATTGGGGGGTGAGGGGCAAGTGAGGGGAAGAGGAATGGAAGGACTCAGACGACATATCTGCAGGTGAGGTCGTCATCCTCCATGGGCGCGGACTGCAGCGACACAAGTACCTGCATCACCTCCTTGGCGCCTTTTTAATGCCCCGGCAGCCATTTGAGATGTGTCTGAAGTCTTTTGGGACGTCTCAGAGGCATGTCTCACACGCTGAAGCCGCACGCACCTGCAGCATGTAGCTCATGGTGAGGTCGTCGTCCTCCATGGGCGCGGACTGCAGCGAGACGAGCACCTGCATCACCTCCTTGGCGTCGGCGCGGAACTTGTCCTTGCCCACCGCCATGCCCACCAGGCTGATCGCCTCCATCGCCTTGGCGCGCAGCATGCGCTGCTCCTTGTCGCCCGCCTGCGTGAGCACCGTCTTGAGATACGGCATGACGCCGTCGTAGTACTTTGAGAAATGCTCCTGGGGTGGTGGGATCACGGGTGGAGGGGGGGAGGAAGGGACGGAGGGAGGGTGGGGGTGTCTGATGGAGGGGGGTTCACATGACGGTGGATGGATGAGAGGGTTGACAACAAGCAAAGCTTGATAACAGTCGAGGCAGAGAGGCCAAGTGCAAAGCAAGAATGCAACAGTGAATTCAAAGCAACAGTGAATGCGCTTTGTCAACAACGCACCTGGGAGCAGTCAGCGATGGCGGCAATGGCTGTGAGCGACCCTTCCTGCACCATGCGCTTGCCGAACTGCACGCACACGGGGAATCCAAATTGAAACACGTTGGGGTCAAACACGTCAACTCGCACCAAAAATTACGAGCAAGCACGAGTGGGTGTTGGTGCAGAGCACGTACAAGTGCGTGCACGGGGGTGCGAATTCGCTGATGAAAGGTTGTTGTGTATTTATCTGGGTGTTTAATCAATTGCGATCATATTCCAGTCATTGTGATTTTGTTAGATTCCGGGGGGGGGGGGGTTTATTCTACAAAAACGTCTACTCAACGTAATTTCATCAATTTCTGGGGGGTTGGGAGGGTGGGGATCTCTTGGTTGCCCCCCAAAAGAGAACGTGGTGGCCCTCTATTATCCCTCATCATACCCCCCCGCCACCCATCAACCAGCCCACTCTTCCCCACTCCCCGCCAAAGCAACCATCCCCACAGGAAATGTCCCCAGTCCTCCCCCCCGCACTCCTCGCTCACCTGCAGCAGCTTGTTGAGCAGCTGGTCCAGGTACGGCGCCATGATCTCGGGCGTCGCGGCCTCGACGTGATTTCTGAGTCAGCTCAAAGCGCAACCATTGCTCACTTCAATCCTCCCACTGCCCCCCCCCCCCCCCCCCTTCTTCCTCCCCCCCACCAAACTCTCACCTGCAGCAACTGCAGCAGCTTGTTGAGCAGCTGGTCCAGGTACGGCGCCATGATCTCGGGCGTCGCGGCCTCGCTGAAGTTGAGGATGGCGGCGGTGGCGTGCGCCTGCACGCGCGGGTTGGCGGCGTCGTCCATGGCGGCGATGAGCGCGGGCAGCACGCGCGCGTGGTGCTGCTGCTGCAGGTCCGGCCCCAGGTCCGTCGACAGCTGCCCCACCGCGTTGATCGCCGCCCACCTGCCACCGAACATAACACAAAAGGAGCGCTCAAACTCCGTTATCGCCATGTGATGATTGCTCGAGAATGTGGGCAAGGTTGTAGAAAGGAAAAGGAAGCGGGAAGTAGGGGCGGGTGGTGCGGCAGCGCGTGGGGGTGGATGGGCGCGCACCTGACGCGCGGGTTGGGGTCGTTAAAGGCGGCGAGCACCATGTCCACCACCGACTCCAGACTCTTCGACATCACCTGCGCGGAGAGAGAGGCGCGGGGCGAAGAGGGGTGCGGGGGAGAGGGGAAGGGTGCGGGGGAGAGGGGTGCGGGGAGAGGGCTTTAACAGGAATTGAGCGCTTGTAAGGGGGTCAAGAAAGAACACGGGAAGGGTCGTAGCAAGGAGGAAGTGACACATCACTTTCCTGATTTTTCGCCTCTTACCTTGGTGCAGCCCTCCGCGATTTGCGCGAGGCACACGAGCGCTGCGTGTCGCTTCTTCCAATCCGCGTCGTTCGCGTATGCGGGAAGCGCCTGCGACGCGACGGGGAGAACGGTGTTTCCACCAACCGATATCGCGAGCCTATCAAGGCACTCCTGCGCGACCTCGTAATTCGCGGTCTCTCCGGAATCCTCCTCCTCGTCATTCGCGGCGTGCCACTCGGGCGTGTCCTCGATATCCAGCAGCATCGCCATCAGCACTGCGAACAGCCGTCCCACCAAATGAGGCACCTTGCGCATCATCCCCGGCGCGCGCTCGCGGGCCTCTGACAGCGTGATCAGGAACTCAATGGCGAGGTGACGCGTGGCGTCCTCGAGCTGCGTGGATTCCGCGATCTGCAGCATTGCGGCGATGACGTCAGTCAGCTGCTTGCGCATGTAGCGCGGCTCGATGCCGGCAACCTCGATGAGCATTTCGAGCGCCTCTTGCGCGCTGGCCTCGTCCTTGCTCTGCAGGCACAGATTCAGCGTCTGCATCATTCCAGGCAGCAGATCCTGGAATTGCGTCAGCTCCTCGGGAGTTTCAAGCGCCTCGACGAAATTCGCAGCTGCCCGGAGAGCGGCGATCCGCACGTCGGGATTGGCTGACTGAGAGAGGCACTGCAGAAGCACATTGTGTAGAGTGAGCAGGTGAGGCTTGAGCTGCGACTGGAAGAAATGCACTAGCTGCGCAAAAATCAGCAGCGATGCTTCCTTGAGCCGATCGTCCGACGACGACACGCATTGGAACATGAATGGAAGCAGCTCCGGCCATGTCCCTGACTCCACGATCCCCGCCGCGAGCTCCGCGATCGTGTCGCACAGCTTCTTCCAGATCGCCTTAGTAGGCTCTCTCTGCACGCTAGCGAGTAATTCAGTCTTAACGGTCGCCTGCGTCGCGGGACTCAGCTGCGGCCATAGCGACACGCTGTCCTTCGTGATCACTCGTCTAAGAAGCACCGCGCCGATCGTACGCACGTCCGCTCCTGCGGCGGAGGACTGCAGCGCCGCGACGAGGCGGAGGACGAGAGCGTCAGGGTGCTGCTTGCAGAGATTAAATATGCGCTCGGCCTCGCCTCTGTCGTCGTTTGACGGGGAAAGGAGTCGCTGCAGCAGCTGCTCGAATGGCGCGGGATCCTGGCCCAACACGATCGCCACAGCTGGATCCATGGCCAGAAGCCTATCAGAAGCTAGACTCGTAAGTAAAACACCGAGAGACGTAGCGCGAAACAAAGGAGGAAGGATTTATTTGTTGAGTCCCTGCGTGACAGCAATGGACTTGGTTGGAAGATGGGATGGGATGGGATGGCATGGCAATCGGAGAATGAAGGGGGTATGGAATGGAGTCCATGAACAGTGCTGATGCGCGTCACCCTCAACTGCTGGCCCCAGGAAGTCCTCAGCATCGCTTGTGATTGGTCGGGGAGTCGAATTCCAAGTGCCTGCTGCTGTGAAGCAATTCTCGAGAGTGTGCCTCCTCCCATAATTTGGGAGGCCGACCACCATCGGCCTCTAACATGTTTGTGCTTATGATGAGGTCGAACCTGGAAAGTGTAGTGCATCAATGCATTTGGTGACTCGTCATCAAGATTTGAAGTGGCTAACCACCACCGCTGTTGAAAAACAGCAAATCAGCAGGATGCAAATATGTGCTCATTACATGCAACTAATATGCACTCTACATTGAGCAAACATATTGTGTGAAGGTTATGGGGCGGGAAAAGTGGGGAAAGACACTTCCCTGTACCTGGAAAAACATGTTCTGACATAGGGTGTCTTTAATTATAAGTTGACCGGGTCTACGTTCTTTACGAGACACTTGCGCAAATAAATTATTGAATGTTTGACATGTATCACCGCATTCAATTCAAATCTGGACTGTATAACATAGTTTGACTGAAAATATTCAACCAGGGTTGCATAAATGTTACCGTATGTCTTGTTTGAATAAGCTCCAGTGCTTCAATTGTATATCCATGCTTCCACAGCTCCTAGAAATATTTCTATGAATTAAGATGCAATAACGATGTCCAAGAGTGAAAAGCTCCTTCAACACATGACCCAGAAGCCAGGAAAAGGCTCCACATGCCTTATCCCGATTTGTTGCTGTCATCCCTGCGCGGCTGGAATATAGAACTAGCGAGTATGGAAACATTCTCACACGGTGGTTCCCAGCTTCCCATGCAATTTTCCAGATTGCTGACCGCGAGTCCACCGAGTGTGGGGCTTTTGAAGCGTGTACAGTCTCAGCTGAATTCACGATTCGAGGACCTTCATGACAAGTGTTTTTGTTCGCTGACACGTTTCCCAAAAAACTTTTTGTTCACTGCATCCTCAACCAATGTGGGACACTCGACGAATCAAGGGAGTGACATGGCAAAGTCGGCGATGCTCTCCAATCACGTCGTGGCGTTCCATACAGTTTCCCAAAACGTTGGAGGATGCAGTGCGTTGCGTGCGTCATCCATGTCATCAGTGACTCACTGGATAAGGCTCACATGCTTCAACTGCGGTGTTGGATGGTAAAGAGCTCCCAGGCCAACGCCGCGATTCGGGAGCCTCGGTGGTGAGCTTTCATTATGAGTAGGTAGAGCACCTGTTCGACGTGGAATTGTGTTGGGCTGACGTTTCTGATCTCCGCTACAGTAGAATACTTCGTGCGTCAGATGCGCACATTGATGGCGCTCAGCTTCAGCATAGACTCCGCAGTTGGTGCACAGCAAATATCTTATCCGAGCTGCCCAGGCAAAAGCAGCGACAAACTTGCCGAACCGACTGGAAGAGTTCCTACGAGCCCTGGTGGGCGCATTTCCACCAGGTGCCCCCCTGGTGGAAACGAGTTTCCACCAGGACGCGGAGCTGGCGGAAGCTGTCTGCCCGGGGCAAAAAAAACTAAACCCCATCGCGACCCGCATGCAGTTCGGGAGCCTCAACCCTAAAATTTTAGGGTTGAGGCTCCCGAGCCGCATGCCGGTCGCGATGGGGTTTAGTTTTGTTTTGCCCGCGGGCAGATCGCTTCCGCGAGCACGCGCAAACGGTTGCGGATTCGCCCGTGTTTTACTGTTACTGCTCGTATGAACCTCTGAAAACCTCGCTTCGCAACAAGCCTGAGCAGAGCCTGAGCCACGTCTGTGCAGACCTTCCTAACCTGATCCTATCAGCTCGAGGGAGCGCATCATTTCATTCCTAGGTTGTTCGTTGGCTTGCTTGGGAAGATCTACAAAAGTGGCGCGGCTCGGCTTGGCTGAAAACACGCAGGCGAGCGGGCAAGCACTTGCCAACAATTCGGTACCGACAATCTGATCAGAGATCTGCTCCATTAGTTAGCTTCGCTCCCAGTCACTTTGTTCCCCTCCAGTGAGGCTGCTGTTGCTTCAGTGTGTTCCTTCCTCCAACAACTGATCCGCCTCTCTTCCTCCCGCCCTCGCTCATTCCGTTATATACCTGTGACTGAAGGGTGACGTAGCATAATAACGAAGCTCCTCAGACGACTGGAAGTGAAAAAGCAGATGTTTGGGCCAGCCCCTAGTACACATCATTTGTTGGCGCTCCGGAGATACCTGTGAGAACAAAACTCTCTCTTTGGTAGTTAAGATAAGGCGCTTCAAGAACAGCGCATCATTCTAAAACGGCTCGTTGAGCAGTCGCCATGAGCTGCAACGGCTGTCGCGTGTTACGAAAAGGCTGCAGCGAGAGCTGCGTGATCCGCCACTGCCTCGCGGGGATCGACGGCGCGGAGGCGCAGGGCCACGCGACGCTCTTCCTCGCCAAGTTCTACGGCCGCGCGGGCCTCATGGGGTTCATCTCGGGGGTGGACGAGATCCAACGGCCCGCGCTCTTCCAGTCGCTGCTCTTCGAGGCGTGCGGCCGCACCATCAATCCCGTCTACGGCGCTTCGGGCCTGCTCTGGACGGGCCAGTGGCATTTCTGCGAGGCCGCGGTCGACGCCGTGCTTCGCGGGGGGTCGATAAAGCCGATATCTGACGTTTCCTCTCCGGCCGTCACTCTCACGACCGATCCCCCTGCTCCTCAGGTCCCCACTCCCACTGTCCGGCCAATCGTAGCCGCTTGTGCGCTCCCTACCCCCACTGTGATGACGTCAGCGGGGCCTGTCATGATGGTCGGAAACTCCGCTGCACCTTCGTCGTTCCCGCCGTCCGTGTTTCCCACCGGCGCGCCGTTCTTTCCCGGCGGAATGGGCGTCCTGAGGCCACGTGGCGGACTGCCCGCGACGGCCTCCACACTCCCCGCCTTACCAGGCGCTGCAGGCGGCGTTAGTGGGCCGCTCGTAGGCGGTCTCGCGGGGAGCTACCTCCCGCAGCAACTGATTCAGCAGCAACAGCAGCAATACGCGCAGCTTCAGCAGCAACAGCAGCAGCAGCAGCAGCAGCAGCAGATGGCGCATTTACAGAACATGTATGCCGCACCTGGCATCTACCAACCCAGCGCCGCCGGCTCCGTGCCGGCCGCTGGCGCTACCGTTATGTCTGCCGGCCAACCGATGGTCGCGCCCGGTCAGATGATTTCCTATTGGCCGGCTGCCAATGGGTCTACTGCCCCCGCGTCCACCTTTCCCAGCGCGGCGCCAGGCGGAGTGATGATGATAGCAACCCCACCACCGCCAGCTCAGATTCCCGGGTTTTCCGTGACTGGCTTTCAGCCAATGACGTTCGGACACGTGGCGGTCCCGCAAAGCCAGCAAGTGCAGAGTACTTCGGGACAGGTAGCAACTGGTGGTGCTCCATCCGCTGCTGCTTACTTACCCCCATCACATCATCAGCAGCAACTGAGTGCTGCACCGCAGCAGCTTCAAGCGCAACAGCAGCAGCAGCAGCAGCAGCAAACAGAGAGCGAAAAGCAGCGGCGTTTAAGGCCATGCACGCCGCCTGCTGTTCCAGCAGCAATGGAGACCCACAAAACCCCAGCCGCACCGGCAGCAGCAGCGGGCGGCGCGCGGGCAGCACCAGAACGCACGGAGAGCCCTGCCAGCTGTCTGTCCCCCATGGTTAGTGGCGTCAGTGGGACCAAACCGAGTGGGCTGAGCGGGTCCAAGAGCAGCAGAGGCCCCGAGGAGAGCAGCGCACTGCTGCTGGCGCCAGTGGCGAGACGACCAAAACTCATGCATGCCCCAACCTCAGGCTCGCCGCAATTCGTCTCGCCGAACCTGCAGCTCCGGCCAGATCTGGGAGGCAGCAGCACCGCAGGAGTGAGAGCAGGGTCAGAATCACTAGACTCGCATGTAACAGTAGAGGTGCCAGATTCCTACCCACCAGCCTTGTTTCCCACACCAGGTGTTGCAGCGAACTCGTGGCGGCCCCTTTGCAGATCTGGATTAGAGGAGGAGATGCGTCAGCAGCAGGGCAACACTTATCTGACTGAGCACGAAAGCGTGCATGGCAAGCAGAGCTCTCCTGGTGAGCTGCTCCAGCTACTATCGTAACATCAGTGCGAGCATAATGTGGCACCGGCTAAGGGGTCACAAGCAAGAGGATGTACCGTAGAAGCTGACAAGGCTGGAGCTGCCCTGCCTGCTAGCATGGTTGATCATTCAGTAAAGAGCAGTGCTAACAAGGCTGTGTGCCATCAGCTACCTGTAGATACTCATGTGCCTACTGTAACTAGTCCAACTTCTGTAGTTACTGATACATACTTCTATAAGTCATTCCATCTGTGTAGTCACTAAAACCCAAAGATGCTTGTACGGGTACAAGTCCATGCTTGGACACGCAAAGCAGCAAAAAATTACACCTTATACTGTACATGAAATAGATGTGCAGTGTTCTCAGGGAGACTTGTTCAAGTCCTCATAGGAGACTTACGGCACTCGTAATGGGCCTCAAGGCACGAGCTTTGTGACTAACGTAGCATGCCTCAAAGGCACATGCTTTGTGATAAGCGTGCCTCAAGGCACAAGTTGTGATATCCCTGTGTATAGCCCCATGTGGTTAGCCCTGTGATTAACCATGTATGGTGAGCCCTGAAATTAGCCCTGTGGTTACTCCTATGGTTAGCACTGTGGTTACTCCTATGGTTAGCCCTGTGGTTAGCCCTGCGATTGGTTCTGTGACTAGCCCTGTGGCGAGAGCCCTTTGTTTAACCCTGTGGTTAGCCTTGCGATTGATTGTGAGTAGCCCTGTGGTGAGCCCTGTGGTGAGCCCCTGTGGTAAGCCCTGTGGTTAGCCCTGTGGTTAGCCCTGTGGTTAGCCCTGTGGTTAGCCCTGTGGTGAACCCTGTGGTTAGTCTTGTGGTGAACCCTGTGGTTAGCCCTGTGGTGAGCCCTGTGGTGAGCCCTGTGGTGGGCCCTGTGGTGAGCCCTGTGGTTAGCCCTGTGGTTAGCCCTGTGGTTAGCCCTGTGGTTAGCCCTGTGGTTAGCCCTGTGGTTAGCCCTGTGGTTAGCCCTGTGACTGCCCTACATGGGGATTGCTGAGGTGGGTCCCATGGGGAGGTGGGTCGCAAAAGGAGGTGGGTTGCAGAGGGAGGAACGTGAAGGAGCAATTCGGGGGGGGGGGAAGAGTAGGGACAAAGGAAGAAGGGTGTGGGGGGAATCCTACGCAGGGAGAGGGGAGGGAGCAGGCCAGGGGGGAAACATTACGGGGAAAGGGGGGGGGGGGGGATTTTTTGGGGGTTATCTTATCCTATCCTTTCTGCTTCAGCTCTAGCACATGTGGTCTTCATCCTCCGTCTTGACTTCCAAACGGATCGCCTTTGGTTGTACTGCAAGCAGACAAGAGGATAAGCAATGCAGACAAGAGTTGAAAAGCTGATATGATACGATGGGTGTTGTTCAATTTGGGCAAACGATTTGCAGGATTTGGGTATCTACACAATGTAGATGATATGATGGTATGATATGATATAACAATTCTGGGATTTGTGGCGCCCGCCTCACACCACAGAGGAGTGGCGCCCGCCTCACATCACAGAGGAGTGGCGCCCGCCTCACACCACAGAGGAGTGGCGCCCGCCTCACACCACAGAGGAGCGGCGCCCGCCTCACATCACAGAGGAGTGGCGCCCGCCTCACACCACAGAGGAGTGGCGCCCGCCTCACACCACAGAGGAGTGGCGCCCGCCTCACGCCACAGAGGAGTGGCGCCCGCCTCACACCACAGAGGAGTGGCGCCCGCCTCACGCCACAGAGGAGTGGCGCCCGCCTCACACCACAGAGGAGTGGCGCCCGCCTCACGCCACAGAGGAGTGGCGCCCGCCTCACACCACAGAGGAGCGGCGCCCGCCTCACACCACAGAGGAGTGACGCCCGCCTCACACCACAGAGGAGTGGCGCCCGCCTCACATCACAGAGGAGTGGCGCCCGCCTCACACCACAGAGGTGTGGCGCCCGCCTCACATCACAGAGGAGCGGCGCCCGCCTCACACCACAGAGGAATGGCGCCCGCCTAACACCACATAGGAGTGGAGCCCGCCTCACACCACAGAGGAGCGGCGCCCGCCTCACACCACAGAGGAGCGGCGCCCGCCTCACACCACAAAGGAGTGGAGCCCGCCTCACACCACAGAAGAGTGGCGCCCGCCTCACCCCACTGAGGAGTGGCGCCCGCCTCACCCCACAGGGGAGTGGAGCCCGCCTCACACCACAGAGGAGTGGCGCCCGCCTCACACCACAGAGGAGAGGCGCCCGCCTCACATCACAGAGGAGTGGCGCCCTCCTCACACCATAGAGTAGTGGCGCCCGCCTCACACCACAGAGGAGTGGCGCCCGCCTCACACCACAGAGGAGTGGCGTCCGCCTCACACCACAGAGGATTGGCGCCCGCCTCACATCACAGAGGAGTGGCGCCCGCCTCACACCACAGAGGAGCGGCGCCCGCCTCACACCACAGAGGAGTGGCGCCCGCCTCACACCACAGAGGAGTGGCGCCCGCCTCACACCACAGAGGAGTGGCGCCCGCCTCACACCACAGAGGAGTGGCGCCCGCCTCACACCACAGAGGAGTGGCGCCCGCCTCACACCACAGAGGAGTGGCGCCCGCCTCACACCACAGAGGAGTGGCGCATGGGTGGGCGCATGGTCGGGCGTATGGTCGGGCGGATGGTCGGGCGGATGGGTGGGCGGATGGGCGGGCGGATGGTCGGTCGGGCGCATGGTCGGTCGGGTGCAGGGGTGGTCGGTCGCATGGGTGGGCGCATGGGTGGTCGCATGGATGGTCGGTCGCACGGTTGTTCGCATGCATGGATGGTCGCATGCATGGTCGGTCGCATGGGTCGCATAGATGGTCGCATGGATGGTCGGTCGCATGGATGGTTGCATGGATGGTCGCATGGATGGTCGCATGGATGGTCGCATGGATGGTCGGTCGCATGGTTGTTCGCATGCATGGATGGTCGCATGCATGGTCGGTCGCATGGGTCGCATAGATGGTCGCATGGATGGTCGGTCGCATGGATGGTCGCATGGATGGTCGCATGGATGGTCGCATGGATGGTCGCATGGATGGTCGCATGGATGGTCGCATGGATGGTCGGTCGCATGAATGGTCGCATGGATGGTCGCGTGGACTGAGAGGAGTGGCATGAGATTAGAAATTCAGGACTAGGGAAAACGAGAACAAGATGAAGGAAGGAGGGCAATAGAATAAAAGGATAAGAGGAATCTTACCATGTACGCTGCAGTGAACCTCTTGTCCTCCTCTGGTCCCTCTCCTCCTCTCCTCCACCTCAAGGCCCTCTCCTCCGCTTTAAGGCCCTCTCCTCCGCCTCAAGGCCCTCTCCTCGTCTGCATGTATCGTCCTCTGCTCCCTCTCCTCCTCTGTTGCATCGCCCACTGCTCCCTCTCCTCTGCATGTCTCTTCGTCTGCTTCTTCTCCTTGTCTGCATTTTTCGACCTATATGCTCCCTCTCCTTCTCTACTCTCTACTCTCTATCCTAAATTCAATTCAACACAAACTGGGCCACAACATAAAGGAGAGGTGAGGTGACAAGCTGGAACCTCCTTCCTACCCCCTGTACTATATCACAGAGCAAGGCACACCACAAAAAAGATAAGGATATCCCACCTCTCCCCCCATTTCAATTACGAAGTTGTGTTCGCGCGCGAAATTACGACCATCTTTGTACGTGTTCGCTTCTTTCTGGTCTGGAAGTGTTTACAGCTTGATTGTTTGTTATCCGCTCCTGCCTGCATTAGGGATAGGCGCTGCCCTGTAGTCAGAGTGGGGTTAGCGTACCTGTAGTTAGGCGCTGCCCTGTAGTCAGAGTGGGGTTAGCGTACCTGTAGTTAGGCGCTGCCCTGTAGTCAGAGTGGGGTTAGCGTACCTGTAGTTAGGCGCTGCCCTGTAGTCAGAGTGGGGTTAGCGTACCTGTAGTTAGGCGCTGCCCTGTAGTCAGAGTGGGGTTAGCGTACCTGTAGTTAGGCGCTGCCCTGTAGTCAGAGTGGGGTTAGCGTACCTGTAGTTAGGCGCTGCCCTGTAGTCAGAGTGGGGTTAGCGTACCTGAGCAGTGGATGGTGGTGCATGGCCCACCTGAGAGGTAAGTCCAGCCAAGTGAAGATTCTCACCAGAGCGGTAGGTCCAGCCAAATGAAAATTCTCTACAGAGCGGTAGGTCCAGCCAAGTGAAGATTCTCACCAGAGCGGTAGGTCCAGCCAAGTGAAGATTCTCACCAGAGCGGTAGGTCCAGCCAAGTGAAGATTCTCACCAGAGCGGTAGGTCCAGCCAAGTGAAGATTCTCACCAGAGCGGTAGGTCCAGCCAAATGGAGATTCTCACCAGAGCGGTAGGTCCAGCCAAGTGAAGATTCTCACCAGAGCGGTAGGTCCAGCCAAGTGAAGATTCTCACCAGAGCGGTAGGTCCAGCCAAGTGAAGATTCTCACCAGAGCGGTAGGTCCAGCCAAGTGAAGATTCTCACCAGAGCGGTAGGTCCAGCCAAGTGAAGATTCGCACCAGAGCGGTAGGACCAGCCAAGTGAAGATTCTCACCAGAGCGGTAGGTCCAGCCAAGTGAAGATTCTCACCAGAGCGGTAGGTCCAGCCAAGTGAAGATTCTCACCAGAGCGGTAGGTCCAGCCAAGTGAAGATTCTCACCAGAGCGGTAGGTCCAGCCAAGTGAAGATTCTCACCAGAGCGGTAGGTCCAGCCAAGTGAAGATTCTCACCAGAGCGGTAGGTCCAGCCAAATGCAGATTCTCACCAGAGCAGTAGGTCCAGCCAAATGAAGATTCTCACCAGAGCGGTAGGTCCAGCCAAGTGAAGATTCTCACCAGAGCGGTAGGTCCAGCCAAGTGAAGATTCTCACCAGAGCGGTAGGTCCAGCCAAGTGAAGATTCTCACCAGAGCGGTAGGTCCAGCCAAGTGAAGATTCTCACCAGAGCGGTAGGTCCAGCCAAGTGAAGATTCTCACCAGAGCGGTAGGTCCAGCCAAGTGAAGATTCTCACCAGAGCGGAAGGGCCAGCCAAATGAAGATTCTAACCAGAGCGGTAGGTCCAGCCAAATGAAGATTCTCACCAGAGCGGTAGGTCCAGCCAAGTGAAGATTCTCACCAGAGCGGTAGGTCCAGCCAAGTGAAGATTCTCACCAGAGCGGTAGGTCCAGCCAAGTGAAGATTCTCACCAGAGCGGTAGGTCCAGCCAAGTGAAGATTCTCACCAGAGCGGTAGGTCCAGCCAAGTGAAGATTCGCACCAGAGCGGTAGGTCCAGCCAAGTGAAGATTCTCACCAGAGCGGTAGGTCCAGCCAAGTGAAGATTCTCACCAGAGCGGTAGGTCCAGCCAAGTGAAGATTCTCACCAGAGCGGTAGGTCCAGCCAAGTGAAGATTCTCACCAGAGCGGTAGGTCCAGCCAAATGGAGATTCTCACCAGAGCGGTAGGTCCAGCCAAGTGAAGATTCTCACCAGAGCGGTAGGTCCAGCCAAGTGAAGATTCTCACCAGAGCGGTAGGTCCAGCCAAGTGAAGATTCTCACCAGAGTGGCAGGTCCAGCCAAGTGAAGATTCTCACCAGAGCGGTAGGTCCAGCCAAGTGAAGATTCGCACCAGAGCGGTAGGTCCAGCCAAGTGAAGATTCTCAACAGAGTGGTAGGACCAGCCAAATGAAGATTCTCACCAGAGCGGTAGGTCCAGCCAAGTGAAGATTCTCACCAGAGCGGTAGGTCCAGCCAAGTGAAGATTCTCACCAGAGCGGTAGGTCCAGCCAAGTGAAGATTCTCACCAGAGCGGTAGGTCCAGCCAAGTGAAGATTCTCACCAGAGCGGTAGGTCCAGCCAAATGCAGATTCTCACCAGAGCAGTAGGTCCAGCCAAGTGAAGATTCTCACCAGAGCGGTAGGTCCAGCCAAGTGAAGATTCGCACCAGAGCGGTAGGTCCAGCCAAGTGAAGATTCTCACCAGAGCGGTAGGTCCAGCCAAGTGAAGATTCTCACCAGAGCGGTAGGTCCAGCCAAGTGAAGATTCTCACCAGAGCGGTAGGTCCAGCCAAGTGAAGATTCTCACCAAAGTGGTAGGGCCAGCCATGTGAAGATTCGCACCAGAGCGGTAGGTCCAGCCAAGTGAAGATTCTCACCAGAGCGGTAGGTCCAGCCAAGTGAAGATTCTCACCAGAGCGGTAGGTCCAGCCAAGTGAAGATTCTCACCAGAGCGGTAGGTCCAGCCAAATGCAGATTCTCACCAGAGCAGTAGGTCCAGCCCAGTGAAGATTCTCACCAGAGCGGCAGGGCCAGCCAAGTGAAGATTCGCACCAGAGCGGTAGGCTCAGCCAAGTGAAGATTCTCACCAGAGCGGTAGGTCCAGCCAAGTGAAGATTCTCACCAGAGCGGTAGGTCCAGCCAAGTGAAGATTCTCACCAGAGCGGTAGGTCCAGCCAAGTGAAGATTCTCACCAGAGCGGTAGGTCCAGCCAAGTGAAGATTCTCACCAGAGCGGTAGGTCCAGCCAAGTGAAGATTCTCACCAGAGCGGTAGGTCCAGCCAAGTGAAGATTCTCACCAGAGCGGTAGGCTCAGCCAAGTGAAGATTCTCACCAGAGCGGTAGGTCCAGCCAAGTGAAGATTCTCACCAGAGCGGTAGGTCCAGCCAAGTGAAGATTCTCACCAGAGCGGTAGGTCCAGCCAAATGAAAATTCTCTACAGAGCGGTAGGTCCAGCCAAGTGAAGATTCTCACCAGAGCGGTAGGTCCAGCCAAGTGAAGATTCTCACCAGAGCGGTAGGTCCAGCCAAGTGAAGATTCTCACCAGAGCGGTAGGTCCAGCCAAGTGAAGATTCTCACCAGAGCGGTAGGTCCAGCCAAATGAAAATTCTCTACAGAGCGGTAGGTCCAGCCAAGTGAAGATTCTCACCAGAGCGGTAGGTCCAGCCAAGTGAAGATTCTCACCAGAGCGGTAGGTCCAGCCAAGTGAAGATTCTCACCAGAGCGGTAGGTCCAGCCAAGTGAAGATTCTCACCAGAGCGGTAGGTCCAGCCAAATGGAGATTCTCACCAGAGCGGTAGGTCCAGCCAAGTGAAGATTCTCACCAGAGCGGTAGGTCCAGCCAAGTGAAGATTCTCACCAGAGCGGTAGGTCCAGCCAAGTGAAGATTCTCACCAGAGCGGTAGGTCCAGCCAAGTGAAGATTCTCACCAGAGCGGTAGGTCCAGCCAAGTGAAGATTCGCACCAGAGCGGTAGGACCAGCCAAGTGAAGATTCTCACCAGAGCGGTAGGTCCAGCCAAGTGAAGATTCTCACCAGAGCGGTAGGTCCAGCCAAGTGAAGATTCTCACCAGAGCGGTAGGTCCAGCCAAGTGAAGATTCTCACCAGAGCGGTAGGTCCAGCCAAGTGAAGATTCTCACCAGAGCGGTAGGTCCAGCCAAGTGAAGATTCTCACCAGAGCGGTAGGTCCAGCCAAATGCAGATTCTCACCAGAGCAGTAGGTCCAGCCAAATGAAGATTCTCACCAGAGCGGTAGGTCCAGCCAAGTGAAGATTCTCACCAGAGCGGTAGGTCCAGCCAAGTGAAGATTCTCACCAGAGCGGTAGGTCCAGCCAAGTGAAGATTCTCACCAGAGCGGTAGGTCCAGCCAAGTGAAGATTCTCACCAGAGCGGTAGGTCCAGCCAAGTGAAGATTCTCACCAGAGCGGTAGGTCCAGCCAAGTGAAGATTCTCACCAGAGCGGAAGGGCCAGCCAAATGAAGATTCTAACCAGAGCGGTAGGTCCAGCCAAATGAAGATTCTCACCAGAGCGGTAGGTCCAGCCAAGTGAAGATTCTCACCAGAGCGGTAGGTCCAGCCAAGTGAAGATTCTCACCAGAGCGGTAGGTCCAGCCAAGTGAAGATTCTCACCAGAGCGGTAGGTCCAGCCAAGTGAAGATTCTCACCAGAGCGGTAGGTCCAGCCAAGTGAAGATTCGCACCAGAGCGGTAGGTCCAGCCAAGTGAAGATTCTCACCAGAGCGGTAGGTCCAGCCAAGTGAAGATTCTCACCAGAGCGGTAGGTCCAGCCAAGTGAAGATTCTCACCAGAGCGGTAGGTCCAGCCGAATGAAGATTCTCACCAGAGCGGTAGGTCCAGCCAAATGCAGATTCTCACCAGAGCAGTAGGTCCAGCCAAATGAAGATTCTCACCAGAGCGGTAGGTCCAGCCAAGTGAAGATTCTCACCAGAGCGGTAGGTCCAGCCAAGTGAAGATTCGCACCAGAGCGGTAGTCTCAGCCAAGTGAAGATTCTCACCAGAGCGGTAGGTCCAGCCAAGTGAAGATTCTCACCAGAGCGGTAGGTCCAGCCAAGTGAAGATTCTCACCAGAGCGGTAGGTCCAGCCAAGTGAAGATTCGCACCAGAGCGGTAGGTCCAGCCAAGTGAAGATTCTCACCAGAGCGGTAGGTCCAGCCAAGTGAAGATTCTCACCAGAGCGGTAGGTCCAGCCAAGTGAAGATTCTCACGTCGCTTTCCGCACGTCGCTTCGTAAATGTCAGCTTCAACACTCGCAGTCTTGGTCCCTTATCGTCACCGTGAGAAGCCGCACTGTTGATCGTCACCGTCAGAAGTCACCATCTCAGTCGTCGCCGTCAGAAAGCGTCGCTTAGATCGTCAACGTTCGCCGTCGGAAAACGTCACTTTAATCGTCACCGTCGATGAAGCATCGCTTTGATAGTCACCGTGAGAAATCGCAAGCCTGGTCGTCACCCTCGGAAAGAGTCGCTCCAATTGTCACCGTGGGAAAGTGTCACTTCAATCGTCACTGCTAGATATCGTCGGTTTGGTCAAGACTTTCCCGACGCTTTCCCACCGTGGCACGAATCGTACTTTTCGTCACCGTCAGAAGCGGCCGTGACTTGACCGTCTCATCTACCAACGTTGGAAGTGGCCGTGTCGTTCGCCACCGTTAAAACGTATTGTCTCAGTCACCACCGTTAGATAGCGCATCTCTAAAATGTTCTGACCCGAAATGGACCCCCAGGTTACTCAGGGGCAACATTCAGGTCACCTCAGGAACTGACCCAAAAGTTACTTCTGGAACTGACACTTTAGGCTAGCCTGAGGTCAGATGGCCTAACCCATAAGTGACTTTCGGGTCAGATACGGGTCAGTTTCGGGTCAGGTACGGGTCAGGATTTGGCGGGAAAAGTCAGGTACAGGTCAGGTACGGGTCGTCGGCGACGACTTGCTATTCGACGTCCGAGATGCTCATTGCTAACCCCGTAAGCTCATTCGGACAGCTGTCGCCGGCACGATATCAGCCTCGGTCATCACCAAATCGAACCGTTCTCGCTGCTGGAGAGCGGCGACGCTTTGCTACTTGAAGGAGCGTATGGTGATCGAACCACCTCTGTTCCGCGGTCGTCAGATGTACTCGAACTAAGTTGACTGGAATAGAAATCAGAAGTGCAGTGCAGTGCGAGTAATGGGTGGATGAAGGTAATGAAACTGCTCCGAATGACTAGCGTCTAAGCTAAGAGTGTCTCCGCACGACTACATCAGACGCAAGCTCGGTCCATTTCTTAACGATGACTTAAATATTACTGATTCGTGTCGGGAGCCATGGATTGCAACAATTGGTGATCTCCGTCTTGACGACCTTGAGATCAACATATCTGATGATTACGAAGACTAAGAATACGGCCGAGACGAGAACCATTAACGGTTGGTGACAAACTTGCGGCAGCCATGGACTTCGGCGAAGCGGGCTTATTCTCAAGGAGTCCATGGGTGAGCTATTGTGACAAGGAAGGGCATTCAGGAAAGCTGAACAGACTTCAGGAAGAGAGGAAGACAACCATCGGTGAAAACTGCTTGTTCAGTGGTGAAAACCAAGATCTAGACATATTCAGAGTGGTGAAGAAGGATTCTCAGTGATGAAGAGGATCTGTTTCCCCTGCTCAGGTGGAGGCCGCCGTACAGTCGGCAGACGGTGGCATTTTCGTGAGAGCGTTGACGATGGGGATACCCACTTCGTTGGGGAAATATACGACTCGCGAAATTTTGAGTTGAGTTTTGCGAGAAAATCCTCGGACTCTCCGCAGCACGGCGGTTCCGCAGCTCCGCCGTTTGCGCGGGAATAGTCTGTCAGAAGCACATGCTTCTCACACAAACACCATGATGTCATGTAAATCGCCATGGCTCAAGACACCATGTAGCATAATTACGCAAGGAAAAGGAGTGGAAACGGGAAGAGAGGAGAAAAGGAGGAATAACGTGAGTAGAAAAAAGGAGAGAGGAAGAAAGGAGGAGGGGAATAGGGGAAAAATGATAGGAGGAAGAAAAACAGGGAAGAAGGAAGAAAAAGCAGCACACACAACCCCAAGAAAACCCCAATAGCACACACATTTAAAACACCATCAAGCCCTCCCATCAAAGCACCCCAACTGCACTCCCATCGAACCAAACCTCCCCCCCTAAACCCACTCCCTAAACCCGCATGTCTACCAAGTATGGTGCATCCGCCCACGGAGCATCCCATCCCATCTCCTCCTCAACATCCTCCCGCTCCACCCAAACAGCCTCTGGGCCTCTCATCATCGACGCAGCGCGTAACAAGATCACACGCGCCTGAGCCCGTTGCTCAAGACACCATGATGGTTGGTGTATACCGTGTTGCTCCCTCTTAGCCAATGGGTGATGTGTTTTGCGCAACACACCAAAGATATTGGCGAAGCATGTTTGTACCGGAACTGATCATTATCCCTCATTCACTACACCTGATCAATATCTCTCTGATGAATGATAGAGAATGCCATCCAGCAAATAATTGACCTCCCATCCCAAGTTTCACATAAGTAAATGCGACGCAAACAAAATTCCAGATATTTGTCATACGAAAACGCACAGGCGTTGCTTGAAGTAATGGACTTACCAGTACTACATTAGGTCTTGCACGTACGAAAACTTTTGCATTTTCAATGCACAACATTGCGGAAAATCCCCCATACATCAAACGGGAGGTTCTAGCGTGCGGAAAGGGACATGGCCTCCTCACCCGTGATTTTATCCTCCTCACCCTTCCTGCATGCCCTCTGCCTTGTGTGAGTGGGAGCGTGCGTGCACTCGTGGTTCTATGCACGATAAGGGACATGGCCTCCTCACTTGTGATTTTATCTTCCTCACCCTTCCTACATGCCCTCTGCCTTGTGTGAGTGGGGTGGAGTTGGAAGTCCCTCCTCCCCACCATCAGGCGCACCACCCCCCTCATGCGCCTCGCTGTCAGGGCCACCACCTGCCTCTTCCTCACCCTTCCTGCATGCCCTCTGCCTCGTCTGTGGGGGGTGGGGGTCCCTCGTCCCCACCATCAGGCGCACCACCCTCCTCATGCGCCTCATTATCAGCACCACCACCACCCTCCTCCTCATCCGAATCTGCCAGCTGCCGGCGCCGCTTGCGAGCAGGCGCTCCCTGCCATGCCAGGAGGGACACGGACATGTACGGTAGGAGAGATTCAGGGATGAAACATAAACAAGCGGGACTGACACGAGAGGACCAAGGGAGCACGGAAGAAGCAGGGAACAGGCAGACTATGCGCAGAGAATCAAGGGGATCCACACCCACCTGTTCATTGCCATCCCCCCGTGCATCCCCTCCCTCCTCGTCTTCATCCACCAGCCCAGCTGCAGCCAGGGCATCCTCCTCCGCCCCCTCGCCCCCTCCACCTCTCCCCTTCCTCTCCCCCCTCGGACTCCCTCCCTCATCTCCCGATCCCTCACCTCCACCTCCTCTCTCCCCATCGGATCCCCACGGGTTTTCATCCTCAGGCCTCTCATCCCTCTCGTCCCTCCCGTCCCTCTCACCCCCCTCGTCCCTGTCGCTCCTGCTCCTGCTCCTGTCCCTCCCCTCGCGATGCTTCTTCTTCTTCTTCCGCTTCTTATCCTTCCTCCTCTCCCTCCTCTCTCCGTCCTCCTCGCTCTCTCGCGACCTCTCCCTGTCTCTGTCTCTGTGTTTCTCCCGCTTCTTCTCCCTGCGCCTCTCCTTCTTTCGGTCTCTGCGGCTCCTCCCCCCTCCCCTGCCCTCCTCACCGCCCTCCTCATCCTCCTCCACTGCCTTGGGCCTCTCGTTGCGCTTCCACATATCCTGCAGTGCCAGCACATGGGCCGTGGAACAGGCAGCAAGAGAGGCAGCGCGGTGGCATGGATGGGTCCCAGGGGTGTGTGGAACAAAAGGCGGGGAGGGAAGGATGTGAGCAGCATCACACGGTCAGGCAAAGGAGAGCAGAGAGCAGGCGAATGCAGAGGTTTTCATGAAGAAGAATACAACCCAGGGGAGACGCACTAGCCAGACATGTATGGATTCGCATATCACCCACCAGTTCCACCAACCCCCCATCCCCCCCAACTCGAACCCATGACCAACCCACCCACCACCCACTCCCCCCACACCCCACCCACCACTCCCAACCCAAACCCCCCACCCAACATTTCCCCACACCCGCCACCCACCACCCGCCACCCATTCCTCCTCCCCACTTCCCCCCCTTCCCACCATGCGGCGCTTGATCTCTTCCTCCTGCTCCAGCAGCCGCCTCTCCTCCTCGTCCCTCCTCTGCCGCTCCGCCTGCCACACAGCCATGGGGAGGAAACGCAGAGCAGAGTGCGGGACAGGGCAGAGCAGAGCAGAGTGCAGAATGTTGGGAGAGAGCGCAAGGGGGAACAGAAGCACTGCTGCAACTCTCTCACTGCTATCCCTTTCAAACACTCACCAGCACCAATGAAAACCCATCAATCAGCACCCACCAGCACCCACCAGCACCCACCAGCACCCACCAGCACCCATCAGCACCCATCAGCACCCATCAGCACCCATCAGCACCACCCAGCCTACCTCCAGCAGCTTATCCTCCTCCGCTCTTTTCCTGGACGCCTCTGCCTCTGCCACCTGCCTCTCTGCCTCTGCCCGTTGCTGCTTGCACATGCAGGGGAGAGGGCGAGAGGGGAGGGGGGGTTGGAGGATGGATAGATTGGGTGTGTGGAGGACATGGTGGGTATACGTGCAAGGAGGATATACATGCAAGGGTACATGCAAGGGTACATGCAAGAGGTATGGGAAGATAGGGTACAAGGATGAGACCGAGAGGGAGGGAGGGAAGGTGGTGGGGGTGGGGGTGAAGTGGGGCAAGGGAATATGCAGGGATGAATGACACAGTGGGGGACAGTGGGAGGTAGGAATGTGATAGGTGGTATTGAGTGGGCGAGTGCGATAACAAGACGAATGAAGTATGGGGCAATATAAACGAGAGTAATGAGGTGGGGGATTAATGGGAGGGGGAATGGAGAGAGAGAGGGGAGGGAGAGAGAGAGGGAGGTTGAAAGAGGGCTGACCTTGCGCTGCTGCTCCTCCCTCTCCGCAACCTCCAAGTGCTGCTTGGCCGAGCTCAGCACATGCTGGTGGTGATGATGGTGATGATGAGATGGGATTGTGGAAGGGTTGGGGGTGGGGCCGGGTGGGATGATGATGTTGATGAGGATGGGATAATTATGCCTGGGGATGGGGCCGGGTGTGTCTGGCAATGGCATAATGAGATCATCATGCCACACACACACATTTCGCAAGCATAAAGAGGTGTTTTGACTCGACTCAAAACAAACCAGGAAGCGAGTGTTCGTTCAATGACATGACACATAAAAAGCATTGACATATACACATGCAATACAACTCTCAAAGGCAGCTGGACACTCATCAGATGCTGGCTTGACAGCAGCTGAATGCATCGGTGGAACATGAAACTCAGAATCACCTGGCAGTACTCGAGGTGCGAGTTGGCTTTCTTCTTGTCGACCCCCCCCTGTGACCCCTGCACCCCCCGTGTTGCCAGCTGCCATGGTTGCACAGTCGCACAGTCACACAACACATGCATGCACACAATCGCAGATAAGCAGTCAGAGTCACATATGCACAGTCACACATGCACAGTCACATATGCACAGTCACACATGCACAGTCACACATGCACAGTCACACATGCACAGTCACATGCACAGTCACACATGCACAGTCACATATGCACAGTCACATATGCACAGTCACACATGCACAGTCACACATGCACAGTCACACATGCACAGTCACACATGCACAGTCACACATGCACAGTCACATATGCACAGTCACACATGGACAGTCACACATGCACAGTCACACATGCACAGTCACACATGCATGGTCACACATGCACAAAGTCACACACAACATTTGGCCACAGCACAACGCACACACAGCATAAAAAAGGAGTGCATGCGTACGACAGGCAATGCCTGCTGTGAGACGAACACAGGAGAAGACGCTATTCAGGTGAAGAAGGCAATTCAGGTGAAGAAGGCAATTCAGGTGAAGAAGGCAATTCAGGTGAAGAAGGCAATTCAGTGAAGAAGGCAATTCAGGTGAAGAAGGCAATTCAGGTGAAGAAGGCATGACTTGAAGGAGTGATGACTTGAAGGAGTGATGCAGCATCAATGAGGGGTGTGTTCTGGCGGGGAGACACAATGTGGGGAGTGAGTGGGACGGGATGTGCATGTGCTGGCGCACCTGAGAGAAGAGCCGGAGGGCGGTCTTCAAGTCTGACACCACCTTGCGAACCTGCAGCGCGAACGCGTTGGAGTGGGCATTGGAAGAAAGTGAACGTTGGGAGGCAGTGAGCATCGGCAAACGGTTGCACTGCAGTGTGCGGATGTAGGAGGGCAGTTTTCAAGTCCCACACCACCTTGCGAACCTAAAGCACAAGCGCAATGGGAGGCGGGAGTGGGCGTTGGAAGACAGTAACCAGTGGGCGAGGGGGTTGCACTGCAATGCGGGTATGTGGGAGGCGGGTCTTCAAGTCTGACAGCACCTTGCGAACCTAAAGCACAAGAGCACAGCACAGAGTGGTGGGGGAGAGGAGCGCTGAGATAGTGAGAACTGGGAGGTGGTTGCACTCAAGCATGAGGATGTGGGAGGCAGGTCCTAAAGCCCGACCCGTCGGAAGGACCACCTTGGGAAAAGCTGAAGCAGATGAGCCGTCAGAAGGCAGTGCGGGTAGAGCACAGTCACTGCATCGTCTGCAGCGCCACCACTACCTTGCTCCCTCCTCACCCCTCTCTCCCCTATACTTCCCACACCCCTACCTCTACCCCATACCTGCTCAGCAGTCCGTTCCGTTACTCCTGCGTCAGAATAGTCATGGCCATCTAGTGCAGAAGAATGAATTCTGACAAGGCCACCACCGCTGTCTTGCTCCCACCTCACGTCACCCTTCCCTCTGCCCCCCTGCCCTGTTTCTCCACGCCCCTCCCTCACCGCCATACCACGCACCTCCCTCATCGCCATACCTGCTCCGCCGTGCGCTTCTCCTGCTTGACAACAGTCACGGCCATTTTCTGCAGCACCACCGCTGTTGTGCTCCCTCTACTCCTCTCTCCCCGTTTGTCCCCACCCACGCCCCTCCCTCTCATCCATACCTGCTCAGCCGTCCGCTTCTCCTGCTTCAGCACAGTCACGGCCATCTTCTGAAGAGCCACCGCCACGTTGAACCGCAAGGCGGCGTTGTTCGGCGCCACATGCACGGCCAGCAGCAGCGAGCGGCGGCACTGCGCCAGCTGGTCGGCGTCATACTGCGCGCGCGCCATATAGGACAAAGTGCGCAAGTGGAACCCCTCGGCCCCGCTAGCCCCCACTGCCCCGCTCGCAAAGAAACGCTTCAGAGTCTTGTCGTACTGTTGGAAGAGAGAGGAAGAGGGAGATGGGGGAATGTGGAACAGTAGGTTGTATGGTGCTACTAGTGGACGGAAAGGACACGAGCAAAGAATGCTGCACTGCACTGCTCTCCCCCCCACCTCCAGCGAAGCACACAGTGCTCTCTCCAATGAAGGACACAGTGCACTCACCAGCTTGACAGCGAGCGCATAGTCCCCCTTAGCCAGGTGCACGTTTGCGAGATTCATCCAGACATCAGGTATATCAGTAGAATCAGGGGCAGAGGAGGCCTCCTGCACGGACGTGAAGATGTCCTTTGCCACGTCGAACAGCCCCCTCTCCGCCACCACACACCCCACGCCATTGGCTGCATACATGTTGCTGCTGCTGCTGCCTGTCAGAGCCTGGAGGGTGGGAGAGGTTAGAGGATTGTGGGCTGAGAGGATTCAGGATAGGTATAGAGGTGGGAATGGAGAGGCATTGATATGCATACGGCAGAGGGTTGGTCAGAGAGTGAGTGGAGAGCAAGTGCAACTGGAACTGATGCTGCTTCTTGTATCAACGCTCCCTCAACTGCGTTGCTCGCACGCTCAGCTGCGTTAGTTGCTGGCACGCTCAGCTGCGTTGCTGACACGCTCAGCTGCGTTGCTGGCACGCTCAGCTGCGTTGCTGGCACCCTCAATTGCGTTGCTCGCACGCTCAGCTGCGTTGCTAGCACGCTCAGCTGCGTTGCTCGCACGCTCAGCTGCGTTGCTAGCACGCTCAACTGCGTTGCTAGCACGCTCAACTGCGTTGCTAGCACGCTCAACTGCGTTGCTAGCACGCTCAACTGCGTTGCTAGCACGCTCAACTGCGTTGCTAGCACGCTCAACTGCGTTGCTAGCACGCTCAACTGCGTTGCTAGCACGCTCAACTGCGTTGCTAGCACGCTCAACTGCGTTGCTGGCACGCTCAACTGCGTTGCTAGCACGCTCAACTGCGTTGCTAGCACGCTCAACTGCGTTGCTAGCACGCTCAACTGCGTTGCTAGCACGCTCAACTGCGTTGCTAGCACGCTCAACTGCGTTGCTAGCACGCTCAACTGCGTTGCTAGCACGCTCAACTGCGTTGCTAGCACGCTCAACTGCGTTGCTAGCACGCTCAACTGCGTTGCTAGCACGCTCAACTGCGTTGCTAGCACGCTCAACTGCGTTGCTAGCACGCTCGGCTGCGTTGCTAGCACGCTCGGCTGCGTTGCTAGCACGCTCGGCTGCGTTGCTAGCACGCTCGGCTGCGTTGCTAGCACGCTCAACTGCGTTGCTAGCACGCTCGGCTGCGTTGCTAGCACGCTCGGCTGCGTTGCTAGCACGCTCGGCTGCGTTGCTAGCACGCTCGGCTGCGTTGCTAGCACGCTCGGCTGCGTTGCTAGCACGCTCAACTGCGTTGCTCGCACGCTCAACTGCGTTGCTCGCACGCTCAACTGCGTTGCTAGCACGCTCAACTGCGTTGCTAGCACGCTCAACTGCGTTGCTAGCACGCTCAACTGCGTTGCTAGCACGCTCGGCTGCGTTGCTAGCACGCTCAACTGCGTTGCTAGCACGCTCAACTGCGTTGCTAGCACGCTCAACTGCGTTGCTAGCACGCTCAACTGCGTTGCTAGCACGCTCAACTGCGTTGCTAGCACGCTCAACTGCGTTGCTAGCACGCTCAACTGCGTTGCTAGCACGCTCAACTGCGTTGCTAGCACGCTCGGCTGCGTTGCTAGCACGCTCGGCTGCGTTGCTAGCACGCTCGGCTGCGTTGCTAGCACGCTCGGCTGCGTTGCTAGCACGCTCGGCTGCGTTGCTAGCACGCTCGGCTGCGTTGCTAGCACGCTCGGCTGCGTTGCTAGCACGCTCGGCTGCGTTGCTAGCACGCTCGGCTGCGTTGCTAGCACGCTCGGCTGCGTTGCTAGCACGCTCGGCTGCGTTGCTAGCACGCTCGGCTGCGTTGCTAGCACGCTCGGCTGCGTTGCTAGCACGCTCGGCTGCGTTGCTAGCACGCTCGGCTGCGTTGCTAGCACGCTCGGCTGCGTTGCTAGCACGCTCGGCTGCGTTGCTAGCACGCTCGGCTGCGTTGCTAGCACGCTCGGCTGCGTTGCTAGCACGCTCGGCTGCGTTGCTAGCACGCTCGGCTGCGTTGCTAGCACGCTCGGCTGCGTTGCTAGCACGCTCGGCTGCGTTGCTAGCACGCTCGGCTGCGTTGCTAGCACGCTCGGCTGCGTTGCTAGCACGCTCGGCTGCGTTGCTAGCACGCTCGGCTGCGTTGCTAGCACGCTCGGCTGCGTTGCTAGCACGCTCGGCTGCGTTGCTAGCACGCTCGGCTGCGTTGCTAGCACGCTCAACTGCGTTGCTAGCACGCTCAACTGCGTTGCTAGCACGCTCAACTGCGTTGCTAGCACGCTCAACTGCGTTGCTAGCACGCTCAACTGCGTTGCTAGCACGCTCAACTGCGTTGCTAGCACGCTCGGCTGCGTTGCTAGCACGCTCGGCTGCGTTGCTAGCACGCTCGGCTGCGTTGCTAGCACGCTCGGCTGCGTTGCTAGCACGCTCGGCTGCGTTGCTAGCACGCTCGGCTGCGTTGCTAGCACGCTCGGCTGCGTTGCTAGCACGCTCAGCTGCGTTGCTAGCACGCTCAGCTGCGTTGCTAGCACGCTCGGCTGCGTTGCTAGCACGCTCGGCTGCGTTGCTAGCACGCTCGGCTGCGTTGCTAGCACGCTCAGCTGCGTTGCTAGCACGCTCAGCTGCGTTGCTAGCACGCTCAGCTGCGTTGCTCGCACGCTCAGCTGCGTTGCTCGCACGCTCAGCTGCGTTGCTCGCACGCTCAACTGCGTTGCTAGCACGCTCAACTGCGTTGCTAGCACGCTCAACTGCGTTGCTAGCACGCTCAACTGCGTTGCTAGCACGCTCAACTGCGTTGCTAGCACGCTCAACTGCGTTGCTAGCACGCTCAACTGCGTTGCTCGCACGCTCAACTGCGTTGCTAGCACGCTCAACTGCGTTGCTAGCACGCTCAACTGCGTTGCTAGCACGCTCAACTGCGTTGCTCGCACGCTCAACTGCGTTGCTCGCACGCTCAACTGCGTTGCTCGCACGCTCAACTGCGTTGCTAGCACGCTCAACTGCGTTGCTAGCACGCTCAACTGCGTTGCTAGCACGCTCAACTGCGTTGCTAGCACGCTCAACTGCGTTGCTAGCACGCTCAACTGCGTTGCTAGCACGCTCAACTGCGTTGCTAGCACGCTCAACTGCGTTGCTAGCACGCTCAACTGCGTTGCTAGCACGCTCAACTGCGTTGCTAGCACGCTCAACTGCGTTGCTAGCACGCTCAACTGCGTTGCTAGCACGCTCAACTGCGTTGCTAGCACGCTCAACTGCGTTGCTAGCACGCTCAACTGCGTTGCTAGCACGCTCAACTGCGTTGCTGGCACGCTCAACTGCGTTGCTGGCACGCTCAACTGCGTTGCTAGCACGCTCAACTGCGTTGCTAGCACGCTCAACTGCGTTGCTGGCACGCTCAACTGCGTTGCTGGCACGCTCAACTGCGTTGCTGGCACGCTCAACTGCGTTGCTGGCACGCTCAACTGCGTTGCTAGCACGCTCAACTGCGTTGCTAGCACGCTCAACTGCGTTGCTAGCACGCTCAACTGCGTTGCTAGCACGCTCAACTGCGTTGCTAGCACGCTCAACTGCGTTGCTAGCACGCTCAACTGCGTTGCTGGCACGCTCAACTGCGTTGCTGGCACGCTCAACTGCGTTGCTGGCACGCTCAACTGCGTTGCTGGCACGCTCAACTGCGTTGCTAGCACGCTCAACTGCGTTGCTGGCACGCTCAACTGCGTTGCTGGCACGCTCAACTGCGTAGCTAGCACGCTCGACTGCGTAGCTAGCACGCTCAACTGCGTTGCTAGCACGCTCAACTGCGTTGCTAGCACGCTCAACTGCGTTGCTGGCACGCTCAACTGCGTTGCTAGCACGCTCAACTGCGTTGCTAGCACGCTCAACTGCGTTGCTAGCACGCTCAACTGCGTTGCTAGCACGCTCAACTGCGTTGCTAGCACGCTCAACTGCGTTGCTAGCACGCTCAACTGCGTTGCTAGCACGCTCAACTGCGTTGCTAGCACGCTCAACTGCGTTGCTAGCACGCTCAACTGCGTTGCTAGCACGCTCAACTGCGTTGCTAGCACGCTCGGCTGCGTTGCTAGCACGCTCGGCTGCGTTGCTAGCACGCTCGGCTGCGTTGCTAGCACGCTCGGCTGCGTTGCTAGCACGCTCGGCTGCGTTGCTAGCACGCTCAACTGCGTTGCTAGCACGCTCAACTGCGTTGCTAGCACGCTCAACTGCGTTGCTAGCACGCTCAACTGCGTTGCTAGCACGCTCAACTGCGTTGCTCGCACGCTCAACTGCGTTGCTCGCACGCTCAACTGCGTTGCTCGCACGCTCAACTGCGTTGCTCGCACGCTCAACTGCGTTGCTCGCACGCTCAACTGCGTTGCTCGCACGCTCAACTGCGTTGCTAGCACGCTCAACTGCGTTGCTAGCACGCTCAGCTGCGTTGCTAGCACGCTCTGCTGCGTTGCTAGCACGCTCAACTGCGTTGCTAGCACGCTCAACTGCGTTGCTAGCACGCTCAGCTGCGTTGCTAGCACGCTCAACTGCGTTGCTCGCACGCTCAACTGCGTTGCTCGCACGCTCAACTGCGTTGCTCGCACGCTCAACTGCGTTGCTAGCACGCTCAACTGCGTTGCTAGCACGCTCAACTGCGTTGCTCGCACGCTCAACTGCGTTGCTCGCACGCTCAACTGCGTTGCTAGCACGCTCAACTGCGTTGCTAGCACGCTCAACTGCGTTGCTAGCACGCTCAACTGCGTTGCTGGCACGCTCAACTGCGTTGCTGGCACGCTCAACTGCGTTGCTCGCACGCTCAACTGCGTTGCTAGCACGCTCAACTGCGTTGCTAGCACGCTCAACTGCGTTGCTAGCACGCTCAACTGCGTTGCTAGCACGCTCAACTGCGTTGCTAGCACGCTCAACTGCGTTGCTAGCACGCTCAACTGCGTTGCTAGCACGCTCAACTGCGTTGCTAGCACGCTCAACTGCGTTGCTAGCACGCTCAACTGCGTTGCTAGCACGCTCAACTGCGTTGCTAGCACGCTCAACTGCGTTGCTAGCACGCTCAACTGCGTTGCTAGCACGCTCAACTGCGTTGCTAGCACGCTCAACTGCGTTGCTAGCACGCTCAACTGCGTTGCTAGCACGCTCAACTGCGTTGCTAGCACGCTCAACTGCGTTGCTGGCACGCTCAACTGCGTTGCTGGCACGCTCAACTGCGTTGCTAGCACGCTCAACTGCGTTGCTAGCACGCTCAACTGCGTTGCTGGCACGCTCAACTGCGTTGCTAGCACGCTCAACTGCGTTGCTGGCACGCTCAACTGCGTTGCTGGCACGCTCAACTGCGTTGCTAGCACGCTCAACTGCGTTGCTAGCACGCTCAACTGCGTTGCTAGCACGCTCAACTGCGTTGCTAGCACGCTCAACTGCGTTGCTAGCACGCTCAACTGCGTTGCTAGCACGCTCAACTGCGTTGCTGGCACGCTCAACTGCGTTGCTGGCACGCTCAACTGCGTTGCTGGCACGCTCAACTGCGTTGCTGGCACGCTCAACTGCGTTGCTAGCACGCTCAACTGCGTTGCTAGCACGCTCAACTGCGTTGCTGGCACGCTCAACTGCGTTGCTGGCACGCTCAACTGCGTTGCTAGCACGCTCAACTGCGTTGCTAGCACGCTCAACTGCGTTGCTAGCACGCTCAACTGCGTTGCTAGCACGCTCAACTGCGTTGCTAGCACGCTCAACTGCGTTGCTGGCACGCTCAACTGCGTTGCTAGCACGCTCAACTGCGTTGCTAGCACGCTCAACTGCGTTGCTAGCACGCTCAACTGCGTTGCTAGCACGCTCAACTGCGTTGCTAGCACGCTCAACTGCGTTGCTAGCACGCTCAACTGCGTTGCTAGCACGCTCAACTGCGTTGCTAGCACGCTCAACTGCGTTGCTAGCACGCTCAACTGCGTTGCTAGCACGCTCAACTGCGTTGCTAGCACGCTCGGCTGCGTTGCTAGCACGCTCGGCTGCGTTGCTAGCACGCTCAACTGCGTTGCTAGCACGCTCACGCTTGACTGCGTGCTAGCACGCTCGACTGCGTTGCTAGCACGCTCAACTGCGTTGCTAGCACGCTCAACTGCGTTGCTGGCACGCTCAACTGCGTTGCTAGCACGCTCAACTGCGTTGCTAGCACGCTCAACTGCGTTGCTAGCACGCTCAACTGCGTTGCTAGCACGCTCAACTGCGTTGCTAGCACGCTCAACTGCGTTGCTCGCACGCTCAACTGCGTTGCTCGCACGCTCAACTGCGTTGCTCGCACGCTCAACTGCGTTGCTCGCACGCTCAACTGCGTTGCTCGCACGCTCAACTGCGTTGCTAGCACGCTCAACTGCGTTGCTAGCACGCTCGGCTGCGTTGCTAGCACGCTCAACTGCGTTGCTAGCACGCTCAACTGCGTTGCTAGCACGCTCAACTGCGTTGCTAGCACGCTCAACTGCGTTGCTAGCACGCTCAACTGCGTTGCTCGCACGCTCAACTGCGTTGCTCGCACGCTCAACTGCGTTGCTCGCACGCTCAACTGCGTTGCTCGCACGCTCAACTGCGTTGCTCGCACGCTCAACTGCGTTGCTCGCCCGGTCAACTGCGTTGCTAGCACGCTCAACTGCGTTGCTAGCACGCTCAACTGCGTTGCTAGCACGCTCAACTGCGTTGCTCGCACGCTCAACTGCGTTGCTAGCACGCTCAACTGCGTTGCTAGCACGCTCAACTGCGTTGCTAGCACGCTCAACTGCGTTGCTCGCACGCTCAACTGCGTTGCTCGCACGCTCAACTGCGTTGCTCGCACGCTCAACTGCGTTGCTCGCACGCTCAACTGCGTTGCTAACACGCTCAACTGCGTTGCTCGCACGCTCAACTGCGTTGCTCGCACGCTCAACTGCGTTGCTCGCACGCTCAACTGCGTTGCTCGCACGCTCAACTGCGTTGCTCGCACGCTCAACTGCGTTGCTAGCACGCTCAACTGCGTTGCTAGCACGCTCAATGCGTTGCTGGCACGCTCAACTGCGTTGCTAGCACGCTCAACTGCGTTGCTCGCACGCTCAACTGCGTTGCTCGCACGCTCAACTGCGTTGCTAGCACGCTCAACTGCGTTGCTGGCACGCTCAACTGCGTTGCTGCACGCTCAACTGCGTTGCTGGCACGCTCAACTGCGTTGCTGGCACGCTCAACTGCGTTGCTAGCACGCTCAACTGCGTTGCTAGCACGCTCAACTGCGTTGCTAGCACGCTCAACTGCGTTGCTAGCACGCTCAACTGCGTTGCTAGCACGCTCAACTGCGTTGCTAGCACGCTCAACTGCGTTGCTAGCACGCTCAACTGCGTTGCTCGCACGCTCAACTGCGTTGCTCGCACGCTCAACTGCGTTGCTAGCACGCTCAACTGCGTTGCTGGCACGCTCAACTGCGTTGCTAGCACGCTCAACTGCGTTGCTCGCACGCTCAACTGCGTTGCTAGCACGCTCAACTGCGTTGCTAGCACGCTCAACTGCGTTGCTAGCACGCTCAACTGCGTTGCTGCACGCTCAACTGCGTTGCTAGCACGCTCAACTGCGTTGCTAGCACGCTCAACTGCGTTGCTAGCACGCTCAACTGCGTTGCTGGCACGCTCAACTGCGTTGCTGGCACGCTCAACTGCGTTGCTGGCACGCTCAACTGCGTTGCTCGCACGCTCAACTGCGTTGCTAGCACGCTCAACTGCGTTGCTGCACGCTCAACTGCGTTGCTCGCACGCTCAACTGGTGCGTAGCTCGCACGCTCAACTGCGTTGCTCGCACGCTCAACTGCGTTGCTAGCACGCTCAACTGCGTTGCTAGCACGCTCAACTGCGTTGCTCGCACGCTCAACTGCGTTGCTAGCACGCTCAACTGCGTTGCTAGCACGCTCAACTGCGTTGCTAGCACGCTCAACTGCGTTGCTAGCACGCTCAACTGCGTTGCTAGCACGCTCAACTGCGTTGCTAGCACGCTCAACTGCGTTGCTAGCACGCTCAACTGCGTTGCTAGCACGCTCAACTGCGTTGCTAGCACGCTCAACTGCGTTGCTAGCACGCTCAACTGCGTTGCTAGCACGCTCAGCTGCGTTGCTAGCACGCTCAGCTGCGTTGCTAGCACGCTCGGCTGCGTTGCTAGCACGCTCGGCTGCGTTGCTAGCACGCTCGGCTGCGTTGCTAGCACGCTCGGCTGCGTTGCTAGCACGCTCGGCTGCGTTGCTAGCACGCTCGGCTGCGTTGCTAGCACGCTCGGCTGCGTTGCTAGCACGCTCAACTGCGTTGCTAGCACGCTCAACTGCGTTGCTAGCACGCTCAACTGCGTTGCTAGCACGCTCAACTGCGTTGCTAGCACGCTCAACTGCGTTGCTCGCACGCTCAACTGCGTTGCTCGCACGCTCAACTGCGTTGCTCGCACGCTCAACTGCGTTGCTCGCACGCTCAGCTGCGTTGCTCGCACGCTCAGCTGCGTTGCTTGCTAGCACGCTCAACTGCATTGCTAGCACGCTCAACTGCGTTGCTAGCACGCTCAGCTGCGTTGCTAGCACGCTCAACTGCGTTGCTCGCACGCTCAACTGCGTTGCTAGCACGCTCAACTGCGTTGCTAGCACGCTCAGCTGCGTTGCTAGCACGCTCAACTGCGTTGCTCGCACGCTCAACTGCGTTGCTCGCACGCTCAACTGCGTTGCTCGCACGCTCAACTGCGTTGCTCGCACGCTCAACTGCGTTGCTCGCACGCTCAACTGCGTTGCTCGCACGCTCAACTGCGTTGCTCGCACGCTCAACTGCGTTGCTCGCACGCTCAACTGCGTTGCTCGCACGCTCAACTGCGTTGCTCGCACGCTCAACTGCGTTGCTAGCACGCTCAACTGCGTTGCTCGCACGCTCAACTGCGTTGCTCGCACGCTCAACTGCGTTGCTCGCACGCTCAACTCTGCGTTGTCGCACGCTCAACTGCGTTGCTAGCACGCTCAACTGCGTTGCTAGCACGCTCAACTGCGTTGCTAGCACGCTCAACTGCGTTGCTAGCACGCTCAACTGCGTTGCTCGCACGCTCAACTGCGTTGCTCGCACGCTCAACTGCGTTGCTCGCACGCTCAACTGCGTTGCTAGCACGCTCAGCTGCGTTGCTAGCACGCTCAGCTGCGTTGCTAGCACGCTCAGCTGCGTTGCTCGTTGCTAGCACGCTCAACTGCGTTGCTCGCACGCTCAACTGCGTTGCTCGCACGCTCAACTGCGTTGCTCGCACGCTCAACTGCGTTGCTAGCACGCTCAACTGCGTTGCTCGCACGCTCAACTGCGTTGCTCGCACGCTCAACTGCGTTGCTCGCACGCTCAACTGCGTTGCTCGCACGCGGTCAGCGCGTTGCTCGCACGGTCAGCTGCGTTGCTCGCACGGTCAGCTGCGTTGCTCGCACGGTCAGCTGCGTTTGCTGGCACGCCTCAGCTGCGTTGCTGGCACGCTCAGCTGCGTTGCTCGCACGCTCAGCTGCGTTGCTCGCACGCTCAGCTGCGTTGCTCGCACGCTCAGCTGCGTTGCTCGCACGCTCAGCTGCGTTGCTAGCACGCTCAGCTGCGTTGCTCGCACGCTCAGCTGCGTTGCTCGCACGCTCAGCTGCGTTGCTCGCACGCTCAGCTGCGTTGCTCGCACGCTCAACTGCGTTGCTCGCACGCTCAACTGCGTTGCTAGCACGCTCAACTGCGTTGCTAGCACGCTCAACTGCGTTGCTAGCACGCTCAACTGCGTTGCTAGCACGCTCAACTGCGTTGCTAGCACGCTCAACTGCGTTGCTAGCACGCTCAACTGCGTTGCTAGCACGCTTAAACTGCGTTGCTTGCACGCTCAACTGCGTTGCTAGCACGCTCAACTGCGTTGCTCGCACGCTCAACTGCGTTGCTCGCACGCTCAACTGCGTTGCTCGCACGCTCAACTGCGTTGCTCGCACGCTCAACTGCGTTGCTCGCACGCTCAACTGCGTTGCTCGCACGCTCAACTGCGTTGCTCGCACGCTCAACTGCGTTGCTCGCACGCTCAACTGCGTTGCTCGCACGCTCAACTGCGTTGCTCGCACGCTCAACTGCGTTGCTAGCACGCTCAACTGCGTTGCTAGCACGCTCAGCTGCGTTGCTAGCACGCTCAGCTGCGTTGCTCGCACGCTCAACTGCGTTGCTAGCACGCTCAGCTGCGTTGCTCGCACGCTCAGCTGCGTTGCTCGCACGCTCAACTGCGTTGCTCGCACGCTCAGCTGCGTTGCTCGCACGCTCAGCTGCGTTGCTCGCACGCTCAACTGCGTTGCTCGCACGCTCAACTGCGTTGCTCGCACGCTCAACTGCGTTGCTAGCACGCTCAACTGCGTTGCTAGCACGCTCAACTGCGTTGCTCGCACGCTCAACTGCGTTGCTAGCACGCTCAACTGCGTTGCTAGCACGCTCAACTGCGTTGCTAGCACGCTCAACTGCGTTGCTCGCACGCTCAACTGCGTTGCTCGCACGCTCAACTGCGTTGCTCGCACGCTCAACTGCGTTGCTCGCACGCTCAACTGCGTTGCTAGCACGCTCAACTGCGTTGCTAGCACGCTCAACTGCGTTGCTAGCACGCTCAACTGCGTTGCTCGCACGCTCAACTGCGTTGCTCGCACGCTCAACTGCGTTGCTAGCACGCTCAACTGCGTTGCTAGCACGCTCAACTGCGTTGCTCGCACGCTCAACTGCGTTGCTCGCACGCTCAACTGCGTTGCTCGCACGCTCAACTGCGTTGCTCGCACGCTCAACTGCGTTGCTCGCACGCTCAACTGCGTTGCTCGCACGCTCAACTGCGTTGCTCGCACGCTCAACTGCGTTGCTCGCACGCTCAACTGCGTTGCTAGCACGCTCAACTGCGTTGCTAGCACGCTCAGCTGCGTTGCTAGCACGCTCAACTGCGTTGCTCGCACGCTCAACTGCGTTGCTAGCACGCTCAGCTGCGTTGCTAGCACGCTCAGCTGCGTTGCTCGCACGCTCAACTGCGTTGCTAGCACGCTCAGCTGCGTTGCTCGCACGCTCAGCTGCGTTGCTAGCACGCTCAGCTGCGTTGCTAGCACGCTCAACTGCGTTGCTCGCACGCTCAACTGCGTTGCTCGCACGCTCAACTGCGTTGCTCGCACGCTCAACTGCGTTGCTGGCACGCTCAACTGCGTTGCTGGCACGCTCAACTGCGTTGCTCGCACGCTCAACTGCGTTGCTCGCACGCTCAACTGCGTTGCTAGCACGCTCAACTGCGTTGCTAGCACGCTCAGCTGCGTTGCTAGCACGCTCAACTGCGTTGCTAGCACGCTCAACTGCGTTGCTGGCACGCTCAACTGCGTTGCTGGCACGCTCAACTGCGTTGCTGGCACGCTCAACTGCGTTGCTCGCACGCTCAACTGTCAGATTACCATCTTTATTGTAACCTGCATCATCATATAAGCTTTGACTAGAGATAGGCACCCAAACTTAGTTTGGGTGCACAACTAGGGTTTACCCTAGTTTGAGGTTGGAACCCAACCTTGGCCCAATTATTGGGCCCCCAAGGTTGGGTTGGGAGATTATTGGCCCCCCCAATAATGTTGACCCACTTTTGGTCAACATTATTGGTCCCCCCAATAACTCCTCAACCCAACTTATTGGTGGGGGCCAATAATGTTGGCATGGCTCCTACATCCTAGCTCAACTATGTAAACCCATGCCCTTCCTAATGAAACTATCGGTTGTTCTTACACTTTCTCACATGGTATTCAGAGCAACTACGGCTCACACCATCTCGATCCTAAGGACCGCACATACCGCGTGCTATATCACGCCCCCCTCTCTCACGCGACACTACGTCGCCCTTTGCGCCTAGTGCGCCCCTACGCCGTCACGCCCCCCCCCCCCTCCCCTTGCGCTAAATTTCAGCGCCCCCCTCCCTCCTTTCTACAGTCAATTCCGCCTCTCGCGGCTCTCCCCTCTCTCCCACTAACCCATCAACCGTCGGAACGGCCACGCCAACCGTCGGAACGATCTGCGCAACCGTCGGAACGACCAGCGCGACCGTCGGGACGGCCAGCACGAGCGACGGAACCCTAATCGCGGGCGGACGCCACACCCGCGACGAGCATCGGCGACCGCCGCGACCGACGAAACCCTAATCGCGGGCGGACGCCACACCCGCGACGAACGACGGCCGCGGACGCGACCAGCGGGGGCGGACGCCGCGGACGCGACCAGCGAGGGCGACCGCCGCGGACGCGACCAGCGGGGGCGGACGCCGCGGACGCGACCAGCGGGGGCGGACGCCGCGGACGCGACCAGCGAGGGCGGACGCCGCGGACGCGACCAGCGCGGGCGGACGCCGCGGACGCGACCAGCGAGGGCGGACGCCGCGGACGCGACCAGCGAGGGCGGACGCCGCGGACGCGACCAGCGAGGGCGGACGCCGCGGACGCGACCAGCGCGGGCGGACGCCGCGGACGCGACCAGCGAGGGCGGACGCCGCGGACGCGACCAGCGAGGGCGGACGCCGCGGACGCGACCAGCGCGGGCGGACGCCGCGGACGCGACCAGCGCGGGCGGACGTCACGGACGCGACCAGCGAGGGCGACGCTGCGGACACGACCAGCGCGTGCGGACGCCGCGGACGCGACCAGCGAGGGCGACCGCTGCGGACGCGTCCAGGAGCAGCCGCGTGTCGTCAAGGCACAGCTGCAGGCGACGAGGCGCAGCCGCGGGCGACGAGACGCAGCCGCGGGCGACAAGGGGCAGCCGCGGGTGACGAAGCGCTGCCGCACGCAACGTGACCGCGCCACCCCTCCAGGTGGTGTCGTCTTTGACCGCACCCGCCCTCCAGCCGGTGTCGTCACCCTCTCCCCCCCCCTCCTCCCCCCTCATGGCGGACGACTCTACTCCCATTGAACTCGGAGCTATCGATAAGCTCGAACTCCTCCATGACACTACGGCCGTGAACTGGGCGTCGTTTGAGGACACACTTCACACCCACCTTGGCTCTGTCATTGTTCAAGACTACTGTCTTCTTGATGTAGTTCTTGAGCACCCTAACGGCCTTCCACCCGTCCCCCCTCCTCCTCTTGAGCCTCCTCCTCCTGATGCCCCTCCTCCCCCAGAGCCTCTGTCTGATCCCCCTCGTGCCCCAGTTCATGATGACAACCCAGATCGATGGGCGGCCAACTTGAACAACTACAACAAGCTTCGCGATGCCTACACCATCCAGCGTGAGGCGCACCGTGCTGCTGAGAAGGCTCACGCTGATGCTACTGCGCGTATCCTCTCCTACGCACAGGATGAGAAAGACTATGCTGATGAACTTCGCAAGTTCAACAAGGATACTGCAGCATGGCGAATTGCGGATCGCCGCGCTCTAGCCATTATCTTCTCCTGCATCCCTTCCCATCTCAAACGTGACCTCCGCCCCACCTCCTCCTCTGGCCTCTGGAAAACCCTGTCCACTCAGTACGACCGACAGGACCTTCGCTCTCTCCTTGCTCTCTTTCGCAAATTTCAAGACACCACTCTTGACTCATCCCCCACTGCTGCTGCCTTCACTCGGCGCCTCATCGACACTGCGCAACGTCTCAACGACCGCGGCATTGTCATTCATGAATCACTTCTCACTGCACGCATCCTCGACTGCCTTCCACCCACATACGATACCTACCGCATCACCTTTACCTCTAGGTACCGCCATCCTCCTCCTGTGGCTGACACAATCGACTGGCTCCTTGACAGCGAAGCGGACATCCAACGTGACTCCACCACCATCAATGCTATCCAGGCTCGCAAAACTCCCGCAGGCAACCACAGCAGCGGCGGAGGTAGCGGCTCAAGCGGTACTGGCGGTGGCGGTGGTGGACGAGGTGGTGGGCGAGGCGGTGGACGCGGTGGTGGTCGTGGTGGCGGCCGTGGTGGGCGTGGCAAAAACCCCTCTCCCTCGGGTACCCTTCCCCCGTGTCAGTACATCATTCGCTATGGCTCCAACAAAGGTCAGCCTTGCGCTCAAACCACTCACACCACTGACACGTGCTTCAAAGCCCTCACTGATGAGTGGTTTGCACGTGGCAATGTCGGCACCCCACCTCGATGGAACACCATCTTCCCGCGCCCCTCTCTCCATGACATACGCACTCTCCCCGCCTATCAACCCTCCACCCCTAATCTTCACAATGTCCTCACTGAGCATCTCCCACCTCATATCCTCCAGCAAGTTCAACATCTTCTCCCTTCATCTCCTCCCACTCCCACCCCTCCCACCCCTCCCATTCCCCCTTCACCCACACCTCCTCCTCAAGCCCCTCCCCCCCACTATCCTCCGCCCTATACCGGCTGGCCATACCCTCCAAATCCACCTCCTCAATACGGCCCTGTGCTTCCTCCACCTGCTACCACTCCTACTGACCAGCCCTCCTCCTCCTCCAATCCTCCTGGCTTCACTCCGTTCCCTTCTGCTGGATTCATAGGACATGTTAGCACTGCTTCTCCTGCTCCTTCAATGTATGCCCATGCTATTAATGAGACATCCTTCCAGTATTCCGCTTCTTCCTCCTCCTCTACACTCCTTGAGTTCATTCTTGACAGCGGCGCTACACACACTGTCCTTCGGGACGCAGGCACACTAGTCCCCCTCCCCACTCCCTCCACCATTTACGGAGCCGACTTCAGCTTCACCATCACAAGTCGACACACCTCCACTCTCCCCTGCCCCATCTTCCCCTCAGGCACAGTCACAGGTCTACACGTCCCCTCCCTACGCAACAATCTGGTAGCACTTCGTGACCTCCCAAGGTTAGGTGTCACCGCCATCTTCCCCGGACATGCACTTCACTGCGACCTCTTTCACACCATCACTGGTCGCTTCATCTGTCGTATTCCCCTCTGCCCACACACAAACCTGTACACATACCGCACCCTCGCCCCTCCATCCACCAACTCACCACTCCCACCTTACTTCCCCCTCACTCCCTTCCCCCCTCCCCTCTCCCCCCCTCCTCCCCTCCCCTTCTTCCCCCCTTCCCTCCCCTCCCCCCCCCCCTCCTCTTGCTCCCCTCCCCTCCCTCCTCCCCCTCCCCTCCCCTCCTCCCCCTCCCCTCCCTCCTCCCCCTCCTGTCACTGTCGTGACCTTACCCATCCCGCCGTCCTCCTTCACCATCGCTTGGGTCATCCCAACTTTGCCACCCTTCGTCAATCTGTCTCCTCTCAACTTCTTGAAGGACTTCCCCTCACCCTCCCCCCACTCCCCCCGTCGCCCTCCCCTCCCTGCTCAGTTTGCGTTGAAAGCAAACTAAAGCAAGCCCCCCACAAGAGTCATCCCTCCTTCTCTCTCCAACCCATTGATCTCGTCCACATGGACCTCTGGGGCCCCAATCCCACCCCCACCAGGCAAGGTCATCGCTACCTGCTCATACTGGTAGATGACCACAGTCGGTACTCCACTGTCTCTCTCCTTCGCAAGAAGGCGGAGGCCCCGGCTGCCATTATTGCCTGGGCTGAACAAGCACGCACCCATTTCAAACGCCCTGTCTCTCGCTTCCATTCCGATGGCGGCGGTGAGTTCCTTAACCGGATGCTTTCCTCCTACTGCTCCACCCATGGCATTATCCACACCTACACCCTTCCTCATTCCCCTCAGCAAAATGGTGTGGCGGAGAGCAGGGTTCGGGAGGTCACCAAGACCGCTCGATGCCTCATGGTCCATGCCTCCTGCCCGCCTTCTCTGTGGGGTTATGCTATCCTCCACGCCGCCATCCTCACTAATCTCTACCCCCATCCCTCACGGCCCACCACTACTCCCACCGAACTCTGGACCTCCACTAAACCCGACATCTCCCCCCTGCGCGTGTGGGGCTCCAAGGCGTATGTTCTCATACACCCTGAGGACCGTTCACGTGCAGCTGGGAAACTTGCCTCCCGCACCCTCCCTTGCATCTTCATTGGTCATAACCCCACCTCCCCGGACTACCTCTTCCTCCACCCCCCCTCAGGTCGTCTCATTCGTAGTCGGGATGTGGTTTTTGATGAAGCCAATCCGTACTACACCTCCCCCTCCGCCCCTAACCCCCTCCCCCTCACCATACGTCCTCTCCTCTGGACTGACACTGTCATCACCCCTCCCCTTCAACCTCCCCCCACCCTGGTCATACCCGCACCCCAACCCCCTCCCCCTCTCTCCCAACCTCCTCAGGGGACATCCTTGACCCGGCTGCCCCACCCTCCCCTTCCGCTGTAACTCCCTCTCCCCCCACTGACCCTCCCCCTCTCCCCGCTGACCCCCCCCCCTCCCCCCCCCCCTCCCCCTCCCTCTCCATCCCCTCCCCCCCCTGAACTCTCCCCCACCCCCTCCCCTCTCCCAACCTCCATCCTCCCCATCTCCTCCTCCGCCCCCTTCCCCTCCACCATCTCGGCCCTTACTTTCGTCCCCTCCTCTGCTCCTTCGTCACTACCCTCACACCCGCTCCACAGTCCCCATCCTTGGTCCCCCACGGTCCAATCACCTCTCCCTCCAGTCTCTCACATCCATTCCACTCCTCCACCACTCTAGCACTTCCCCACTCCCCCGCACCAGCCCCTCAGGTTCTCACACCAGCCGCGCTCCCGTCTCCCTGCCCCTCACGGCAACTCAGCGCAGCAGAGCAGCATTGCAGCTGTCTCCTCGCCCCGACCCTCGGCGCAGCAGAGCAGCAGTGCAGCCGTGTTCCCGCTCCAGCCTGACCCTCCAGCGCAGCTGTCTTGCATCTTCACCGCCTCCTCTTCCTCCTCCTCTCTCTCCGGACCTCTATGAAGACTCTCATGATGAACTCCTTTTCCTCCACCTCCTCTCACCCACCATCGCCCCTGTCGTCCGCACCATGGCTGGTACTACGGTCCTTCTTTTCTCCAACACCCCCACCATCTACGAACCCACCACCTACGAGCAAGCAATTGCATGTCTTGACGCACCTCTCTGGATCGAGGCCATGGTCAAGGAATGCAACGCCTTCATCCACAACCGCTCTTTCCTCGACGTCCCTCGCCCCTCCAAGCACAACGTGGTCAAAGGCAGGTGGCTCTTCCGAGTAAAACTACTCCCTGGTGAAGCTCCTGTCTACAAGGCTCGGTATGTGGCGAAAGGCTTTACACAGACTTATGGCTCGGACTTCTTCGAGACCTACTCACCTACCGCCACTCCGCCGGTCATTCGCGTGTTTCTGGACTTCGTTGGCAGACGCGGGATGCTCCTCCACTCCATGGATGTCACCACGGCCTTCTTACAAGGCGACCTCCACGAACTCATCTTCTTGGAACGTCCCAAGGGCTTCCACGCTCCTCACGACCCTGCCACCGTCTGGAAACTACTACGCCCTGTTTACGGGCTCAAACAAGCACCTCGAGAATGGCACGCCAAACTCTCATCCACCCTTCGCGCACTTGGCTTTCGCCCCTCCCGTGCTGCCTCTTGCCTCTTCCTTCGCTTAACTCCGTCACCCTTCTTCATCCTCGTCTACGTCGACGACATGCTGCTAGCAGCTGAGACAGCTGCTGAACTTCAGGAGGTCAAGGATGAGCTGCAGCAACGTCTCGCCTGCAAAGATCTGGGGGAAGTCCGCAACTACCTTGGCATGGAGATCACCCGCGACCTCACTGCCAAGACTATCACCCTCTCTCAGTCATTCTACATCGGGAAGGTGCTCGAGAGATTCGGCATGTCCAAATCCAAACCCATCCCCACACCACTTGCATTCGGGCATCGGCTGTCCCCTCCAGCCACTCCTGTCACCTCCCCTCATCCCTATGCAGAACTCGTTGGGGCCCTGATGTACGCCATGGTCTGCACTCGTCCCGACCTTGCATACCCCGTCAGTGTCCTGGCGCGGTTTGTTGGCACTGGCAGGCATGGTGAGGAGCACTGGAAGGCGGCCATGCGTGTTCTGCGCTACCTCCAAGGCACAAAGGACTATGGCCTCACGCTTGGTGGTGTGGACCCACCTGTTCTTCAAGGCTTCAGTGACTCATCTTGGGCGGATGCACAGCCGGACCATCGCAGTTCTCAAGGATATGGCTTCTCCCTTGGGAGCGGCCTCATCAGCTGGCGCTCCACTCGCTCCTCCTCCGTCGCCCTCTCCTCCTGCGAAGCCGAGCTGTACGCAGTCACCATGGCGGCTCAAGAGGCACGCTGGCTTAGCTATCTTCTCACCGACCTTGGCTCACCACAGCCCTGCCCCACCCTGTGGTGTGACAACGATAGTACCATCCACCTCACCAAGGAGGCCGTCTTTCATGGTCGCTCCAAACACATCGAACTCCGCTACTACTTTGTCCGCGATCTTGTGCAAGATGGTCACATCACTGTTCGTAAAATCGACTCGTCCGCCAACCTCGCTGACCTCTTCACCAAGGCTCTCCATCGCTCTAACCACTCTGCGCTCCTGCGCCTTCAGGGACTTGCTCCCCGCGGTGGCTGATTCAGGGGTTGTTGCGTTCTCTCTTCCAAAGCCTATGGATTTCTGCAGGTTAAGGGGTTGTGTCAGATTACCATCTTCATTGTAACCTGCATCATCATATAAGCTTTGACTAGAGATAGGCACCCAAACTTAGTTTGGGTGCACAACTAGGGTTTACCCTAGTTTGAGGTTGGAACCCAACCTTGGCCCAATTATTGGGCCCCCAAGGTTGGGTTGGGAGATTATTGGCCCCCCCAATAATGTTGACCCACTTTTGGTCAACATTATTGGTCCCCCCAATAACTCCTCAACCCAACTTATTGGTGGGGGCCAATAATGTTGGCATGGCTCCTACATCCTAGCTCAACTATGTAAACCCATGCCCTTCCTAATGAAACTGTCGGTTCTTCTTACACTTTCTCACATCAACTGCGTTGCTCGCTCGCTCAACTGCGTTGCTAGCACGCTCAACTGCGTTGCTGGCACGCTCAACTGCGTTGCTGGCACGCTCAACTGCGTTGCTCGCACGCTCAACTGCGTTGCTCGCACGCTCAGCTGCGTTGCTCGCACGCTCACCTGCGCTGCTGGCACGCTCACCTGCGTTGCTGGCACGGTCAACTGCGTTGCTGGCACGGTCAGCTGCGTTGCTGGCACGGTCAACTGCGTTGCTAGCACGCTCAACTGCGTTGCTAGCACGCTCAACTGCGTTGCTAGCACGCTCAACTGCGTTGCTAGCACGCTCAACTGCGTTGCTAGCACGCTCAACTGCGTTGCTAGCACGCTCAACTGCGTTGCTAGCACGCTCAACTGCGTTGCTAGCACGCTCAACTGCGTTGCTCGCACGCTCAACTGCGTTGCTCGCACGCTCAACTGCGTTGCTCGCACGCTCAACTGCGTTGCTAGCACGCTCAACTGCGTTGCTCGCACGCTCAACTGCGTTGCTAGCACGCTCAACTGCGTTGCTAGCACGCTCAACTGCGTTGCTCGCACGCTCAACTGCGTTGCTCGCACGCTCAACTGCGTTGCTCGCACGCTCAACTGCGTTGCTCGCACGCTCAACTGCGTTGCTCGCACGCTCAACTGCGTTGCTCGCACGCTCAACTGCGTTGCTGGCACGCTCAACTGCGTTGCTGGCACGCTCAACTGCGTTGCTGGCACGCTCAACTGCGTTGCTGGCACGCTCAACTGCGTTGCTGGCACGCTCAACTGCGTTGCTGGCACGCTCAACTGCGTTGCTGGCACGCTCAACTGCGTTGCTGGCACGCTCAACTGCGTTGCTGGCACGCTCAACTGCGTTGCTGGCACGCTCAACTGCGTTGCTGGCACGCTCAACTGCGTTGCTGGCACGCTCAACTGCGTTGCTGGCACGCTCAACTGCGTTGCTGGCACGCTCAACTGCGTTGCTGGCACGCTCAACTGCGTTGCTCGCACGCTCAACTGCGTTGCTCGCACGCTCAACTGCGTTGCTAGCACGCTCAACTGCGTTGCTAGCACGCTCAACTGCGTTGCTAGCACGCTCAACTGCGTTGCTAGCACGCTCAACTGCGTTGCTAGCACGCTCAACTGCGTTGCTAGCACGCTCAACTGCGTTGCTAGCACGCTCAACTGCGTTGCTAGCACGCTCAACTGCGTTGCTAGCACGCTCAACTGCGTTGCTAGCACGCTCAACTGCGTTGCTCGCACGCTCAACTGCGTTGCTAGCACGCTCAACTGCGTTGCTAGCACGCTCAACTGCGTTGCTCGCACGCTCAACTGCGTTGCTAGCACGCTCAACTGCGTTGCTCGCACGCTCAACTGCGTTGCTCGCACGCTCAACTGCGTTGCTAGCACGCTCAACTGCGTTGCTCGCACGCTCAACTGCGTTGCTCGCACGCTCAACTGCGTTGCTAGCACGCTCAACTGCGTTGCTAGCACGCTCAACTGCGTTGCTAGCACGCTCAACTGCGTTGCTAGCACGCTCAACTGCGTTGCTAGCACGCTCAACTGCGTTGCTAGCACGCTCAACTGCGTTGCTCGCACGCTCAACTGCGTTGCTAGCACGCTCAACTGCGTTGCTCGCACGCTCAACTGCGTTGCTCGCACGCTCAACTGCGTTGCTAGCACGCTCAACTGCGTTGCTCGCACGCTCAACTGCGTTGCTCGCACGCTCAACTGCGTTGCTAGCACGCTCAACTGCGTTGCTCGCACGCTCAACTGCGTTGCTCGCACGCTCAACTGCGTTGCTAGCACGCTCAACTGCGTTGCTAGCACGCTCAACTGCGTTGCTAGCACGCTCAACTGCGTTGCTCGCACGCTCAACTGCGTTGCTCGCACGCTCAACTGCGTTGCTCGCACGCTCAACTGCGTTGCTCGCACGCTCAACTGCGTTGCTCGCACGCTCAACTGCGTTGCTCGCACGCTCAACTGCGTTGCTCGCACGCTCAACTGCGTTGCTCGCACGCTCAACTGCGTTGCTCGCACGCTCAACTGCGTTGCTCGCACGCTCAACTGCGTTGCTCGCACGCTCAACTGCGTTGCTAGCACGCTCAACTGCGTTGCTCGCACGCTCAACTGCGTTGCTCGCACGCTCAACTGCGTTGCTAGCACGCTCAACTGCGTTGCTAGCACGCTCAACTGCGTTGCTAGCACGCTCAACTGCGTTGCTAGCACGCTCAACTGCGTTGCTAGCACGCTCAACTGCGTTGCTAGCACGCTCAACTGCGTTGCTAGCACGCTCAACTGCGTTGCTAGCACGCTCAACTGCGTTGCTCGCACGCTCAACTGCGTTGCTCGCACGCTCAACTGCGTTGCTCGCACGCTCAACTGCGTTGCTCGCACGCTCAACTGCGTTGCTCGCACGCTCAACTGCGTTGCTCGCACGCTCAACTGCGTTGCTCGCACGCTCAACTGCGTTGCTCGCACGCTCAACTGCGTTGCTAGCACGCTCAACTGCGTTGCTCGCACGCTCAACTGCGTTGCTCGCACGCTCAACTGCGTTGCTCGCACGCTCAACTGCGTTGCTAGCACGCTCAACTGCGTTGCTAGCACGCTCAACTGCGTTGCTGGCACGCTCAACTGCGTTGCTGGCACGCTCAACTGCGTTGCTAGCACGCTCAACTGCGTTGCTGGCACGCTCAACTGCGTTGCTGGCACGCTCAACTGCGTTGCTGGCACGCTCAACTGCGTTGCTGGCACGCTCAACTGCGTTGCTGGCACGCTCAACTGCGTTGCTGGCACGCTCAACTGCGTTGCTGGCACGCTCAACTGCGTTGCTGGCACGCTCAACTGCGTTGCTGGCACGCTCAACTGCGTTGCTGGCACGCTCAACTGCGTTGCTGGCACGCTCAACTGCGTTGCTGGCACGCTCAACTGCGTTGCTGGCACGCTCAACTGCGTTGCTAGCACGCTCAACTGCGTTGCTAGCACGCTCAACTGCGTTGCTCGCACGCTCAACTGCGTTGCTAGCACGCTCAACTGCGTTGCTCGCACGCTCAACTGCGTTGCTCGCACGCTCAACTGCGTTGCTCGCACGCTCAACTGCGTTGCTCGCACGCTCAACTGCGTTGCTCGCACGGTCAGCTGCGTGGCTCGCACGGTCAGCTGCGTTGCTCGCACGGTCAGCTGCGTTGCTCGCACGGTCAGCTGCGTTGCTCGCACGGTCAGCTGCGTTGCTCGCACGGTCAACTGCGTTGCTCGCACGGTCAGCTGCGTTGCTCGCACGGTCAGCTGCGTTGCTCGCACGGTCAGCTGCGTTGCTGGCACGGTCAGCTGCGTTGCTGGCACGGTCAGCTGCGTTGCTGGCACGGTCAGCTGCGTTGCTGGCACGGTCAGCTGCGTTGCTGGCACGCTCAGCTGCGTTGCTCGCACGCTCAACTGCGTTGCTCGCACGCTCAACTGCGTTGCTCGCACGCTCAACTGCGTTGCTCGCACGCTCAGCTGCGTTGCTAGCACGCTCAACTGCGTTGCTAGCACGCTCAACTGCGTTGCTAGCACGCTCAACTGCGTTGCTCGCACGCTCAACTGCGTTGCTCGCACGCTCAACTGCGTTGCTAGCACGCTCAACTGCGTTGCTCGCACGCTCAACTGCGTTGCTAGCACGCTCAACTGCGTTGCTCGCACGCTCAACTGCGTTGCTAGCACGCTCAACTGCGTTGCTAGCACGCTCAACTGCGTTGCTAGCACGCTCAACTGCGTTGCTGGCACGCTCAACTGCGTTGCTGGCACGCTGCGTCAGCTGCGTTGCTCGCACGGTCAGCTGCGTTGCTCGCACGGTCAGCTGCGTTGCTCGCACAGTCAGCTGCGTTGCTCGCACGGTCAGCTGCGTTGCTCGCACGGTCAGCTGCGTTGCTCGCACGCTCAGCTGCGTTGCTCGCACGCTCAGCTGCGTTGCTCGCACGCTCAGCTGCGTTGCTCGCACGCTCAGCTGCGTTGCTCGCACGCTCAACTGCGTTGCTAGCACGCTCAACTGCGTTGCTAGCACGCTCAACTGCGTTGCTCGCACGCTCAACTGCGTTGCTCGCACGCTCAACTGCGTTGCTAGCACGCTCAACTGCGTTGCTAGCACGCTCAACTGCGTTGCTAGCACGCTCAACTGCGTTGCTCGCACGCTCAACTGCGTTGCTCGCACGCTCAACTGCGTTGCTAGCACGCTCAACTGCGTTGCTAGCACGCTCAACTGCGTTGCTAGCACGCTCAACTGCGTTGCTAGCACGCTCAACTGCGTTGCTCGCACGCTCAACTGCGTTGCTCGCACGCTCAACTGCGTTGCTCGCACGCTCAACTGCGTTGCTCGCACGCTCAACTGCGTTGCTCGCACGCTCAACTGCGTTGCTAGCACGCTCAACTGCGTTGCTAGCACGCTCAACTGCGTTGCTAGCACGCTCAACTGCGTTGCTAGCACGCTCAACTGCGTTGCTAGCACGCTCAACTGCGTTGCTAGCACGCTCAACTGCGTTGCTCGCACGCTCAACTGCGTTGCTGGCACGCTCAACTGCGTTGCTCGCACGCTCAACTGCGTTGCTAGCACGCTCAACTGCGTTGCT